AACGCTGAGGAAGACGAGGAACGTTGGCGGGACCGGAAGTCGAAAGTTTCTTTGCCAAACTGGCTTTTATATTGTATTAAAGAATATAATACTATTACTTAGCGAAGATACTGAATAAATACAGAAAAAACTCACATCAATCCAAACACTTGCTCCCTTCGCTCAATCGGCTGATTGGAATCGCTCAAGGCTTGCGAAACTTTGAGTCAGCATCCATATACCGAGAGACCGATAGCCGCCACACTGGTCCGAATCGGGTGTCAAGATGCCTGATCTAAACCTGGAAAGCCACCTATATCGTACAAGAACGACTACTTTACCAGAATCTGCAATGAGATGTTTTAAATGAAGACATTTTCTGCGTTGATGCCAGGAAAGCAAACTGATTTATCATGGCGCGAATTACAAACGAAAGCTTGGTAACCACGCAGAACCGATCCTATTTCCCAGGCCATTACCCGATGTAGAATCAAAGAACGAAACAGGTACCGTATTTATTCGAATAAGCGCCCAACCTCGAATTAGCGCCCACCTCGAATAAGAGCCCATCCCAAAGGCAGAAAAAGTTAATAAGCGCCCACCCTCGAATAAGCGCCCACCCCCTACTCCTCCCAATCAAACTCAAATGAGCGCTCACCTCACCCCACCCACTTGAGTGAGTAAATTCTAATAAGAGACTTCCCCGAGGACGGAGTCTTCTTCAGAGTATTTTACAGAAACCTTGCTTTATTACTTCTTCGCGTTTTGTTATTAGCATTTCTTGTTTTGTTACAAATAAACGTACTTCACTTGCTGAAAATGGTGAAAATTTAATAAGCGCCCAGCCTCGAATAAGCGCCCACCTCGAATAAGCGCCCACTCTCAAGGTCCAAAAATTTAATAAGCGCCCAGGGCGGTTAATCGAATAAATACGGTATCTGGGAAAAAGATGAACATCATCAAAGGAAATTAGCAATGTTGCATGTTCTCAGTTATAAGTATTCACCGAGGATGCTTTCGGGGATCGAAGCTGAACCAGTATTTCGCTCGTCACGTATTTGGATTGCGTGGCGAATGAAACTTTGAGCAAGACCAACTTTGTTTCAAGGGTCTCTCGGGATGGAGAGAAAAAAAGCAAAAACAAATTTATTTTAAAACAGACAAACAAACAAACAAAGAAATAAAACATGGAAGTTGGGCCTGTCCGGGAGTCGAACCCGGGACCTCTCGCACCCTAAGCGAGAATCATGCCACTAGACCAACAGGCCAAGCACAGCACATTGCATATAATTATACCATCAGTTTAATTATCACCTGTCAACAGGGACCGCGGAGGGGGAGGGGCTTGTAGGGCCGCGGCCCCACCACTTTTTTGCTCCCCCGCCCCCACTTTTTATGCTAAAAAGAAAAATAATTAAAATTAAAAAAAGACTTGAAACAAGTTTTTTCCGTCTATATTCCGCTATATTCTCTGTATTTTCTTTAATTTCAAACCCCAGGCATTTTGTGAGTTTCCTGTGCTTTTCGCGGTAATTGTGCTCAGGGGCCGACTTGCCCCTTGATCAAACGCCATGCCTTGGCCACCCCTTCGCTTCGTTCGGCAGCGTGTTTTGTACTTCCAGCTCCGGCAGAGTTTTTTATCAGTTTTATAAGACGAAATGAAGAAAATTTCTAGCTTTTTCAAGCCAAACGAAGGTTAGTAGTTGTTTTGAGTTGATAAAAGTTTTATATTTTGTCTTTCTCCTCTCGAATCAATGAAATATTCGATGGCAAGAAGAATTACATTACTTGAACAGTGAACGGCCATAGTTAGAAATTTTTCAGATCACTTCAGTGTAGTATTTTCTATACTAAAATTCTAATCGCGTCTTTTCTTGCATTGAATCTGAACCGACAGTGTATGTTGGTCGTTTATTAGAAAAAATTATTTTCAATGGTCAGCCCTCCCACTTTTTACCTTGCTCCGCGGTCCCTGGTCAATCAAAAAAATTGATTGGCACGGAGCTGGACTGTTCTCACTTAAAAAAGGCTTTCCGAGACTAATGAAGAGATTTTATTTAGTTTCCTGTTTTACTCTAATCGTAACGACTTTCTCTTTCTCCATTAAATCCCATGAGGCGCCTACGGCTTTCCGGTCCAAGATATCGGAAAAACTCAAGGAGCTTTTTTCTTTACAACTTTGTTATTGGGATCTTTTTCCTTTTTTTAGTCGTATGTGCAAATGCAGCGACCACTGACCCAAGTATGTATAACAAAAGTACTGTTTACAAAACTAGCAGGAGTGTATTATCAGATGTAAAAACTCTCGGCCTCGCCTCGCGTTTTTAAACCTGATAATAAGCTATCATACACGACTGCGAGTTTTTTGAACGGCGTCATTTAAAATCTCTGATACAGATCAACTCATTTTTGCATTAATATTGATATTTGGGGTTATTTTGGTCTAAAAAAATGGACGTAAAGTTTAGTTCTGTCTTTATCAGATAAAAAGACACATTCAACATTAATTTCTTTTGTTTTTTGTTTATGAATTATTATTGACTTTTTGAAGATTGAAAAAGACATTGTTTTCAAAGCCATGTTCAGGCGATTTATTTTCTGTAATGGGCCGAACATTTGACTTTTGAGGGGGGAGGGGGTATGAGTGATTTCAGAGAAAAATATAATACAGACTGATTTCGAGGGGGAAAAATTTCTTGTAAGGAGATGCCCGGCGAAAAATATTCCTGCACTGAAAAAAATACCTTTCATGGCATATAACGCTGGAAAAAATGTTACCCCGTTGCATGTCAGGAGAAAATTCTATCACCAGAGGTGTGGGGGAAAAAAATTCTTGCACAAACCAAATCACCCATACCCCCAACACCCCCCCTTCCCCTCAAAATTCAAATAGTATAGCGGCATTCGATTTCGTCTTCATGTTGCGCAGAAGGAGGACAAAAGAAAACAAGGCAACAAACCAAAACTTGCGATATGTAATATATAATATCTACATAAAATTTTATATACTTCGACAAGAAATTGAATTAGGAAAATAATTTTGGCCGACCTGTATTAAGCAACCACGCTAGACAAACCTCGTAGGAAGTCTGTTCGCGGTGATTTAATGGTAGTCTGCTTGATACAGGCTTGACGATAATACATCAGTTTTGCATTAATATATGAATGTTCATTAATTACTGGGGCCGAGAAACTGAACAAACGACAAAGGACAGTACAGAGATGAAAAATGAATTTGTTTTCGTATATATTTTCTCTTATGCATGGAATAAAGTATAAATCCATTTCGCTACTTTGTTCTAAATTATTTACATCTGCCTTTCTTCTAACAGAAGGGCATCTCTTTCACACAAAAAGAAAAAATAATTTTAGTGTCTTGAAATTCATTTTTGCAGCAATAGATCCGTAAATATCAGAACTATTCAAAGAGGACAGACGGCAAATTATTGCTGCTCGAAATATCTAAAACTCGTAACTGTTCGCATCATTAGGATGCCTAGACTATTATAGCAAAGGCAAACGAAAAAAACAGCGCTTGATCAAGATTTTCTCGCCACTTTTTACCATCGCGACACACATGATACACTTGTTTTCTCTGTTGCGCTGATAATTCCATTGAAAAAAAAAACCACTCTTCCCTGGTTATACCATGTTACACAAAGGTATAAAGTCACAGCTAGCAAGATAAAGCATTCCAAGTAAGTAGCGTGGTGGTAGCACAAACTTTGATAGTATGCCACCACAGCAAAATGCAAACGTGAATATGCCAGTTCAGTTCTCCGCTTTGGATTCTTACCGCAAGAACGCTCCATATGTAGTAGTTATCAAAGAGCAAATTAAACATCAGTTGAAAGAAACGGTCAAGATCATCTCTCGACTGCAGTTTAGTTACATATTTCTTATATACACCGGTGGTTCAATGCCGCCTTCCACATGCTTCATTTCCAAGGCGTTGAATTCTTTAGGCACAAATATGGCCGTATGAAGTGTCTAAAAGACAAAAAAGAATTTGTAAAAATAAATTCAATTATAGCGTGCCTAGACTGCGTGAGAAGCCTAGATTGGTGAGGAGAGGAGAAAAATAGAAAATACAGAGGCTTAAGTTTAACCCTTTAAACCCTAAGATCAAAATTTGAATTCTCATTTGTTGCCCCTATTCATTTACTATAGAAGTAGTGGAGAGAAGTTGATAAAATATCAAGTAAATACATCTTGTGCGATCATGTCCTTAATTCTGGCGTGACCACTCTGTTTTACAAAGCACTGCTATTACAAGGAGAGATTTGATGCTGATCACTCTTAAGGTTTAAAGGGTTAAGTCCCCATCCTCCCTTTTTTACATCTCCCTAGAAGTATACTGAAAGCTTAACCTAGCATATAATCTGCTCAAAGAAATATGGACAAGTAGTAATATTCTAAGACGCGCATGCGACTGATCAACCAGCCTAATCTTGTTACCATAAAGGTGATGTTCGCAACGACGATTTTTAGCGCAACACAGTGTTACAACATTGTTGCGAGCTGCGACATTGTTTCAAATGGTTACAACATTGGTCCAGCATTACAACGCCATGTTGCGCTAAAAATCGTGGTTGCGAATCGTCCCGTGTAACATCAACTTAAAGCACGCATCGAAAGTCACAAGTTTGCCTTATAGCCGAGATTCAACGAAAGTGCTTTAAGAAATTTGGAAGAAAACGAGCTAAAAGTAAGAAAACCAAGAAGAGTCAATAGAAATTGATGAACATGATAAAAATCGCCACTTTAGAAACGAGAAGGAGGCTGGAACACGTTACTGGGGATGCGCAGGTCAGTTATTGGCCAATTTTCTCCCTGTCGCTTAAAATAGTCCCAGAAGTCTTTGCGGAAGTTAACTCGACCCAGTTTCTTTCGCGTTTCTGAAGTGGTAAATTAAAGGCAAGGACAAAACTGGTTCACATACAGGTACTGTGTCACCTCGCCACCTATAGGTAAATAATACTATGTAAGTAAGCTGTGCCAATTATTTGAGAATCATTCGTTGGAGGCGAGTCTATTTCTCGTTGGTGGCGAGATGGTTTGGTAGCGAGATGACTGTGAACCCCTACCTGAGCGGAGCTTGCGCCACCTTTCTCAAAACAATAAATGTCTACAATAGTTTTCACGATGAGGATAGGCACAAACAGCATGGACGTTGCAGCAATGATCCACCCTACGGCCTCCCCCCAGGCGGGATAGACGTAGTCCTCATACTTGATTCTAGAAGACTTGATTAAGCTGAACAGCAGTATACCCTAAATATAGAATAAGCCAACGTTAGGTCCAGTTCAAACGTCCAATTTCACATGTGCCGAGTGTAATTCGAGAATTAACAGCACGTGAGATGTGACTTCTGAATCAATTAAATTCGCCAGTTTCAAATTAAATACAACTTTGCCGAATCTGCCACCGAAACAGTCGAAGATTCGACTTTGGTTACACATTTCATCCAGACGTCGCACTTCACATGTGCCAAAAATAATGCACTAATTATGGAAACTTTTACATTTTGTATCCATATTAGATAACAAGTTGTTTTAGAGACTGGGAATATTTACAAAAAATGGAGTTAAATTCGGCAGCGTTATATCCGACGTCTGAATAATCTGCCTGCGATCAGGGGTTCTTTTTTTCGGGAGAGCGTAGAAAAAGTACGCGAAAACCTAATAGCAAGTTGCTCTTAAGTTCGCCTAGAAGTTTATCTCGGACGGAACCTAACCTGATTGGCTTTATATTGAGCGTAAGTGTTTATGGTACCCAGCATTCAATTTGTTTATTCTGAAAAAATCGAAATAGATATTCGGAAGACAAAAAAGTCAAAGTACCCAGTAGTTTCAGCAACTTCAGCAAGAACTGAAAGAGTAGAGAAGTGGTAGTGAATAATGCCACACAAAACCAAATCAGAATGTTACAGAATATCGCAGGTCTCGCAGCAGTACGCATGTTTACCAATCTTCTCTGCTCAAAGACACCCCTCCCCCTCCCCTCCCCCTCCCCCGCCTACAAGTACAGACTACCAAGCTGCAGGTTAAAGGCAGTTAAAGTGAATCACTATTCAGGCAAAATGCATGATAATTATTTTTAACGTTTTAGATTTGTGTACTTACTAGAACCATAAGTGGCGAAACATATTTCCAGCAGATCAACCACCACTTGGAGATTGGATGCCCGATCATGTCTTCCACGTCACGTGCAAATCTTTCGGCTCCTAGGGGAATTCACATGAGTTCATTTTTCCACTCATCTGAAAGTATGAATCCAAACAAAGTCAACTTACCGTAAATCCATGCAACGACAATCAGCTCCAAAAATACAATGAACAGAAGTGATAAACCAGCTGAGAACGAGTCAAATAGGTTAAACACGTATATACCACCCTGTGAAATAGAAAAAGAAATTTATGCTGTCAAGCACACATTTTTCAGGCATAACTTAAAGAAACAGCGACTTTGCCAACTTAAAACGGGCCTAGTATTCCAGTTCTAAGCGTGTTGTACAGAAGAAAGCGGCTTACTTATTAAATCGACACATCGCAGAGCACGTACCAATTAATTTTAATAAATGTAGGATGGTACTATGGGAGATGATGTCAATGATGATGATGACGACGACGACGACGACGATGACGCTGATGATGATGATGATGATGATGATGATACTGATAATGATGATAATGATGACGTTGAAAACCGTGAAAAACACAAATTACAATGATGACGCTGTGATTATGACGATGATGATGAGAAGAAAAAAACATGAGAGCTACGACAGTGAACATAACGAAACGTTTGGGAAAATGACAAAGATGCTTAACACAATAATAGCGATACAGATCGATTCTCTGTAACTTTAAAGCACCATTTCCAATAACTCACTTCAGTCACACAGGAAAGACCAAGCAGGAAGAGTATCACACATATAACAAGTACAACAAGCTCCCGATAGCGACTCAACTTTCGAGGGTAATGCTCGATTATACATGCAGCAACTATTTCCACCTGACCAAACTGAAAATAAAATACAAAAATACAGAACTTGATTAACTATTTTTAAAAAAAATGCATGACATGATTTGAAAAAAGACACAGCAACAAAAGTGACCGTTAGTGAGGAATTTATAATTAAGAAATTTTGTTAATCCATGAAATTCGAGCGGTCGAAAATGCTTAGCCTTGAGCAACAGACCTTTCCGGTTCATTTAAGAAGAGAGTGATCAAAAAACACTGTTAGCTTTTCCCTGGGGATTAAGATACACCCAGGAGTCGTAACAACTCAGATAAAATCCAATAGGCCATTTCCGAGTTTCCCCGGGCCTCTGTTTCAAAACGAGGGTAGGTGCTCAGCCTTTGATATAGAAATCATTTTTCATTCTCATGCAAATAAAACTCATTTTCACAAGAAACGGTTGTGCACCTAGCCTCATTTTGAAAGTGAGGGTTTTTGGAACTCGGAAGTGGCCTATTTTGGTCGCTCACTTACTTCATCCTCTGCCAAACATAATTCCCTTAAAATCTTACCACTGTATTAGTTATATTATTTACCTGACTGTCTAAACCCAACATAATCAGCATGAAGAAAAACAGCACAGCCCAGGCTTGAGGGACTGGCAGCTCCGCTAAAGCTGCTGGGTAGGCTATAAACGCTAATCCGGGACCTTCAAAAAACCAACAATGACGTAATCACGTAAGGATTTTTAACAAGCTTCCAGCTCATTCGGTTTCACGTGTAGACTCATTCCCAGTTGTCTTCACAGCCCGGCGCGGCACAGGAGCGGTTCATTAATGTCGAGGGTGCAGCACTTGTTAAGACGACTAGAACGAGTCTGCGTCGCTTCGGTAAAATCAATTGCAGAATTGGCAAATCTGTTTGGAATCCTTGTAAGAAAAAAATACTACCAAAAGGTTTTATTTTTTTATATAAATGCCTAACACCACCCTCTTGGAAGTCCCAAGTTCAGGCAGGATGGGTAGGGAATTACTTCCGATACAGCACTAAGCGATCACTAGAATCACAAAATTATCAGTTGGTCAAGCGTTTGTAAGAATAGGGCTCGGCTCTGCATCGATAAGAAAATCAGCATTTTAAGTTAAATACGTAAGAAAAAGGAATAAGCTAAACATCTTTCACATGAAACATACTCTGTTGTCAATAGGAGTAAACTATTATACAACTAGTCTTTTTCGAAGAATTTTGGGAGGATGTCTCCCCTCAGCTGCTTGGAGACTTTCAAAGGTTTAAGCAGTCTTACGAAATGCTTTTCAAATATGTAAGATTTCCGAGTAATTACGAAGTCCCAAAAAACATCATGTGGTTTCTTAGTACTAATAGGATAAGACAAAATGCCAGAATAGTTTATAACAACGAAGTTGTGTATACTGGAGTCACATTTCAACGTACATAGAGAGGCTTCTTGAAAAATAGAGAGCCAAAGCATATTTTCTTCATAAAGCTCATAACCATAAGACATTCGAACAAGATCCAAAGCCTTCAGAGATTTCCGGATATTAACGAAGTTAAACAAGAGCAGCTAGTACCTTGTGATGCTACATCAGCTACGCTCTTTCCTTGCTGTCCAGCAATAAACCCCAAAATAGAAAATATTGCAAAGCCAGCGAACACACTGGTGGCACAGTTTGTGATGGAAATTATGAGGGAGTCCCTGGATAAAATAGAGAATAGCGATTAAAAAAATGTCAATACTTTTTTGACAGCTTTTTGAAAGGGCGCGTAAAGACTGCTAAGGCTGCTCTTACTTCAGAATATTATTGTTCTTGTTATTATAGCTGGCGAATGTCAGGTTGACACCCATTCCCATTGCTAAGGAGTACAGAACCTGGGCCGCTGCATCAATCCACACCTTCCAAAACAAAACAACTGATTCATTAGCTACTGGCCGGACTATATACATCAATAGTCACTTTGTACTGTATACTATGTACCCTAAAATCCGTTGGGTAGCCTGGGATCGAGAGTGACCGCGAGCGCTTATGGGATTCCTTAGCTACAGGGAACGTGCTAATTTTCTGTTCTGAAAGGCACAGAGCAACTTGCATGTGGTTTTGGCATTATTCAACTTGGTCGCATAAAGTCCGTGCTCCCAGCCCAGACGATCCCATAAACTCTCCCTTACGTTCCTGGTCCCCAGGGCCTTTCCCGCCCATCAGTCCCATTTTCTAAAGGAAAAGCCCTGGGCACGAGGTTGGGCCTCAACGAAATGAATAGACAAGACAGGTGAAATGTTGTTATTCAATTATGACTTTGGACAAATATTTTTTTCAACCTGGAACAATATGTTAGAAAGTGTTTTAGTACTTGTGAACATATTAAAACAACGCATCCATTTTCAAGTTGAAAGTGTATTTTACCATGACCAGTTCAGAAATCAATCGTACCACGAGAAAAACAGATTAAAAGAGATACTACCGAGATTTAGGATCTCACCAGCTAAAGATACCTCTAACAACCACCCGTCACCTTAGAATCCAGAAGGAAACTGAGCCGAGTTAAGTTTCGCAAGGACTTTTGGGATTGTTACGAGGGACAAGGAAAAAATTTGGCCAATAGCGCACCGGCGCGTCTCCAGTAACGAACCCAGAATCAATTGTGGGACGCATTTCGGCCCCAATTCCCTTCTCTTTTCTTAAATGGCAAATAACACTAGTCAATACTGTACCTTTGGGTCGGCAAGTCTCTCCCAAGAGGGAACAAGGTAGAATACCAGTCCATCTTTAGCCCCAGGTAGGGTGACCCCTCGGAAAAACAAGATCACCAAGATAACGTAAGGCGCTGTGGCTGTTACGTACACAACCTGCAAATAATACCAAAATAACCTCAGGTTTTTTTAATGAGGTGTTTTGATGCAAGATGGTGTCCCCGTGGAGTCATTTACATCCCATAGGGTTGCACCGGGGCTAAAAGCGAATTCTACAGCATTTTTCAAAGAGGGTATTGCAACATGCGCACTCAGTTCAATTAATCAATCATAGGGATAAATTATAGAGACAAATTGCTTGTTGCCGTGTGAGTTTCTCGGCGAGAAATGTATCAGATTCTAGTCAGGATATTTCTGTGCATTCCTTTGGTGGAATCAGTGGTCTTCGAAGCATGCATGTATTAGTACGCGTGTATAAATTTTACCCCTGTATGAAATGAATGGTATTCTAAACAAGTAAACTCAGGGGTGGGAGAAGCAACTATAGCTAATAGCCAGCCAAACCTAGTTATTCTTCATGTGATCACCTTTCCAGTGGTTCGCACGCCTTTCCATATACAGAAATAAACTAGTATCCAGGCCACTAACACGCTGATTGTAATAGGTACATTGAGAGAGCCTGGTTCATCAATCCCGCTGGAAATCTTCAGCGTTTCCTTTCTGTTGATAAAATAAACAACTCTGATAATGACATAGAACGTCCCCCTAAAAGATTAGGAAGAGCATTTGAGCATGTCGGAGACGGGACATCCATTTACGTGGTCTTCTATTACCAGTCACGTAAAGTATGATCTGAACTTCCACATTTAGTTTACGACTGCTTGTTGGTCCAGCTTCAATCTCGCTTTGTGGACCAGCGATCTTTACCTCCCATATTACGCAGACTCTTTAAAACCACCTCTACAAAAAAACGTTAATGACTATACCGTCCTGCATGCATGTTATGTCGTTTTGTGCTCCGTGACGATATTTCGCCAGCCTCTATGACACGCATGATCTTGATCCTTAATTTTTACGGCCCCAGTAAAAAGTCTCTGATTGAAACACTGCTCATAACAAGTAGAAACATCACTTACCGCATTTTTTTTCTCATCGCATTAACATAATAATAAATCGAAATGGCAAACAGAGAAAACAAGGAATCTCCTGCCTCACTTTCACTCAAAGGCCAGGATACACAGCACGCATCTGTGAAGTGGCCCACTGAAAGTAAGCTACACAGTCTAAAACAACTTACACGAGGAATTCCCGACTAGGGGAAGACCCGGATGCATTAGGATTTGAAGCGTTGTAGACATAGCAGTCTGGTGTGTTCCACGGGTGATGACATCCCACCCATGGAATATCCTTCTTGAAAGCCTGATAGAAGTAAAACAGAGACCACGCCATGATAACGTTATAGTAGACTGATACCAGGAATGAGACGGCGATGCTTGCAAAACCGATTCCTAAGGAAAAAAGGAATGCACTTATTAAGAGTAAGACTCATTCAGGTTTTAGTACATGCCAGTAGCGGACCCAGACCTTCAGATAAGGGTTGGGGGCGGTCTCTAAAAAAGTGTTTTCGCCCTTTCGGGCCTCAGTTTGGTCTAAAAATAAGGGGGAGGCCTGGGCCCCCGGGCCCCTTTCCTGGATCCGCCAGAGTATGTAGGTCTCCAAAATAGTAAATATCGTCAGCCACTTTAATCGAGATGATGGCGATTTAAGGCAAGAGGGGTACAAATTACCTCTGAGCAACGGACAAAGCTTGTTCCAGGCGTGCACTGGTTCTGACTGAGTAAATTGTCCCACACATTGTTCAAGGAAAAAAATCGGTACCCCTCCAAAGGCCAGAAAGAGTAGGTAAGGAATCAAAAATGCCCCTGCAGAAACGAAAAACAGATCATCACTGACACCAGTACTGAGGAAAAATACTTAAGTTAGTTCTCTATTCATGACATAGTACAACTGGACGGTAAACTGCGCCTAGTTTGCAAATTCTGTTGAGAGTTTTCTTAAGCTTTTCTAAGCTGTTTAGCAAGCCGGTGAAAAATATGAAGGGAGTTTCCTTTTGTTGCGCTGTCTCATAGTTTCAATCATTTTGTTTAATGACTTATTCCTGCCAGCCTTTTAAATGTTTTCTACGTTTTCAATGCTTCGAATGTTAGAAAGCGTTCATTTTGAGCGGAGCCTAATCGCATACTCGGCTTCGATTCCTTTCTTTCGATTCCCTTCCCCACCTAGAAGCTCGTCGGTTAAAAAGCGTCCGCTGGTGGCCAGAGCTCAAAAGTATACTCGGCTTCGATTCCGATCTCTTCCCCACTCAGAAATTTATCATGTGCTGTGTTTTTTGTGAATAAACCTATCAATACTTACCGCCTCCATTTTTAAAGCACATGTATGGAAATCTCCACATGTTTCCATATCCTACGCAGAAACCAATGCACGCGAACAAAAACTCAATTTTTCTGCTCCAACGATCTCGGCCTTCCTTTTCTACTACAAAGACAGGCTTTTCCTCATGATGTTCGGGTTTTCTCTCCAAAGTAAACGTTACAGATCCGCTGTCTAGAGTGTTCATGTCTGGAAACAAATACATACACAAACAAGAAGAGATTGGATTTCTGACACAAAACAGTTATAGAAATAGTACTACGTTTGTGCATTTGTTAGCTTCAAAACACCACGCAAAGACTATAAAAGTGGAAGATATTTGCTTTTTAGTGGGCGCGCGACACTACATGACCCCCCGCTTTTCATTCTTAAGTTCAAGTTCAAGTTCATTTATTCCCACTTATTCAATTACAATACAACAACAATAAGAAAAAAAGAAGAAGTAAAAACAGAGCTAACTACACATTGAATTGAACATAACAAAGGAAAAAAAGTGTGTAGCAGCCAAAGGAACCAAGCTTTCGAGTTGGCTACTACCACTGAGCGGTTACAAGCGGGTGGAGGTTATACGGATGACCTTAGTTATTCGAACTAAAGTTCATTTCCTTAGCCTTGCCACACTTTTTGTGTCGTTCTACTATGTTTAATTCCAGCTCTGCTATTATGAATTCCCCATTATTTAAACTAATTTTTGTTGCCTATGGACTTCATGTTAAAATGTATTATCTAATCTGAATCTATTTGCGGGAATGCATTAAGAGGTTCCTTACAAAGATTAACTGAACTTTTAATTTAATCTACTTTGAAATTTTCGGTTAATAAAGGCTACAAGCAAACATTTGGTACTTTTGTACTATGCTGGTTATTTCGAGCCCCCGTTCAACTCCAACTATCTCCTCCCCTTCAATTGAGGAGCGTTCAACGGTATTGGCCTTTTATTACCAGAAACGAGAACTGCTGTAAACAACGAATGATAAGTATATTGGACCCTGTTTTTATATTGTCATCTAGTGAAGCTTGGTTTGAATTCAAAGACAAATACAAAAAGTTTGAAAGTATAACCGGGGAGAGCTATGCTTTGGCATCAGCCACTGATCAGAGGATATGGGTCGTTCAGGCCTTCAATTCACAGAGAGTTTGTGACGTGCTTTGCATTCACTACCTCTCTATAAACAGTCCAAATTTCATGCCATTCTTGAAATTTCTTTCATTGATAGTTTTGTGAACCTTTCGAAAATCGTAAATAACACATGCCTTTGTTAGCCCCGGTGAACCGCTTTCCCGCCCCCTCCCTAGGCAATATAACAGTGAACAATGGTTACATAAACTGCTCTGGATGAGTAAGTCTGGTTGCAAAATTCCACCATATCAAATAACTACGCCTAGAGCATTGGAGACATTGTGAAACATTGACAGCAATGTAGTTCAAAGCGGAATGTTTGAAACTGTTTATGATACGACTTAATAGATACCGCCAAGGCGGAGGGCCATTATAAAAACAAATATTAAAAGGCGAAAATATTATTAATAAGAGCCGTCAACACGCTCTCCTGTTGTTCTGTCTTCCTAGTAGTTTCAAGTCGTATATTAAACGGCTCTCGCTGCACGTACAATTATATATCAAAGGAAGCTGAAAAAAATTCCTGACTTAACCGGAGAGGCTTTCCGCACAACTACATACAAGGCATGCCCATGTGCTTTTTGAACTTTTCAATATCAAAATACCTCAAGTACGTTCTTAAAATTGGGTCTACAGCAAAACACGAACCAGTTTGTTTGCATGTACTTCACAAACGATACGCAGCCTTAGTTTTTTTTGTCTTGTCAAAAGATGGACAATTACATTGTATTTATAAAACAAACGTACCCACCAGCCACTATCGCCATGTTTATTTTAAGGTGAAGTGAACATAATTAATTTGTGTACCAGCCATGCATGGCGCCCGCGACAAGATCTCCGGAAATTATTATTTATTTACTTTCCAACCACAAATCTCAGTTGTTTTTGTTCCCTCATTATAACAATTTCCTTTCAAAAAGGACTCAAGAAACGGAATTTCCCGCACACATATCATTCAACATATTACCTGATCTGAGCCGGCTTCATTAGGAACAATGAATTGTCATGTTGACATATGGAATTCTACGGGAACGTGGAGAGCTCCATAGAACTCCGTATTTGTGGTCTTTATGGGGTAATCACGGCTGGTACAGTCTTAAGACGTAAACGAGTATGCTTTATAGCCAAAGAAAAAGGCGTCCTCCAATTGTTTACATCTGAATACTGTGTATACACATGTGTTCCCAATTCGCAATCGCTGACTACCTTGCTCATTTGATTCTAGGCCGGCAGAAAAACTTGCAGAGATGACCAGCTTTTCTACGATCATTCAAAAAAATTGTTGCGCAAAAATACACCCGATCTCTAAAATTTCTACTTGCCTCTCACCTGTAGATCTTGTTCTTCTTGAGGAGAGCAAAGGCAACAACAAACCACGCACATGCACACTTGTGGTCACAGCTGCCTAATCTCCGGTTTGCTTGCCGCGCGGAGGGTTACGGTTTTCAATATTTGTTGTCCTGTCTGATCTAATTTGCCAAGATCAATAAACCAGACCAGCACACATGGTCACGCAAGTCTACTTTATGTGTACCCCACGTCCCCGCCCACGCGCACGTAGCGAGAACTTTTACCGGAACTCAGTTATAGGGCACGCATCCTTAATGGCTTCCATAAGGGTTTCCTTAATCTATTTATCATATCGCCTGGATATGCTGTAGCCTGGGAGCAGGCCCTCTTGTGCGAGTTTGGGGAAAATTTTGCGGCGAAGCGCGAGCCGGCGAAGCCACAATTCGACACAATGCACTTTTCCTCGCCCGCAAGTTCCCTATCCAGGTCTCGAGAGACAAGTCTGCTTGCACCGCACCTAATACCCCAATTAAGGTCCCAAAAAAATACCCGATAAATCAAGGTAATTTTTTCTCCTTTTTCTTTGCCAGTTTTTCGTGTCTCATTCCGTATAAAGCTTAGCCCTTCATGATATAAGCAGTACGTTCACAGGCTGGCATCTCAGACAAGGAACTCAGGGTCCGTGATGAGGAAACGTCTTGAGAAAAAGATAGTCCGGTATCGATTTCAATATTTATTTTTAATTTTTTAAATATATTTGAGGGAAAAAGCACCATAAAAGGGCACTATCACAGGAATTCTTGCCATACTGTTAAAAAAAGGTACAGACTTAAAAGCGAATTCTAAGGAAGAAAACCAATCGAGTATTAGAATTTCCGGCAGCCTCCGTAGCTGGTGGTAGAGGAGACTGTTTACAAACATTGTTTTTGGTATTCGAATTTGAATCGAATGAAACAAAGAATCTTTTGTGGTAAGAACCAATGCACTTCTGGTTAACACATTAATATCAACAGGTGAAGTCAGCGTAAGTATCTGTGACTGTTGACAAAACAACGACCACACAAGCATCCTTGGAATGAATTTGGCTGTAAAGCAGCAAGAAGAATTGGCCGCCAGAAAGGTGGGGTGGGGCACTTGCGCACTCTAATCCAGCCGTGTCCCAGCTACGAAGGCTACATTCCGGCGGTTTTTATGCGAGAATGGCAAAAATCCGATCCTTTTCCTCTTCATCAGTTTTGGCCCTAGGCAAGAAAAATGTGTGCGTCATTGCAGTTGCTAAGCAACTGTCCTTACAATTTATTCTTACTGTGCTCGTTTTTCAGTTTCTTGAATTTTTTTTTACCTAAATGATACTTTTTCTCCTCAGCTTGGGTTGTGACAGTTCATTTGTTAAGTAGCTAAGTAGCTACGATATTGTTTCATTGCAGTTATATTTGACCAGCCTACTTAGCACCAGTCTCCTGTCCTTCGAAAAGACCATATTTGGCCTCTACTTCCGGCCACGTGACTTTGCCGCGGACAAGGCTGTTGACTATAGACGGAAGCTCCTCAATCTAAACAAAAACAAAATACAATTCCTTTTGCTTATTATTATTGTTATTATAAGTTTCCGCAACGAAACAAAATACTCAAGTTAGTTACACCTGAGATTTTGAAGCGAAAGAAACGGCGTCAGCAGACGTTTGTAAACAACAACAACAACAAAAAACAACAACAAAAAACAAAGCAAAACGCAGAAAAACGGTCAGACGGTAGACTTTGAATCAGCGAAAGCTGCTACCCACTGCTTTCAAATCCCTGGCATTGATTATGGTTGAACTTTCCCGAGCGAAAAATGTTAAACAGTTGTGTATTGCCAAGACAATGTAAGTTAATTGCCTAGTTTCGATCCAAGGAGGGCTGGGTACGAGTCGGCTTATTATGGGATAATAACACGAGACCCACATAGTAAGTAAGAGCCCATTGAGATTAGGAAAATTTTTAAATTTGGTATCAATCGCATTCGGGCCAAAATTTAACAGCTATTTAAAAACTTGAAAATCAATAAAAGATGTATGGATTAGAGGACACACCGTCCGGACGTCTATACATTTCTTAATAAATTTTGTAGTTTTTGAATGGCTGTATCTCGTTCAATATAAGCCTGATAAATACCAGACTTGAGAATATTGCTAACCTCAAATGTGCTCTTTCTGACTACATGGGTCTCGTGTTGTTTATCCCATAATAACCCGACTCGTACCCAGCCTTTGTTGGTTTGAAACTAAGCAATAATCGTTTACCTCGGCGCGTATTTGACGAGTAGAGTTTCTTTCTCGTAGAGTGGCACTGTGTGGCTCTTTGTTTACAGTATCAAAGTCCACTGTGATGCCAAATGGAATGGCAATCTCATCCGTACGCGCGTAACGGCGGCCGATCGATCCACTTGAATCGTCCACTTTGTGGGAAATATCTAGCTCTGTTAGAGAGGTTGCTGTGTTGAAGAAATGGGGAAGAAAAAAAGGAGAAAGGAGACAGAAAATTGAAATGAGAGCTAAGACCACGACGCAAAGAATTCACAAAATTTAATTTCTTGAACAAACAGTTTACCATGCAAAACTGTGAAACACAACTACGAGAAAACCTTTAAAAAACGCATGAAATTTCTCTTTCTTCGAATTGAAAAGGGGTAACTTAAAAACTTTATTGGCAATAAAAAAATCCTGTTATCCCCTTCGGACAACAACTTCATATGAACAAAGAATAGAAATGAAGATGGGTTTTTTTTAGTAGCCTTCGAACGCAGACGTATTTCCGGTTGTCGCTTCTCTCCACCCGAAAAGTAAAATTAGGAGGGGTCTGAGGAGGGGAGCATGGGTTCTAATCCCCAGTACTCCACTCCTCAATCAAAGCCCTAAAAGACAACTCAAGACTAAGAGCTATTACTTGGACTTAGCACTTGCGCGATGATCATTTCCCGCAAAAGTAGACTCAAACCTTAAGAATCTTCATATTACTGGAAATGCATCTAGATTTACTAAATCAAATTTGAAACGAAAGACGGGATTACTTACACAGTTTCTTGACAAATTGAACAAATTCCTTGTTTTTGCTGAGTGGAAGAACAGAACATTTGACTGGAGCGACTGCAGGCGGCAAAGACAGCCACTAAACAAGACAAACAAAACCTTTTAATCAGTTACTTCCCCTCAATAATTCATGTTCAAACTGCTTAAATATAATTTGCTTCTTGTTAAGAAGTTACCCCCAATCCTCCCCCCCTTCCCCCGAAAAAAAAAATGATGCGGATTGATAGTCTCTGGCCTGTCCAGGGGACGGGGGGGAGGGGTTACTTGAGTGTCCGTTCAGCCCTCCACCTCACCCCACCCCAGCCTATTCTTACACCTTCTATCCAAGATACCCCTTCTTCATTCTCACACGCTGCTTACTGTGACTGGGTATGTTGCCCTTGCTAATGCTTGTGTTGCAACCAGTGAAACAAGGATAGTTTAACACAGCAAAAGATGTTGCAGCTTTTTAAAGTTGTATAAACAAACCCATTTTTTTTAAAGACTGGCTGTCGTAGGCTAGGCGTCGTTGCAACTCGTTACATGAAATAGTAGCCTATTTCTATCGTCGTTCAGCAACTTTCAACATGTTGAATGGCGTTCGTAACATCCTGGCCTGCGTGGTACGCGTTAAAAGACGAAGGGATGGGGACTATTTTTCCCATCCTTGCGCGCCCCTCGCGCACTCGCACGCTCAGATTCCCCCTTCCTCTTCCCACTCAGGCTAGTAACATTCAGCATGGGATGATACACCGTTCAACAAGAGCTGCAACTATTGTTGATCAAAAAAGTTAAATCGTGTGTCACTGGCTATAGATATACACAAGGTCTAGATTGTGAGAGGGTAAGAAGCAAAGAAAGAACAATACCGTTCTTTGTTCGTCTCCTTCTCTGATTTGAAAGTTATGTTCAAGGACAGAGTACATGATTCTCCCCACTCCAAAAGAAGGCTCTATCACGTGAGGTTCCACGTCACGGACTGAAGAAAATACAAGGATACATAACTCAATAACATTGCTGATAAAAATTTCCTCCACATAAAAATTCTCCAGACTGAATTCCATGCATTTCCTTAAAAAATTAGTTGAGAGAATTTGATAAAAGATCAAAGCATTTTCTCTCAGCCGATCGTTTTATTACTTTTTTGCAACCTTTTCTGTTGGTCATCTATTCATATCGTTAGCCACTATACAACTCGATTACAGACATGATCTAGCAATGACGAACAGTCAGACTAAGAGATCACAATTGAAAAAAATCAGACTACTCCTAGAAATTTAGGCTATAAAATTGGTAAGGTACTTTTTTTTCGCAAATATACACCGGACGTCTAAAGACAAAAGAGAAGTTTTCATAATATGCACTAGTTGGATTTTACTAAAACTATTATTCCTCTCGCCCTCATGGCCTCTGAGTCAGTAGCCCATTTGGCCGTCAGCCTCAAGAGCTATTGACTCAGAGCCCATTTGGGCTCGAGGAATAATGGTTAATTAAAACTTAGGACGTTATTCCGTTATCCATCACTTACCATGGACTTCCTTTTGGTATCGTTTGATTTCCCTGATCATTGACTTTTGAATGATGAATTCTTTTGAGTCTACAGTTATGGTTGCCTCTCTGAGTAAGAAAACATGACATAAACCACAGTAATATAGAATGGTTTTTCGTTATGCCAAAAAACAATTTCTTGATTGTTTGATTTTTTTCCACCACGCCCTGCGATAAGCTAAACAATCTCGCGTCAGTTTCTCTATTAATCAGCGGTAACTTGAACAAAACCTAAAACTAATTATCATTCGCTCCAACACGTTTTTTCAGTGCAAGATACATGTTTTGCTTTAAATTATTGGTGATCTCCGCATTTAAGTTTATTTCAATTGGCCGATATAATAATCTTGGATTTAAGTTTGAGGACTTTTAACCGAAAACCTCTCTATTGCTTATTGTTAAATGGCTGGTTCCGCAAGCGGACAAGATAAGCAAATCCTGTGTTCTGATTGGCTACTCAAGCGGGTAACATGCATGGCGCGCGTACCTTGCTCGCACGGATTTCTCACTATGGCGCCGCGAGAAAAAGTTCTCGGAGAAATAAAAAAAAAAAACTTGCAACGAACTGCAAACCACAAAAGAGAAAGAGAGAGAAATATCGCCCACATTTCCTAATCTGAATTCTCTTTCGGTACCCAAATGTGTCAGATTCTCAAGTCTAGAGAATGGTAACTTTTTATTCAGTTACTCTCACCCATTTTCATTAAGTTTGTCTTCAAATTCTTTCACGCTATCCTTGTCCCTCTGCGCCAGATAGTCCATAACAATTTTTCCTTCTTTCTTGAAAGCTTTTCCAATGGTAGGCTTTTCAGGGACGATCTCTACCACGTCCACCATTTCCTTAAAGTTATGATTCAAGGCTAATACAAACGCATAATTATAAAACCCTTTTATATGCTCTGCAAAGCTTGCATTGAGTCAGAAGACCATCGGCAGACCTCAGCGTCCATCCTTTAGATATGATACGATAGATTGAAGGTTGTTTATAAACTGACTTATCTTTCGCGCCAAAACAAGAACAGTCAATCAGAAAAAAAGAACGATTTACAGCAATTGCGGATGAGAACAGGGAGGCAAAGAGAAAGGCGCTTTGTAGCTTAACAGTCACATGGTACGGAAACACCGTGAAACCGGAAACACCGTGGAACCGGAAACACCGTGAAACCGGAAACACCGTGAAACCGGAAAAACTGTGGAACCGGCCTTAAGATGAAAGAAAGGTTCTGGCCGTGCGAAAATTGGAACAAGAGCTCTTTAACTCGCCCCATTTTTCGCGCGGTCTTTGTGTCTCGTTCAAGTTTTCACGCGGCCAAAATCGAAAATCCCGTTCCTTGCTCCGAAACCGCACGGAAACGCTTGTTCCGCAGGTTAGTAAAACCAGCCTCAACGTGATGGGTCCATGGTTTTACTGGGGGATTGCAACCATTAAAGAGCAAGAAAACCTTGGTTTAAAATGGAAACAGTCTACAACCTAAACGGTTAGAAGGATACAGGTTGAGGAAGATCAACTTGAGCGACCAAACGTTCACCGGCTGCTTTTGTGTGAACTGAGAGATCATAACAGGCTCTGTCGGCACATCCTACACATTCGATCCAACCCTGTAATAAAGACAAACATACAGGCAATCATTTTTTATCCATCACCATGGCAACCACGAAAGGGTAAGTTCAGTTTATGGGACGCTGGTCTTCAAAGTGGCAGGTTGCATGGCTGGACCAGTACTCTGGGTCTTCAGGCAACTGGGCAAGAAAGTAATGCCTTTGCTCTGCAAACGGTGGATGACCACATAAAATGGCTGGTCTTATCTCCGTGAGGGGACGTAAATATGGTAATTTATTCTCACTGGTGCCTTTTGCAAACAATGTCTGTACTACTAATAAGATATGGAGGAGTCAGCCCAAGTCGGTAAGAAGGTGAGAACAGCAAGTGCCTGGTTGTCAACTAATTCAACGCTGCAGGCAGAGGGGTGGGGCACGAAAAGAAGCATACGAAAAACCGAAAAGACTAAGCACACTAAAGACACCCACAATAAAAGGGCACGTGTTGGATTGCCATGGACTATATGCGATGTGTTAGGGATTGTGTAGCATTACGTAAAGTTCTCCCAATAAGAACTTTTGTGCCAAATGCACCAAAGACCGAGGATTTCTGAAGTTGATAAAAAGCATTCTAATGATAAAACAGAATTCCAAAGAATCCTTTAACTTTCTTTTCCTTTTCTAAACGTTTTTTTTTTTTGCAGCAAGAAGCATTTAAATATACCCACAACTTGCGATATCCTTTTATGGACGAGTCGCAGGCACAAAGGGCAATTACGTGGGTTTATGGTCTTCTCGAATTATTTGCGAAAAGTTATCGCTTTCAGAATGCTGGCTGCGTATGCAATTACAAGATCACACGCGCAAAGTGTTAACAAAAAAAAAACAACAACAACAAAATTAACACTCACATAGGAGGTAAGAAGTTCTGCATCCCAACAGTCGCAGGCATAATGTGCCATCTCATTAAACATGTGCTGTCTAAAGCGAATCTTCTTTGGGTCAGCTCCAACTTTTAACAAGAACAGGTACACTCGGCCAAGAAAGTAACCCATGGTCTGGGTACTAACGATTTTCTGTCGTCAGAGAGTAAACAAATTGAAGCAATGGTTAAGAGTTTGAGAGCCAAATGGCTAACAAGAGGCCCTCCAGGTCCCTAGTCTAAAGTTCAAATGCGGTCGTTTCACGTTTTGAGGAGAAGGCCATGTACATGGCGGTATTTAACCCATCTTTATATCGTTTGTCATCATTTCATCTTGTCTTATGTCGCTGTTTCAAGGCTATCATACTTGTTGGAATTTTACCCTAACAGGGCCTCTATTAACCCTTTAAGCCCAATATCCACATACAAATTCTCCAAACTGATCCTCATACATTTCCTCAAAGAATAAGTTGAGAGAATTTGATAAAAGATCAAAGCATTTTCTCTTTGGTGGTCATTTTACTACTTGTCATGACCTAATCCCTTGACTATGTACGGATATCATTAGGAGAAAATTGCCGTTGGTTATTATTATGACTTAAAGGGTTAAGTTAATAGAGTTTAATACATGACAGAACAAAACACAAGAAGACAAGGTGCATTCCATTGTGCATTACTTAAGAAGCTATAGTAAATACCACTGTGGGTAACCTTGAAAGACCTGATAATTTCTATTGTGCTTAACTTTCCTGTTAATAAGGTAATAAGGCCATGACAAGGACCAGAACATTCAAATGAAGTTAGTACAGCTCAAGTATGTAATCTAATTTGAATTACCTGGTATTCAATATCAATCTTCATTCAATTTCAACTTTAATCAATCAATTCTAGTTCTTACAACTTTAATCTGCAGAACTGAGAAAGAATCCTTCGCATTTGTTTTTCTTCTATGCATAAGGTCTTTCTGGAAAGAAAATTCTTTTAAGTAAGGTTTCTGATAAAGTGTTTGAACTAACCAAAATATTTTAATTCAAAATGAAACAAGAAATTGGTAGTGAAAGAACTGACAACTGTCACATGGTGGACTAGAATGAAACATTTGATAAAGGGCTAGGATCGTAAAAAAGGAGTGTGGACCGGAACCTAATGTCAAGATCTCACAGAAACGTCTAAGGAAGAGAAGACCACTGACCTGGTTGACTGCATCCTCAAGTGAAATGTTCAGGGGTGGTTTCCCTTCTATCTGGTTCTCTGAAGGGTACAGAGTTACCTTCTGGGAGCTCACATTTTCAAATTTAGGATGACTCTTGTCAGTTGGATCAACAAAATGTTCTATTTCAGCCAAAGTGAATTCTCTGAATAAAAAAAAGTGGGAATAAGCATATGTTATCATAAGACGAATAACATCATAAATTTGAAAAGACTTCCTGGAAATATCATGTGCATTGAGTTGCAACGACTATGGAATGACAAGATGTTGCTGTTAGAACTATACAGTTTCTTGTCAGTAATAAGATCTACTAAAATTGTAAGTAATAGTTAAAATGATTATTATAATCAACCCTCTCTAATAATTACACAGTAGGAACTGTGGCATTTTATGGATGAGATTTCCATTAATTGGACATTAGGTGGTGTCTACCTTGGTGCTCCTCTAAAGAAGTTGTTCATTTGTGGATTGAGATGCCTGTTTGATGAAAGGTCCATTAAGAAAGAGTTGACTGCATCTTAGTTTACCTCACTCTTAGAAGACCTGATCGAGGTGAAATTTCATTCCTGAAGGCAGGTCCAATCTGAGCTGCAGCAAATGGTAGTCTTCCATTATTGGCATCCAAAAGACGCTTGAAATTTACAAAGATTCCTTGTGCTGTTTCTGGTCTGAGATAGCTACACAAGAAAGACAACATTTTAAAAAAATTATGATGGTGGCATACATCATATTATTTGACCTATGATATTTTTTTTGGTTGATGCAGAGGAAAGAGTAACTGCTGTTTCTACTGGTAATTATGATGGTAGAATACATCATATCATTATTTGACCTATGATTTTTTTTTGGTTGATGCAGAGGAAAGAGTAACTGCTGTTTCTACTGGTAGCACAAAGGCACTGTACTTGCTATTTGTTTGAAAATTTTTTCTCCTTCATATTAAGTTTGTATTAAGTTTTTTTGTCTTTAGGAGGCTAGTGGTGAAGAAAATCAGAGAAACACAAAGATCCATGTATGTCAACAAAAAAAGCCCCATCTTTGTATCCAAGGGTTGTCTAGAGAGAGAAGGGGCTAAAGTTTGAGCAAGCCCCCTTTATGCATCAACACAGAATTGACCTCACATACCCTATAGAAGGAGCCTGATTAGTAGGGCTAGAACCACTTGCAGAGGGTAGAATCAGTTTACACAAGGATGGGCCCACTTACCTGGGAATGAACCCATCTACCCATGGGTGACCCTATTCAACCAGGGACCAGCAATCTTACCCAGAACAAACCCAGGGACAAGCCCACTCACTCAGTAATGAACCCACTTACAGCTTACCCGCAGACAAGTCTGATTACCTATAAGTAACCCTGTAAACTCATGGACAAGCACCCATACACAGGACTAACCTGCTAATTTAAGGATGTCCTTTCTTGCAGAAGGACAAAAACTAATTATGGAAGTCACTTCAAGATGATTCCACTCACCCAGGAATGACCTCTTCACCCATAAATAAATAAAATTAAGAACAGATAATGTAACTTACCCAGGAATGAGCCCACTGGGACCAATTGAAGTTGTAAACATCAAATTAAACTCCACAGGGTCGGAAAGGTCATTTCCAGTCACAGGTGCCTTGGCATCATATTTAGAGATAAGGTCGCCAAGTTCTTTCATTCCATAGTTGTCAATCTAAAAAGCAACATAGTATGTAATGACATTGATTATAAAAAGACACAGTGTGAGTTCTTGAAACAATAAGTTTGCAACACCAATTTTAAAATAAACATGGCAAACGACATTTCTCCCAGTCCTGAACAAACAAGTTAATATTAATTTTATTTCACCATTATTTTAAATTATTCATTTCTATCTTTACCTGACCAATAACACTTTCATATTCCTTTCTCTTTTCAGCATCCAGCTTCTTATCAGCCAACAACTTTTCAAGATGACCTTAAAGAAAACGAATGCAACATTGAACTTTTAGGGGCATTTATTTAAACAAAGTCTAACTTAGGCCATGGTTTAAGAAATCAGTGGACCTCTAGATCTCTTAGAACGTTAATTTAAGAAAATTAGTGCTTTTCCAGTCTATGCTCTATTGAAAATTTATTTTCAACAATTAATTTCAATAGAGCATACAATGTTGTTTAGATAAAAGTGTTGGGCAAACTGAGAATGGCTGAGAAGGTGGTTTTGTTAAACACAGGCTTGACTCTGTTTAAATAACTAGCCCTTAGTGTTCTTCTTTTTGCATGTACATGTATTTTGTAAAGCCTGCTGTCTTACTTTCGTTGCTTACGGGCTTTTTTGCCCACTAACTCCCTAAGTGTTGTAATTAGTAATAGTTATTACAAATAATTAATGTAATAAAATCATTCTTCCTGAAAAGCCCCTTTGGTGAGGTAACAATAAAGTATGTATGTAATAGTATAATTCTGTAGGCTCACTGTGGGTCATGCAGTAGTGTCTGACTAGGTAATTAATATTGCAAACATTTTCCAGCTCAAAATACAACTTTCAAAGGCTTAAATTTCCTTGCTTTTTATTTCTAAATTTGAGGTACAACTTTTAAAGAAGGGCTTTCATGTCAAAACAACCCAGTTTAATTACAAAATGGGCAATAGCCATCTGAACATCTAGGGGTTAACTTTAGCAGTTGTGTCCTTGGCCAGATTAAGGTGTTTTTTACTCTGTTTCCTTTTTTAATTAAAAGTTCAATGTGAATTAAATAATAAAATAAAAACAAAACACCTTCTAGAAGATGATCAGCTCTAAAGCAGTCACCAGTCTTGACATCTTTCACCATAAAATCAGCAAACCTATCTACATGACCTGAAGCTCTGCAACCAGAGAAAATGAGGAAATTTGATCATAACAACTAGATTATCAGACGTAAATAAAGCTGGTCAGTAAACTGGGCAATGAGAGAGTTAAGGATTATTGTGAGCCCTTGACGGACAAGACAACTCCTCATGTCATCATCTTATAAATAATATATTTTTTGTATGGTTTAACACTTTAAGCCCTAAGAGTGATCAGCATCAAATTTCTCCTTGTAATAGCAATGTTTTGTAAAATAGAGTGGTCAAGAGAATTTGAGGACAAGATCACGCAAGATGTATTTGCTTGATATTTTATCAACTTCTCCCCACTACTTCTATAGTAAATGAATAGGCGTGACAAATGAGAATTTTAATTTTGACCTTAAGGCTTAAAGGGTTAAAAGAGTAGGCAGTGATTTGATCCCATATGGATAACAGCACTGCAGTTCTCCAAGAGGATATAACTTAACTGAGTAGTCTCTCTGTACTATCTGTAAATATAACTTACTTAAGAACTTGATGAGGTGTAAGTAGAGATGCTCTTATTTCCAACATCTGTTCTTCTAGAACAAAGTGTGACTTCCAAATGTTTATCATGTTTGCCTCCATGGCACAGCCAGATGGGCCATAATCATACAGACCAGCTACACCTGGAAAAAAGCAAAAAAGAGAGCAATTAAAAATAGTAGCATAGCAAAATCACTGTTTGAAATAAGGATACAGATGAATACAAATAAGCACCTAGTACTTGCATACCTGCCAACTCTCCCGGTTTTCCCGGGAGTCTCCAAGTTTTTCATCAAATCTCCCGATCTCCCGGTTAGAGCACCAAAGCTCCTGAATAAAATGGACTTTTGAGCATTTCTGTGCTTAGTTTGAAATTTAGTCCATTTTTTCACAAACTTCGAACTTTTTTAATTCATTGTACAGTTTCTGGGACATTTTTGCACATGTTTAGTCAATGACAAAGATTAGTTCGTCATTACAATGATGAAAGCACATTTTGATCCCATGTACGTCATGTAAGATGTCATATAATGTCCTAAGGCAATTTGTTGGTGCAGTGGGGGGGAGTGGGGGTGTTGGTGCTGTTGACATTCGGGGGGTGTAATGCAAAATAGAGAGTCTCCAGATTTTAGATCTCTGGGGGTTGGCAGGTATGTACTTGCCTACCTCCATAGATTTCGAAAGAAGGAACAAAAAAGAACCGCCTTTTCAACAAGTCCTCTAATTTAGCTCTGTCAAACTTCTCCTGTTTTGGGGCTAGCTCTTTTTCCTGTAAAATAAAATTTAAAAGGCAGGTGCGTTTTGTTATCAACTCCTCAAACAGGTTGGTATCTTCATAAAAAAGGTGAAAGATTCCATTGCATTAAAATAATAATTGACTGAAAACTAACCTGCGATCAGGTGTTCTTTTTTTTAAGCAAATGGCAAATCTCTCAAAGAACAAGGGAAGAAGGATACCTGTCACAGGTTTAACTGAAAATTAGCTTGTTACCTTGGTCTCAAGAGCCTTTTTCCTGACTTTGAGCTCTTTTACAGCAACTTCAAGGTCATTTGCTGGAGCATTTTCGTCTTTTAGCTTTCGGACCAAATCACCCTATAAGAAAATTAGAAAAAAAACCCTGTTAACTCAAACCTCCTTGAAAATAATATTATTTGTCTCACACATTCCTTTTAACTAGATGCATTGGTACCACTTATGTAAAAAGCAAAGGTTTGATTTTCTTTTGTCCTTATGAAAAAGGTAAAAAATCCTTTTCTAAGTTTTTGCCAGTTTCTTTGAAGAAAAAATTGGACACCACTGCAATACATACAGTCATGTGACAGGTTTCATCTTAAATCCATTAATACATAAATGTGCATATTTTCCCCACTGTTCTTGATACTTCCCTACAAGCAAAGGCAGTACATTTTAAATGGTACAGAAGATTCGGGAGACCCTTTTTTCCTCTAGTATTTTTAGGTTTGTATGCTAACTTGGAGGGCCACATGAACCCCAGCTTCAACGGGTCTATTACAGTATAACTATGATAAGTATGTGGGTTTTCATGGCCGAGTGGCAATAAAGCTGTTGCACTTAAGGGACTGGTCAAAAAGTATAGGGGGGTGGGCGGAGCATTTGGAAATGTGGTTGATAAAAAACACATGACCCACCCCCTCCCTTCGGCACAAAAATGACTGACCCACCCCTAAAGCAAGGTTGGAAATTGCATGACCCACCCCCTAGTTAAAATATGGATGTTCGGTTTCCTCTTGTTCTGTGCTTCACAAAATTTGTTGATACACTGCTACAACCAATATCAAAATCACAGTTCACAATCACAAAATCACAATTTCAACAAAGACAACCCATTCCTACACATTACTTGCCCGAAATGCTTAGATTAATCCTCAAAGAAAATTTCTTCCACTTCAGTGGAAAGCACTACCTGCAAAACCATGGAACTGCAATGGGCACAAAGACAGCAGTTTTGATTCCTTTGCCAATGTTTTCATGACATATATTGAAACAACAACTCTAAGCAAAACTATCTTTAGAACAACAGTTTGAAAATGCCACATACACGATATCTTTTCCCTATGGGACATGAGTAAACCAGACATCGAAGCCTTCATTGAACAAGCAAGCTTACATCACCCAACTAATGAATTCACGGCCGAAACATTCGACACTGAGACTGCGTCTTTAGACACGGATATATACAAAGGCACAAGATTCAAGGAAAAATCTATCCTTGATGCAAAGACACATTTTAAACAAACGGAAAGCTTCTTGCACACACATTTCACCTCGTGTCACCCTCCAAATGTTAAAAAAAGAATTTGTCAAAGGAGAAGCCTTAAGAATCCTACGAAAAAACTCCTCAGAAACAACCTTTGAGGAAAATAATTCAAATTTAAAAAAAAAAAACGCTTGATGGACGGAGGCTACCCACAATCTTTCAGGGGCACCCAACGTCAATTTTCGGAAAATAACTGTTTGAAAGACGATTTGAGATCTAGAATTGTCGGAACATTATTTTGTTGTAAAACTTCTTGTTTGTCTGCCCCTCCAAGGATTTTCGAACATCTAAAAAAACGGTATAATTGCCAATTTTTTGATCCCTATAATTTTCGTATCACTAGACTTTCAGCTAGGAGATCCAAACAGATGGAAAATTTTTAGGGGATAAAAATATGCCTATATCTAATGTTTAAATTGGTTTAGAAGTATATTCTCGTTGGGTGCCCCCTATCTTTGATTGAAAACCTACTATCAGAAATAAAATTCACAAAAGGGAGTCTCAACTCCTAAAACAAAACAACAAGGAGGAAAAAGAAATATTGCCATTCGTGACACAATACCAGCTCTCAGTGTCTACTATAAAGGAAGCTTGAATGAAAAAATGGAATCTTACACAAAACCAACTATAACTTCAATAAATTTTTAAAGAACCACCAATCATTTCCTTACAAAAAAGAAGAAAAACGGTTCACAGAGGGTTCCACGCCCGTATAGATGTGCGGCCTGTCAACCTTTGTATTTTCTCGCACAACAGGTTTGTGAGTATTTTAGCAATAATTCCAGTTGGCTGTGTTTTATATAACAAGTGTAGTCAACTGTCTCGTTAGTAGTTAGTAAAAAATAGGGTGACCCACCCCCTAAGGGTAGCTGAAAATTGCACGACCCACCCCTTGCGCAACGCTCAAAACCTCATGACCCACCCCCTCTCTGCTCCGGCCCACCCCCCGCTATACTTTTTGACCAGTCCCTAATGTTGGTCACCATTGGGACCATTGGGAAGGTTAAATCTTTCCATCTTGGGTTGAGTTCTGGGTACAGGCAGCCTAAGCTTAGTGGTTACTGGGAGAAGCTTGGGTTGCCTGTGCTAGAGGGTGATGCAATTGACACACAGGCCTGGTAATCAGCAAAAATAAACATAATAAGAGATAATATAAAGGAAACAATACTTGCACACCCTATGGTTTCTGTAATTACAAAATTCCACTTCCGCTGGAAATTCGGAATGTGGGAGTAAGCTTATGGAACGTAGCGTACCAGCTGCTCTTTCGTCTACATCAGTACGGCTGTTTACATGTGTAATACTTGATACAAGGTAAAATAAACACCTGAACACGTAATATTTCAGCCCCCCAAAATTTAAAGAATGTTACATACCTGTTCTTTTACAGATTTCCGTAGATTATCCAAAATGCTTGAATTTTCGGCGCCACAATCAGACATTGTTGCTTTTCCACCAACAGAAAATATTGACTTGAAACTATGGTTTTTGATGCTTGGTAAGTGTGACTTAGGAAAGCAAACGATTGTTCTGGCAACCTCTCTCGGAAAAATATGTCGTCGGGCGAGATTTATGGCACAAAATCGCTTTATGGGAAATAAATTTCTGAGGACAAACAATGTATTCATTCAGTGAATCATGATTGTTCAACCACGAGGATAAACCGGCCGGGTTTGGCATGCGGTCTTGCTACCTGCTGCAAATATTTCATATGAGGTGTCCTTCTTGATCGCGTGACTACTGCTGCGGTGTTGCGTGAATTTCAATGAGTTCGAATAATCGTATTCGCAAAGTAGGTTATCTACGCATCTTTTCTACTTTCAGACCAAACTTCTCCATTACGATGAGTAAAAGAGGAGCTTCTTCGACTACTGAACGGAATAAAAAGCGAAGAAAAGTTACGCCAAGTGTGGAAAGTCGGGACGAAGTGACATGCCTTGTTGACAACGTGGCAAAAGAGCTTCGCAAGAATGCTGACCACAAGAGAAGTCAACCCATGAAGAAATACATGAGAGACCAGTTTGAGTTCTTTGGTTTGAGTAGCCCTCTAAGGAGAAGCGTTTGCAAGGAATTTCTCCAACAGAAGCTGAACTCTGAAGATGTAAGAAGGTTTGCTACTCTTTTATGGGAAAAGTCAGAACGCGAGTTCCAATACTTTGCTGTTGATTACCTCGCGAAAAACATGGACACCTCGAAAGAATTCGAAGCCAACATGAGTTGCGTAGAAGGCTTAATCACGACCAAGTCCTGGTGGGACACGGTAGATATTCTTGCTAGCAAAATCATCGGTCAACTTGTGAAGCAGCATCGTGTTTTAGGAAAAGCTGTTATGGAAGACTGGATCAACCACGAGAACATGTGGCTCAGAAGGACTGCCTTGCTGCATCAGCTCTCTTTCAAGAACGACACGGATGAAGAGATGTTGTTTCGATTCTGCAGCTCAAGGGCACACGAGGAAGAGTTTTTCATCAGAAAGGCAATTGGTTGGGCCCTGAGGCAGCATGCTTACACTTCCAGCGCTAATGTGAAAAAGTATTTGTTGAAACACAAGAAAGAGTTGAGTTCCCTGAGCTTCAAAGAGGCTGCAAAACATTTGAACCTTTAAGAGGCCTTTTTTCGGGATTGGGTTATTTTCTAGGACAAAGCTCTTTGATTTCTATCCCATTTTTTTAAATTTAACTGACTGAACCCCACACTCTACATGCAGCTGCACACACCATAAATCCAACCTTATGAATCAGTACCCCTCTGCCCCACCCAAGGAACCTAATTAGCATATAATGTTGTTTTCAGATAATGGCCAGTTTCCTCTCTCTCTGTTAAGGAAGTACTCAATTGAAATAAGTGTTTCTTTTGCTTTATGGTATATTAATAGTTCTGTAGATATTCACTGTAAATGTTGTGAGGTAATATTTCAAGCATACACTTGGGATTTATAACACAATATCAAAATAATGTTTGATATTACTTCTTAGGCAAACTAATTTTAGAAGAAATTAAGGATGCAAAAATGAGTTTTTCATCTGTGATTACTTAATGGATTCTAAATGAGTTTGAGAACAAGCAGTCAAGGGTCAATGGATGCTACAGGCGACACCCTGTAATAAGAAGGCAGACACCATCACAGCAGGAAACATGTTGTACAAACACTTTGGGAAGGGGTACAGATAAGCAAGGGAGACACAGTTGATCAACAAATAAATATTGATTAATATTGCATCAATGGCTTCAAACAAGAGGTAACAACATAAGGTGAAGTTTTTAACATTAATACTTTTCGGTTGAATATTCTGTTCAGTGCAGGGGGCAGGACCAGCGTAGCAGTAGAACCCAAGGAGAGTATACACCACTCCCTCACAACACAATCTACTATATACCCCTTTCCACCAATGTAGTGATAAATGTCCTATCTTTGTTCAAGTGTTTCTTTTTAAGTACAATGAAATCTAAGCGAGCATGTGTCAAGTATTAAAAAACTTCTCATTTGTCTGGTCATATTATTTTAATTCCTTTGGATTTATTCTTGATTTTTTTTCTCTGACTGAGTTATGTTCACTGAAACCACAGATCTATAGTTATTTTCAAACATGGTATTAACTTCATATCTATTAAATGAAGTGAGTTAAAAAGCACCCAACTTAAGAATAATAGCATTTTTTTATTTAAAGCAAAACTGCATTACAACACATTACATGTAGGTAACTGATTGGCTTTTAACATTTACAAGTGACTTGGCATATCCGAACAACACAGCCACACAGCTGTTCAGTAATCAACTAAAAGAGGCTTGAGTTTAATCCAGCTTCACATTTGGTCTTGGGTCCTCCAGTTTCTTAAAATCAACAATGCTGTAGAACTGTAGATAAATCAAAACAAAGTGTCAGCTGAGACGTGACATCCACCTAAGTCATAGAGTCATGAGTCATAAAGCATCACATTACAAGAGGCAAAGAGCAAAGGCTAATGAATGCATCTAACAATAAAAGACGAAAAAATTGTGAAGAATCAAGATGGCGGTCTTAAAGTGCCCTTGTTCGACCTTTACCAATGTCATGTTTTAGTAGATGCTAAGATCTCATTGGTTCCTAAGCATCAACTAATAGTACCTTCAACCTTATTGGCTCTTGCAACAAACATCCGAACATACAAAGTTACAAAGCCACAAAGATACATATGCTCACACCACTGACATATGAGCTATTTTTTCAAAATAGCTCAATAATAGAAATACAGTTCAAACTCATAATATTCAAATGCAAGACACCTATCTTCACATTAAATCCTGCTATTTGTTCAAGTTTTACTTCGATAACACTGCAATCTTGTACGTTTTACAACTTGTGATTATTCTCACAAAAGATATCAAGTCTGAATAAAGCCACAATACAGGCCTGTCCAGGGACTGGGGATTTTGCTGGCTATTCAAACTGTCAGCCTGTTAAGAAACATGAAACATTGACAATGCAAGAAAAATTACTGTGAAATCTCCTGCACTTTTGTCCATTTCTCCATCTATTGTAGAGAGTGGTAGCAGCACTGCATTGAGGTCCCAGGTGTCTGTGAGTTTCTTGCTGTTTTTTATTTACAGAGTACAGACTTGAATACTTTACCATCGCTACCTACCTTTTTGCATTCATTGTGCTTGATTTTCTGCCAGGGGTAGGGATTGTTCTTTCTATCCCACCTGTTTCAGAAAAGGAAAAAAATAATTTCAAGGGATTATTTTAGTATGGCAATCTGAAGGCCCCAAGTTCAACTCCTGTTCAGATCACTAGCTCGATTTGTGTCTTGGTACTCCTGAGATCATCTCTTCAACCAGGCTTGTAAATGGCTACATTCAGTCAAAATTTAATAGTAAAGAAACTTTGCTGTTAAGCGCCTTTCTAAGGTTCTATTGACATTAAATTGCCAACTTCCAACAAGAAAAATGTACTACAACTTGTCTTTCCCCACCTCCTCCATGTAATATTGTGTCACTGTTTGGACTACTTCTAAGAAACAACTGACACCTCACCTTTGAATGCAGGGGAGTGCGGAGGGGTGTGGATTGTTTTGTTTTCTGAAATACCCCATTTGACAACACTGACCCCTGCAAGTGAGTACTTAATGCACAGCAACGCAGCTATTTCTGATACTCACGTGCAGTCAGGATTCTTCAGAGCAAGCCTCATTACATATCCAGCAGCTCCCACACATCCAGCACCAACCACCACAAACAGTGGGATAAGCTGCAAGACAATGAGAATCAAATTAGCCGATTCCTTGGCTCCAACTGAAGATAGTGGAGAAAGCAGATCAAGGACAGTTGTGCAAAAACTGTGTGGGGGCTGGAGAGAAACAGAGTAGTTGAGCTTGTAAGCATTGTTGCAAAATACCAGCTCCTGGTAAACCCTGTGATTGGTCAATTGTGACAGTTTACTTCAACACTTAAGTCAGTCATTGCGCTTTGCGCACAGAGTCTAACAAACATGGTGAGCATTTTGAAACCACCCTACACAGCACCTTTAGATGTTTTGACATTTGACACAAGAAATGGTTTTTCAGGAAGTAGGAAGGATACTGGGTGATTAAGGTGTTTGAAAAGATGCTTCCATGCTCTCCCTTTCTCTCTTCCTGCCATTTTTTGCTCACTCGCTATTTCACTTCTCTCTCCCTTTCATCGTTCGTCCACACTGACAGTAAGCCTGGCACAGGCTAGAATCAAATAAACATTTACATTTTTGAGTTTTGCTCTCTTTCTGTTCATGTATGACTGAAGACTCACTGAAGGTATTGACCACACTCTCAGCCATATAAACATCTGTAAAATTTTCACTTTTGAATGCCTACTTTCCATAATATTTTTGGGTAGCATGTAACCGAGCAACACTTTGCAAGATAACAAAACAAAAAGACTACAACCCTAACCCCTAAATAGGGAACCAGATGATATATGATCAACATACAAATTCCCCCAAAATGATTTCAGTATGTTTCCTCACAGAATTAGTGGAATTCAGTTCAAAATTTTGCCTCAAAATTTCCCTGTTACTTTCATTTTAACGTGAAATCCACCATGTCAACATTGATCCTTCTCTGAACAGCCCAAAAGAACCCCATTAACAAAAGCAATTTGTTTTGCAGTTTCCTGTTGGTGTCAAATGAAGAAACCTGATTGGCTCTCTGGCCTTGGGTATGAAAAAAACCCCTAGCTATTTACCACGTTAAATGTAATGGGGGGTTTCTTTCTTCTTTTTGACATAACCATGGATATTTCCCATGCTTAATTTATCACGGGAAAGTATGGTCACATGCACCATGTTAATTTCCTGCAGTAAAAGGATCATTTACCACGGTAAAGGCGAGCTGTGTAACTGCACCTTAAATATTAGGGAATACTGTATGTCAATATAGTGGGTATAAAAAGAAATCCTCTGTAACTGACATAAATTATATATGCATAACACCACTGTAAATAAATGTATTAATCATAAAAAGATTGGTATAATAAAAGCTGGGTAGTATTGACTGGTAAGTACAAAAATGGAATGTTCGATATCAATATGGGCCGCGTAAATGAACTTTAAACTCTAATTTTACAAACAGAAAAGTGCGAAATTTTAAGAGTGCTGAACGGCCCACGACACTTTCTATAGTTGGAAAGGAACTTCACTTGAATTTTTCCAAAGAAGCATAAAAGGTCAAACTAATATTACATGCTAACTTAATATAAACATTTCACGAGGAAACTTGCGACCAACCGCGGCGATCGATGCATCTACAAACTGAATTTGCGCATTAAAACGCAACAGTCAACCAAGTATCATCCCAACAGCATCCTAATCTTACCTCAGGATATTTCTTTAAATATGCGAACACCATTTCTTCAGTCTAACTGGCCAGGCACGCTACAAAATGAACCGTTTCGAAAAGGCCGAGCAAGCAAAATGGCGTTCGCGTTTCGTAAAAGAATTCGCTAAAAGGCCTGGCTGCTAAGTACAATTGGCGTCACAGAAAGAACATGGCGGCCTGTTTTGGCAAACTTAATATATAGATTTAGCCAGGGCTAAAAGCGAAGCTCTGGTTTAAATAATACTTGTAAACAAAAAAAATTAAATCTTGTAATGCTAAACGGGGAGGGCAATGAAAATGGCCTCAAGATCAATAGATCTAATTAGCAAAAAAAAACAAATTGCACGTGCAGCACACTTTTTTTTCTAATTAGCAAAACAAAAAAAAACAAATTTGCACGTGCAGCACGCTTTTTGTCTTTTTTTGCGTTGTTTTGCACAACTACAACGCTGTTTTGCAGGACTAAAACGCCAAACTTCCTAGCTACACATTATTTTTATGGAGGAATTGTCGTATGTGCTTACCCAATATTTTGTCTCCTGTGTTGTTCGCTTTTATTTTTCACTGGCGCTCATTTTCACTTTGCTGGCCGCTAGCATTTCTAATTGTCTCACAGCCGCTTTGAATTTTTATGTAATTCGTCTCTTTTGTGTTCAATCACTCGCTCTAGCACTTTCTCTCAAATAACGTCGAAAAAGACACGACTTCGTTGTTGTTTTTTCTTTCCAAAAGTCCGGGCGGCCATGCGATTTCTTTCCAAATAAAACCTTGAGTTGCACTTTGGTTGCCATACCTGTTGATTGAATTATTTAACATTGGTATGCCTGTGGTGCGGACGGACGGTCGGGAGGGCGGGCGGTCAGTGTACGGTCACGTGATTGCCAAATTTTCTCGGATGGGTAGTTTACCACATTTCTTTACCCATGGTGCTCCGCTGCGCGCGCTTCGCGCACGAGAGCTCCGCTAATAATGACGTGGGAAATATTTAAATGTACCTATGTACATGAAATTTACAAAAAAGGGAAACACAAACTATTTTTTCAATATCTTTTTATTAAATTGTACTAAATGCAATACGTATTTAATTATACATACTGTAAGATTTTGTACTGGTTCATAAAATTTGTACATGTATTTCAATAAACATGCATTTGTTCCAACATGTAACAAGGATAAAAAACAGGTTAACATGCTTCACTTGGCCTATTTAAAGAGCATAAAGGGTAAAATGAAATTATAAATATTAGGTTATTATGAGGAAAAATAATTATTGACAACCTTTTTCAAACTGTTACCAAACACAACTTCTGTACATACAATGGCAGGTTTATCTTAAATATGCACAGTACGATCGTCATTCGTGTGCCGAAAACATATTTGGTTCAACATCAGTTAACTTAATAATATTGACTTTTATTTATTTTACTTTCCTTTAAGCTTAAAAAAACATGACTAGTTAAATATTTCTAGGTGTTTTTCAAGAAAGTGTCCATACCTCTCCTTCAAAGATCTTGAGTAGACCTGCACCGTTCTAAACCTCTTATTTCACTGGTTCCCTTTAATCTGCACTTCCACTGTTTTCAGGGATAGGGGCATTGTTGTATGAGAATCCCTATTGTTTTCACAGGTAATCAAAAACAACCTTTCAAATAGGTGCGTGATCGCCCAAGATCTTTGTCGATGAGGGAGCAAGCAGGGATTATGTTACTTAAATTCCATTTTAATTACTTTCAAAAAACTACTTGAATTAACTTAAACTCAGCTAGTTCTCTACACTTGTATGTTGTATTAGTCACTTAAAAGCACAGTATATAATGTTCTTCTTAACATTATCGCAAACCCTAACTGTGGCTGTCTTCAGTATTTTATCTGTCATATTTTCATTCTTTCTTGGATCAGTTCAATCTGATTTTCCAGGATCTGATGGTCTGTCACTCTCAAACTTTGAATAGTCAGAATGACTGTAAAGCTGTTGAGAAAATTAAAATTCAGAGTGAGTGAAAGTAAAAGCTGGTTGCAAAAAAATAATAATCATAACAATAAAATAATCATAATAATTAAAAAATACGTTAATTTGTGGTATAAGCTTCTAACAAGAATAAACTCACTTAAGCAGGCATGGATCTGGGATAGTGACCGATTTCCCAGACAAGGGCTGAAGACTCAAGCTTCTAGGGGGCTCCAGGGGCATGCTCCCCTGGAAAATGTTTTGGATTTTAGCTCCCACCATTTTCCAGATTTCAACTTGAAAAATATTTTTTGGTTAATCAACCAAAGTACCAGAGTGATGTCCTCATCAACTATAAGAGTGCTCAATAGTTGAACTAGAGCAGAATACAAGGAGACTGATGGAACTGGATTAAATCTTGAACATTTTATTAATCTATGTATTTATTATGAAGTATCTGACCAATCAGTCTGTAAAATGGTGGTAACAGGTGTGGATCCACACCTGCTTAATTTATCTTTATTCTTATTCTTCTTATTATTATTATTATTATAAGCCCTTATGAAATGGTCTCCCACACAACTGTTAATGAATTGTTTTATCAAGCAAAACAAACGACTATTGCAAACTGGTTGACCTGAGATCAGGCTAAATAATTTTACCAGCTCTTGCATATTCTTTTTAACTTCAGTCACACTGTAAGTTACTTAACGGGATAATTCGAAACAAAAATAACTGATCTTAAGTTGCCGCAGGGAGACTACCAGCCTCTTTTTTTAAATGAAATGCTAATAAAAAACAATCTAGTAAATTTAACTTAGACTTAACTGGTTTGTAACTCACAGTAATAATTTTCTGAAAAAGAGCCGAAATAGAAGTAGAGAAATAAGGTTAAAGGAAAGTGAGAAGCGGCCCAAATCTATTTACTACTAACCTTTACTTGTTCGTTGGGCTTGATTTTAAGCCAAGGATGTTGGTTATTTGCTCTGTCCCAACTGCAAGGCAATATCAAAAGAATGAAGATATCATCTAATAAGCTAAAGAGGCTATGCAAGAACTGTTAAAATTAAAACCACAAAAATGTATTCTAACAGACAATATTTCCCCAAATTCCAAGAAACACTCACATTTTCTCAGCCAAAAAAGGCTATAATCCAATAGTTTTAATTCTTGCTAAATGAGATTTCCAAATTTTGGATTTTATACGTTCTGCCTATACTAATAATAGGAGTTTCTGTATATATTTCAACTTAAAATCCCATTAGGGTGCAATCAGTGAAGAAATAAATTATTAGATAGCAGAACATTTGGCTCTTTATGGACCCTTTTGCCCGCCATTTGAAAACTGGGGAAACCTTTATGGACCCTTTCAGGAAAATGCCAGCCATTTTTAAACTGGGGCAAACTATCTGAAGAGCTTTGTCTCCTGCAAATGTTGCCTTGTTCTGTTTTAAGCTAAAATATCGACGAAAAAAGTTACGCTGTGGGTTGGGCAGACGTCCTTTGGACTTCCGCATAAGTATGCGTGACATCAACAAATAACGAACGACAATACGTGACTATTGTTAAAGTGAATATTGACGTCAAGTTATAAATAATTTGCATTGAGGACATCCACACGCGTGCATTTCAACACGCGTCAGTTAAAATGTTAAAGCGGTTTCTTTTGATTTTTTTCTCTGTTAAACAGACCTCATTCTTTGAAACCTCAGTATTTTATGGCACCTCATTAATCGTTTTTAAAGGCACCGACGAGGAGAATTAAAAAAATTGAGCGTCCGCTTGTGTCGTCATGACCTCATTGAAGCGGGTGAAATCGCGTGACAACAATCACGCCCCAAACCGAAACTAGCAGGATATTTATAGACAATATGAACAAAACAGTTGCAATCCTTCTTTTTTCTACCCATATTATATGACAAACGTGACGAGGAAGTAAAGGATATTGCAAAAGGAAATAATTCCATCACGCGCCGATGTCGCAAATTTGTTCGTGACTTTTTAATACTACACTGAGTTCATGATCGAACGTTTTGATCTGAGTTTTTAAAAATAATTTTCAAATACATACCTAGCGTCTGGATTCCTCATAGCAGCTCTTATCGTCATACCAATAGCACCAACACAAGCTCCACTTACGATCAGGACCAGGGGGGCAATCTGCAAAAGTATTCATACAGGCTTTATAAATAAGCGCGAGATTTATATGCAGTAAAAAAGAAAAATTTCTCTGCTGACAAAAGTTTTTACAGGACGCCAATTGTTAGGATTTGGTCATATTTTCATTCAAAAATTCGAAATACTTCTGTGTTGGGATTGGAAAGTGGGTTATTATGGAAAAAGGACAGAAATTGTAAAGGCAATGTCAAGCCAGTCTGTTAAGCCCCGCGGGTGTTCTTGTAGGTCATTTTAAGTCGAGCGTTTTAAAAGAGCATGTTGATTGTTGCTAAATGCATAGAAAAGCTAAAGATGTCTAGGGCAGCAGTAACAATAAGTATTAAATATGCAGAATTTGCAAAAAATTGAAAAATTACCAAAATTCTGAGTAATCAGTCACAAGATGAAAATTTCGGTTATATTCCTTTTTCATTTTCCCTCTAGCATCATATTTGCGAAAATTTAGACAATGGTTGAAATAAACAGTTAAAACTGTCGAGTTCTCTTTGAATCAAAATGAGACAAAATTAAGAAATTTCTTCCGTTTTCAGTAAACGCAGTTGAACATATGGCTCGTGTCAGACTGCACGATTTGGCATAAAATTTTTAAAACCTCATAAAAACGGAAACCCTTACCTCTGGAGTTTTCTTGACTTGTCTGAGAAAAGATCCAGCCATATTTTTGGATGATTAAAATGGGTTAAAACGCCTTTGTTTCTTTGGAAATTGAGGTGTGCGAATTCACACGAAGCACAGCAATCCAACTCACTTCCCTTCTAAATGTTCTCCTGTTTTTTAACTATCTGGCAAGTAAACAGAAGTTTTTATATGTAGGTGACAGGTGTGACGTCGACGTCATCTCCTCTCCAAGTACCCCGCATGACGTCATTGACTTTCTAGATTCCAGGCCCGTCTGCCCGTCAGTTCGCTGAAAAAGAGAAGACCCTGGGAATGAGTTTAAAATTTCAACATGGCGGCCTTTAGGTTGAGTTTTGCTTGCTCCAGCTCAAAGGTTAGATTATCTTTATAGGGGAAATGAATTACCTGATTTATCCTGATAAAATGGTGTTGAAAGTTGTTAAGAGCGCCTGTCCGTAAAAATCAAACATATCGCGGCAAGGGTGAAAAATTCGATTTCTTTCATATTTTAATGTTAGATAGGCCAGGGTATAACTAAAATCACTGTATGGTTTTTTTGGTGAAATATCCTTTTATTTCAGAGATAAATGCAAATAAGCAAAATACATTAAAATCGTCATTTGAGGCGCTCAATTATTACATGGGTTTGAAAGCCTCGCGTGCAAAAACGGATTACTCTACCGTCTTTAAAACATCACAGCCTTCTTTTACAACTTCTAAATATCTGTTAAAATGATTTGGGGAGATAGTGCTCTGTTCTTTGTATACAATATAATTTAATTTCGAAGGCATACAATTTACTTCAGTAAAAGTAATGCGTGAAAAAACGTAATTTTCACCATGTGCGAAACCTTCAAATCGATTGAGCTGCTGGTGGTTGAATTTTAGAAGGGTGGTCTACAGATTCCTGTAAAAATTTCTTTGGGCAAGTGATTAATAGGCACGCGAGAGCTTTTACAAAATCTGTTAAAAATGCAGATTTTTGACCTTCTGCGGTCAACTTTGAAGTTGCGAGTCGGACATAAATTTAGTCCCTTCATTTTTCTAAACCCACATTAAGTTAAAATAAGCAGATAGAAAACCCTTTCGAATTGTTTTTACCTTATGATGAGCAGTAAAGGACCGGTCCAAAGATCATTTTAGCACGATTTTCCGGTCGTTCGTCGCTTGACCTCTGGTTTGTAACGTCTGCAATTAATACACCTCACACCCGACACACCGCGTCAACTTTCGACGTCTTCAAAGGTCGAATACCAATCTTTGATCAGTTTTAGGCGAATTTTATCACGATTGCATCTTCTTCGACGGCTTAGCCGTTTGTTAAACAATGCTTTACACCGCAAGAAAGTATATATCTGACCGGTGCTACAACGGCACAATAATGTCGACGCTGTTCGTCACGCAATACTGTCATGTGCATTTTCACTGGGGAGGAGTGGTGGTGCTAAAAAGTACATGTAGCACACCTAGAAACCCTTTACACACGACTAAAGAGTTTTTTTAAAGCCGATTTATCAACGAATACTACGCATTTGCACGATGGCATTACTTTACTTTACCTTTCATGTATTTTTTTAAATTTAGTAATCCCAGCAAGATCAAAAGTCCTGATTTGTACAAGAAAGCGAACTGAGGATTCTGGTCGTAGCATAAAATGGTGTCATCGTTAGTTACGACATAATAAACATCGACAAAAAACTGAACCTGTTGGCGCTGCGACAAAAAATAGAGTTTGGCCTTTGCAAAAAATTGGAAAATTTTGTAATTAACAAAACTTGAAAGATGCCTACAGCTTTTTGTCAGGCGACAAAATCCTCTGTTCCTTTTATTTTGACAGCTATCCTTCGTTGGGTCATCTTATTTCGCGAACGTTACCAATTAACGTTATTGGTTACACTAACAACTCGCGTGTCACATTTGCGAACAGGGTTTCAAAAATGAAAAAGAAGCAAGAATCATTGTTGCAGGCGCTAATCAAAAGGGGTATGCTGCTAGTTGCGACCTGTTGTATACGAATTTTTGTGAGTGTAATCAGTTCTTGTTTTGTATAAAAAGGTTATGAAAGTTTTCTGTACAGATTCTTCGAGACTTGTGCCTTTTATTCGTTAAAACACCGAAGTCCCTTTAAACACTTTACACGAATGTATAGTGACTGCGGCCCGGGAGAGATGGGGATGGGTAATCCCTTATATCGGCTATATAGGTGTGTGCGGCGCCAAAGAGTATGGTTTTTTATCTTTTTTGGTCTAAAAAAGGGTATCAGTTTCGACCAGTTTGGTCTGGGTATGTTTTTTTAGAAGAAGCTACTTCTTCATAATTAGGCGATAAGACCATTTCCCTTTGGGTTTTAGGCTAACCGGGTACGTTTCGTAACAGTACAATTTTGTACAGTTTTGTGTCCTACTTAATCAAAGTGTATCAACATTGCCTTTAACATTGGTCTGACCTAGGGAACTGATTATAAGGCAGGTCTGAAATAGGGTATTGATTTAAGGATCAGGTCTGAAGTAGGGTATCAAATTTTTGATCAGGTCTGAAATAGGGTAGGAAAAATCTCAGATTTTGGTCTGAAATAGGGTAAGGGTTTCAGAAGGCGTGCCGCACAACCCCGCCAAAATTTTTCTGGAAGTACCCCCCCTTCCCCGCCCCACACCGCCAGGGATTGCGTGAATAGCGCGCGCACTGCAAAAGATTGTGACGTCACAGCTCATGCAAACCCGACTTTTGCATGGGCTGATTTAGCAACAGAACGCGAACGTCAGTTGACGACGGAAAGCGCGCGGAAACGACTAAACGCGACTTTCGTTGCCAATGTGCCGTTCTGTTGTTTGATTTGCGCGCGCCGTCGTCAACTAACGCTCCCGTTCTGTTGCTAAATCAGCCTAGAGTTGTGTTTGCAAGAGAGTTTGTAGTAATGACGTCACGATCTTTCACGGTGCGCGCGCTATTTACGCGCTGGCACTTTGCTCTTTATCTTCGAGATTATCTTCGTCATCAATAAGCAGATCGTCCCATTCCTCTTGTATTCCTACTATTTAAGAAAGTTATGAGGAGTAGAGAGAGGGCGCTTATTCGATAGGGGCGCTTGTTTGATATTATGGCCAACGGGGTGAGCGCTTATTCGGGGACGGGCGCTTATTAGAGCGTGGGCCCTTACCGAGGTAATACGGTACACAGATATGTAACAGGTTAAATCAAAAAGAGTTAAAATGAACGCACAGGACAGACCACCAAACGGGTTCAGATGCATTTATACAAAATAGAAATGCCGTTTGTTGAAAGGAAAAGTTAACAAGCGCCTCCCTTATTAAGCGCCCTCCTTCCAGTTTAAGCACCTCTCCTTTTAGCCGAGCTGGGGCGCTTGTTCGAGGAAATACGGTATTTACATGTATTTATATTTGCAAAATATAACGAAGTTTTAAAGAGCTGTCTCGCAACACCACCACTACTATGATTCTAAGAGAAGGGTTGGGAAATGACCTAAATGTCAAAGGTCCCTAGACTGTGACTGCATGCTTACGTAAGAGTTTGTTCTACAGAATTGCAGCTGCAGACTTTTACTAAATTCTTTAACAACTCCAAGTACGACTTCCTTTCGGCAGGTTATGGCACTGATAACGGTCCTGATACCGTTTAATAAAATCACCCAGTCCGGGAGCTGACAACCAAAATTGTGAATAAACAAAATGACCAGTATTTGGATCTTAATAGGGAAAGACCGTGTCTAAGGGTATCACTATCTTAAGCTATAGATTGTCTTCATTCACTCTATACCGGAGAGCTTTTGTGCAGGCACAAAAAGAAAGCATATCCGATAGGGCTTCTGTTCACGCAAAGAAGGGTGATTTCGGTCCGAAAAAGCCCCGGGTGGTTACTTGGTTAATTTTTTCTGGGTATGTGCCCGCTGGCCTCTCAGAGCCCCTACCCCATTATAGTCTATTTTGTGGCCAATTATAGACCCCATCTTAGTCACTTTTGGGCAAATATGTAATTTTCGCCATCCCAACCTTCACTTTCACTGTCTATTTTCATGAATTGACCAATTTTTTAGATTGAATGAGACCACTTTACTTTCCGTCTGCAGCAAAAAAAATTGTGGTACGTTTGCTAACCATAAATATGACGAACAGTCTTACCCCAAAAATCCGAAAATGTGTGACCCCATTCTAGTAACTCTATTGAAAATGCGACCCCATTATAGTCAATCAGTCGTAAAAATGCAACCCCATCCAGCGGCGCATCCCCATTAGCCTCTTATAAGAAAGTACCCCAGCCCCCCTCCCCACCGGAAAAAAAAAGCTGCGACGCCCCGATCTCTAAACAGGAGAGTCACATACCGGATAGGTGTTCATACTTTACCGGATAGCTTTTTGTGTCTGCGCGAAAAGCTATGCAGTATAGTGATCAGCCTTAATTATTGCTGTTGTTCTCGTTGTGGCCGTTTGCCACTTCACCCTTCTCCACCCCGCTAAATTATATTGCGTGACTTACAAACGGCTGCCTGCAATTCAAGATATGAGCACCGGCATTTTTGTGTCATTCTGTTGTAGCAGTCAGATGTAGTATCTTGTAATATTTTCAGATACTACATTCTAAGCAATGTTTAGCAAATGACCGAGCCGTCGAAAAAGATGCAGTCGTAATGAAAAGCCCCGAAAGTTGATCAAAGAATTGTATTTGTCCTGTGAACACGTTGACAGTTGGCGCGGTATACAATTACACGTTACAAGACAAAGATCACACGACTCGATAATCGGGCTAAAGTGGCCTTTGGACTCGTCTTTTTCAGCAGATTTTGAGGTAAGAACATTTCAAAAGGGTTTCCTAATTGTTTATTATAATCTACTGCGAGTTTAGACTAGTGACGGGACGAAATTTTTGTCCGCCTCGCAACTTCAAAGTTCGGTCAAAGAGTCAAGTATCTGCATTTTTAACAGATTTTGTAAAGCTCTCGCGTCGCTATTAATCATTTGCCCAAAGAAATTTTTACAGGAATCTGTAGACCATCCTTCTAAAATTCAACCACCAGCAGCTCAATCGATTTGAAGGTTCCGCACATGGTGAAAATTACATTTTTCCACCCATTACTTTTTTTACTGAAGTAAATTGTATGCCTTCGAAATTAAATTATATTGTACACAAAGAACAGAGCACTATCTCCCCAAATCATTTTAACAGATATTTAGAAGTTGTAAAAGAAGGCTGTGATGTTTTAAAGACGGTAGAGTAATCCGCTTTTGCATGCGAGGCTTTCAAACCCATGTAATAATTGAGCGCCTCAAATGACGATTTTAACGGATTTTGCTTATTTGCATTTATCTCTGAAATAAAAGGATATTTCATCGAAAGAACTATACAGTGATTCTAGTTATACCCTGGCCTATGTAACATTAAAATATGAAAGAAATCGAATTGTCCACCCTTGCCGCGAAATTTTGAATTTGTCTGATTTTTACAGACAGGCGCTCTTAAGAGACAAAAATAAATCTATGTCTCCTCTGGTGACTACTCCCAGCCACGTACTAGTTTGCCGAGGCACGTAACCTGCTGGGCCTGTTGATCCCTGTTGAAAGGAAAGTATTTATTAAAGTGGGAGGGAGCTCAATATAGAGTGGATGCTTATATGATTTAGTCAATCACATTCCTTTTAGCGGAAAAAGATCATGTAATAAATGAAAGTCTGCAACATCCAATCCGATCCCAGAACTACAGGAAAGTCCATGGGGGAGAGGAGGGCGGGGGCTTTTTTTTTTATTATTCACGGTAATATTTAAGTGTTTGATTTCGGTGAAAGGATAGGTGGGGTGGGGGCATAGTGAAAGTTTACAGTTTAGTGAAGTTTGCCCATCGAATGAATTGGAACTCACACAAAAAAAATTGAATTGAAGGAAATCAAAAATTCATTTTTCAAACTTAATTGGACGAAAGAGTGTGATTGAGTGTGGACTGTGGTCATTGAGCGAAGTGGAGCTCACAAAAGAAAACAGGTATGGAATAAAATTGAACGTTCGAATTTCGAACTCTTGATGGCAGGTAGCCTGCGTAGCAGGCGCTCGGAAGTAGTGAGTGAAAGAGAGAACAGATGAGCGAGAGGGAGACACATGAGGGGTGAGGGAGGATGGCAGGTACATTACTGAGAACTGCTTGTCCTAAGGGCAAGCTGGAATTCAATTTTTTTTGCAAGCGCTGATCACCATTTGATTTTGTTTTCCAAGATTATAGTCCAGGCACTGAACTGACAAAAATGTTTTGTGTTCAATTGTTCGATAGCCAAACTGCATCAAACTCTTTTGTTCGGAAGAGTTCAATTGAAATCAGTTGAGTTTGATGGCAATTTTATTAGATTTTCTTTGGTGTGGTACACTATGCTTTATACAGAGCCCTCACTGATAGCAGTCCTTTGACTGTAAAGGGTTATCCTGTGAAATTGTCAAGTAACCTGCATAGCAAGCATTTCTGCTTAAGTTAATGAGCGAAAGCTGGAACAAGAGCAAAAAATATTTATGTGCAATAACTCGAGCAGAAACGTTTGCTATGAAGGCTAAAATGTTGGTTAAAATTTATTTAAAAGGGAAATGTGCCTTCCTCTAAACTGAGGAGTTTTAGAGTGGATTTATTATATTCATTGCAATTATGTCCACAGATGTGGAATCTTCCAACTCTCATCAGAGCACATGATTCCATGGTCACATCCATTTTACTCATACAAAGGAGACCTAAGATGAGCAAATCGTCACCTTTCCCTAAAAGAAACAACCCAATGAAAAAGCAACGTGAAGATGTCAGGAAATCTATGCCTGGAATTTCCAAAATGAACAAGGAGAAAGCAATGGACCGACCATTCTTCATTGATAGTCCAGGTATCTGCTTGTATGGTGATGTGTTGAGCAGGTTTTACATTCTAGGACTTAAATAAGTTTTAAATTAATCAGGGTTTTGTGGAAAGATTAGAGGACAAGGTCATGAGGGTAGAATTTTGTATGATAAAATGAATGTCTTCCTACACAACTGAGAGTCCAAAATGTGTAGTTGTAAATCTAGAAGCTCTGATTTCTTCAATGATTCGGTAGCATGCTTATTCATCCCACCTTAACAATATTGTAAGTGGTCCTCTGTTGACTTTTAGGGATGATCTTTAGTGATTACCTTCCTGTAAGAAGATTCTTTATCTTAACACCATCGGTAAGTAGATACAAAAACACTTTTCACATTTCACATTCCAGGAATATCCCTGGTGTTAAAGGTTTTCTAGTCCAAAAGTGACTATTAAAGACACAACATAAGATTATAATAAAGCAAAAAAATGATAGTTGCATTAAAAGCCAGCTCTGTGAAGTGAAAATTGTAGTGTTTTAAGATCGGCATGATTTAATTTTCTTGATGGTATGTTTTTTGTCGTAGGGTATAAAGGAGAGGTGGAATGCTTTCAAAAATGGTTTATGGACCATTTATAGGTATAATGAAAAATTACTTTAATGGCATTCTGCACTTATTAGACATCAATAGAAAAGCAAGAATCAATGCTGTGCTCTAATGAAAATTCAAGGGAGTCCAGTGCTATAAACCTGTAAAGTCTAGGATACCCAGCATATGATTTGTAGAAAAAACCAAGGTTTTCTAGTCGCTCAAGCACAAAAGTTGGGTGCCAGGAGGCACTGAGCTCATAGAATACAGCTGTGGAAACAAAATAAGCAACAAATCATGGAGAATGTTGGATATGGCCTGTTTTATGTAAAACATACAGCCTCTTTTTATTGTGGAAATTTAGCATGTAGTAGTGAGGATTCTTTGACACCAGGGCCCCCAAGATAAGCCAGGGTTAGTGTGAAATTTGAATTCAGACATGTAAGCTTAAAAAGCAAATTTAGTTTTATTCTTTTTCAAATTGATTTGGTATCTAGATGCTCTCACAAGAATAGAGAAAATCATCTTATAAAATGCTTTTAAACAAAAGAAAAAAAAATGGATTAAAATTTAACCATTGGTTAGAGCTAATCAGCTTTTGAACAACTGAGTCGAGAGTAGTAACCACAGTGAAAATGGAAGTGAAAAGATTTAAAAAAAAAAAAATCTTAATTTCATTTCCACTTTTTTTCTTATAAATATTATTTTTAGCCTTGTTCATGTCAGAAAACATTGTAAGCCATTCAAGTTGAAAGAATTTGCTAACGAGGCTCAGGAAATTTACATTGATGTGAACAAAGCTGTTATCAGGTAAGTGGCTGCCGAATGACTGCTGACATAAGAATAGAGTGTGTTTTTAAGCCTTAAAATCCTGATCTCCACCCTGTCCTCCACACATTTCCTGTGGTATTGATGAGGAGAATTTCTTTAACAGTGAAGGCCTTTTCAAATTCACCATCCTTCTGTATTTATTTACAGTCAAGGCCCTTCGCACTTGTTGGTGATTCCCCTTTTTCCTATAAACTTTATGTTTTATTGCATACTGTTGCTTTAGAGGAAAATATTGTTTGTTGGTCTTTATTTTTTCGAGTCAACCGGTTAGGTTAATCATCGGACACTTCAACAACTAATTAAATATAATAACAAGAGTCTTAATAGTTTCACTTCCTTTAGCCGTAATAATCCAAAAACCCAATACAAGAAAAATCCACTTGCCCTTAAGAAACCAAGTTTCAACATATAGGGTTGTGTGGATAGAATGGGTGGGGTCAAGGGTGGGGTGCCAAGTTCCTGCACCCTAGACAGTCAGTATTTTCGGTTTGTTGTCATCCAGAAATTTTGCCATCATGGCAACCTGATGTAACAATGGTGACAGTCACCATTGTCACCATTGTTACGTCATGTTGCCATGGTGGCAAAATTTCTGGATGACAACAAACCGAAAATGTCACTTAAAAAAGAATTCACACTGTTCAAAATGCATCGATCTCATTCTATTTCATTTAATTTCTCAAATGTTGGCAAAATTTTCTGCAGTTAAGTTCAAAAGGACCGTATCTAAGTTGAGAAAAAAATATAGAAAATTTTTGTTCTGTGTTAATGCACTCCATAACTAGTAAAAGCAGGTGCATGAAATTAGGAAGTTTCATGTCGCAGTTGGCTAAGAAATGTACAAAAACGCGTGATACACGCACAAAGTTGTTGTTTTGCTAATGTAAGCTAGTATATACCTCTTGCTTGTTTGCCATTCTCATTGCAATTGCCGTCATTGTTACTTAATTAAGCTCCCTATTGTTGTGATCCAGAAATTTTGCTACAACACACTTCTTTTCTCTATTCCTTTTTGCAGTAAAGATAAACAAAAACTTCAAGATAATGCAACAAGTTCAGTATACTTGGTAAGCCAAACAATGTACTTTATTATCGTTTTTACGAGGTGGCCTTCACTTTCCAACTTTTTCTTTTCACAAAGTAGAGACTTAGAAAACACCTAATTAAGGCAGGAAAAAAGAATATTAAATTTACTATAGTTCAGGATTTTATCCTGAAAGTCAGGAGTGAAACAGGTGAACAGTGAACCTTTTTCATATTAAGTTTTGTGAAAAAGACTATGGTTAAGCATGACTTTCTTCCCAAACTAGCTTATTATTTTTATCATGGAATTTTGATTTCTCAAACCTCCTGATTATTCAAACAAAAACCTGAAATCCTTTTCCTAGTCAAACACTTTAAATATTACCTCTGATATATTGTCAGAACATCCTAATATTTAACAGATTTCCTTTTCCCTTGCCTACATCGTGGACACAATAGAACTCCGGTTAGTAACTTCTGCTAAGCAACCCTGAGATCCCTGTACTAGGCCCTCAATGGACTTGACAAATTATCAGAAGTGCATTTGAAATTCTTTTCAACCTGATCATGATTGGCAAATCAACAATAGTTTTTTTAACAGGTTAATCATCATCGGGCATTCTCATATCCAGGTACACAGGTGTGGGCCCAGAACAAGGACTTAAGTACTGTTTCGGAGACAGACTGGTGCAGGCTGCTTTTCCCCAGACAATTCAAACAAGTGGGACTGCACTCTTTTTTGTCTGCAGCTTATGAACAACAAATTTGTTGTTTTTGTTTTCTCAGTCACTTAGGAATCTGTACTTTTCTCCAGACAAAAATCTTCACTGGCGATACGTGTCAACTGTAACAAGGCCCAAGGTAGTACATGTTCGAGCGAACCCTGTGGAGACTAAGACAAATTTGTTTGCTCAAATAACAGTCAGAATCCATTCAAAACAGGTAAGAAGACAACAATTAACAAATAACTTCATGGGCACAGGTGGTAGATTGTTGGGCTTTTAAAAAAGATAATCAATCAGTTTCTTCCAACCCCTTACACTAGACGTACACACACCTAACACTACACTCTTCTCTGGTGAAATCACTGGACACCAATGTTCATAATATGTTGTGAGTTTGATAACACAGTAAAAATGCGTGTGAAGAGCCATTAAAGCATTGCACACTGCATAGAAAACAGGAAGAAAATATCACAAAGACATCTCTTAAAAGTAACAGTTGGCTGTCTCGCAGACCCCAATATAATGAGTTCGTTTTGAATGACAAGTCTGCCTGCAACTCAAGCTGAAGTAACAGTTTCTATTTTTCTTTAAAGGTTATGGCAATTAAAGATAAGCACGGACGGCATATAAAAGGAAGCGACAAGGAGGTCAGAGAAGTTGTTGACTATGTAGTGTTTGAGCGGCACCTGACCAATAAATATGGCAAGTGGAGAGTTTGTGGAAAGCTTTTCCCACAATTACCAAGGAAACAGAACACTATGCAACCACAGCTTTCAGCTGGCAAGGATGTTCCATCAGTATGAAGAGAAAACATCCTATCTAGGATCTCCCTCACTTACTCTGGAAAGAGAGAAGGGGAGAGACTTTGGGAATAATATTGCAGCTTTCATCCACAAAGCCACATTGTAACTTAAATTTTGATAAGAAAATAACCATCTCTAACTGAATGTTTTGTACAGTAGCTTATTTGTGAAGAATCCCATTTAAACTTTATTTTTCCTGTACTTTACCAGACCAAAGTGGCCACCACCTAAGAGTTTAGCAAACCTGAGAAAAGTTAGATTTCAGCTCTGAATTTACAAATTTACACTGTCTTGAAACCAGTGCTATCTCTCTGAGATGTTGTTGCAACAAAATTAGATGTTGCAATCCCTTTGTAACATAAAACATTCCAGCTGCTTCTACCCTGTGAACAGTCTTCCGCAATCTTCCTAGACAAGTCCAGAAGAGGAAGGAACTTTGCCTCCTTGTCCCAATTTATCTAGGAAAGATCGAAGCAACTCTGCTAGCAGTAAGAGGTTGGCTTTCCAAATTAATAAAATGATGCAGTAAATAACCACCTTGAAACCACATTGCATTGTTAATTTTATTTCCACTCATGCTACATTTGGTATTTGTATTATTTTACTCCACATATGTGGCTTGCTTGCTGTGCAAAAGTAAAAATTAGGCTTCTTCTTCATCTTCTTCCTCTGAGCCAGTTTCTAAAAAAAAAAAAAAAAAAAAACATTCGGAAGATCTCTTTCACAACTGACGCTAAAGAGCATACTTTTTTTTTATCAAAGTTTGTGTGGTTTCCCAATTCTTTTCTAGTGCAAGAAAAGAAAACTGGTATAAGTCTCATCTGTTCCAGATGAAATTTAACCTTCACCCTTTAAGCCCCAATATACACATACAAATTCTCCAAACTGATTGACATACATTTCCTTCCATGAACGAGTTGAGAGAATTTGATAAAAGATCAAAGCATTTTCCCTTACTATAGGGGATCATTTTATTTATTCTCACAACCTAATCTCTTGATATTGTATGGATATCGTTAGGAGAAAATTGACGTTAGTCACTATTGGGACTTAAAGGGTTAAAATAGTAGACCCTTATGAAGGACAGCCTGTTTCAGGATTTTGCCTGTGATTGGTCTTGTGGTAAAGGTCATCAGAAGATTTCTGTGAGTGCTCAAATAGAAGTGACCGGCAAGAAAGTAGAAATCAGTTACTTTTCTAAAAGATACTGGTATGTAAAGACAAACGGAGGCTTTTTGTTTTGAATTGAAACCTTACCTTCCTCAGCGTTTTGAAGCCACTCCACCATTTTCTTCATCTGTTCCAGGAAAACATTTTTCCCTTTTGTTGAATGTCCTCCGTTGTACCACTTGATTATGGCATCTTCACTTAATACATCAGCTGAATACAAAAAGCAATCACAATATCAGAGGTTAGGTCATGAGATTATAAGAACATCTTATTCCCAAGCAAGGTCATAGCCTTTGAGTATGCTTTCTAAAAGAGCTCTGAAAGCTAGCTATCCCAGCACACACTGCTTAAGATTCACACAAGTACAAGACCTTGTGCCTCTCAGTTAAATTTCCAAATGGATAGTTTACTTGCAGGCTCACAAAGCCAAGATGGCACAACAGCCTGGTTCCCCCGTAAAAGCTAGAGAAAAAGAGAGAGCCTCCAGTTTTTAGATCTCCAGAGGTTTGCATCTCTGTATCGGAGCAAAGATTTAATGTTGCTACTTGCTTATTATTGTTCATTACTCACTTTTGTAGAAAAGCATCACTATCTTTTGGAAGACTTTCATGAAGGACATGTTGTCGTAGCAATATTCCTGCAAAAAATATGAGTGACCTTAACTTTTTTTTACACAGTGTAAAGGCTAAAAAGCAGCAAAAGTGAGGCCACACCTGCCATCAAATAGAGTAAAGTGGAGCAAAAGGGGAGGGAGGAAAAGGAAAAATCTTTCCCGACATTCTTGCTGCAGCAAGCAGAGGTTACGCTCCTCGGCTTTCACGTCTTAAGAAAACACATGGTATCTCAGACAGCAGCAATGCCATCTCACTAACAGCAGGCGAAATGCAGTATTGATCAGTGACATCAAGCATAAAACGTTTTTTTTCAGAAATAAATTTCATTATTTCCATGCTTCTGAATAAATCTCAAGTCTTTTTTAGAGAGAGAGAGAGAGAATTGATGGTGATCTTGAAACACTATTCAGCACACTTCAAAGATACTGCATCTAGTTACAACTGCTACGTGATGAGACTGGTTAGTTAATAGAACTGATTTACCTGCACCTTCACCAAAAGAGTCAACTCTGACTTTGCTTGAGAAGTAAATGTTGCCAGTAGTGGGGTATAAATCTAAAATAAAAATTAACGCCACAAGAGTGACCAACATCAATTTTCAGTATCAATACATAGTACCCAAAAGATAAGGTTATGAGAATTTATAAAATACCTAAGATAGTACCTGCGTTCTGATTAGTTAAAACCTATGGTTTATTGTGCCGGTAAACTAATAGTTTTACTTAAAGTTATTTCATAAAAGCAATAGACCACACTTTCTTTGAGTTTACCGGCATGATGCCCACTCGAAAAGCTTATACCCGTAAATCACTCACCTTTAGCTTGTGATTTACAAGCTTTTCTCGTGTTCTCCCAACATCCCGCGTGGGTTATCACGCCGGTAAACCCATAGAAAGTGTGTTCTATTGCTTAATTAAAAAAAATGATTATTTAGGGGATGCTTTGATACTTTAACAAAATAATTCTCCACTATAATTTCATAAGAAATATATAGAGATCAATCTGGAGAATTTGTATGTGGATATTGGGGCTTAATGGGTATTGCCCACTGTAGGCCATGGAGTACGTTCTACTACCATGAGGGTCTCAGAGTTGTCTTTGACCTGCAGTCTTTATAGCCTGAGTCACAGGCGTCAAAAGGGGAATGGGAAGAGGGAATTCAGGGGCACTGGAGGAAAACTCATTTTCCGCGCTCCTCCCATGTCCCATGCACCTGAATTCCCCCTTCCCCTTCCCCTTTTAACATCTGCCATGCATGCGCAAGCTACACTCTTTCTTGTACCTTGAGATGCCTCAAAGCTTGATCATGCAACAACTCTTCTTTTTTGTTCCATTCCACTGCTTTCATCAAACCTTTCCACACCTACACAGACAACACCACATAAATATTTACACTTACTGATTTATCAGTTTATAACTTTAACAACCAAAAGTTTTAAGACTGAATGATTTGTGGACACTCTGTGGATGTCCATTTTTACAAAGAAATTCAAGGAAAATTCACTAAATCTCTTAAAATAAATAATTATTGTAAGTGAAAAAAATGGCTCCTGGATACCCAGTTTGCAATGCTGCTATGTTCTGAATAAAATAATTATATGTAAATAAATTATTGTTTTGGACTCTTTTGAATAGATTACACAAAGTTACTGTAGAGTGAGTTGACATACTCATACTATCTTACCAGAAAAACCACATCTTCTTCAAGAAGTTCTGATTTTTTCATTTCTTCCTTGCAAGTTGCTATCATCTGAACAAAAAATGAAAAAAAAACTTAATTCCACAAACAACAGCCATCTCCTGATAATTCCCACCACTCCCTGCCAAAAATGAAAAGTTTTTTAACCAATATTTTATCCTTTTAAAGATGATAAGTGATATGATGTTCACCATGTTGGAATGGCTCCAGTTTCAAAGAGAGCGAGGACATGGCCAAGTGATCAGCTCATTGAATTTGCATTCCGGCAGTCCGGGGTTTATTACCTCTGTGGCCACTGGCTAGATTTCATCTCTGTTGCACCAAGTTTAAATCCTTTGCCATGCTTGAAAAAGCCCACTGGTTGCTTCTTACCAGTTGGGGTTTTTAATCCTGTTATGTTCTTTATTGTTTATTTGTTTCTAATTATTTGAGAGTAGTGCCCCTAAACTAGCTGGATAAGTGAAGTAGACTTCCACTATAAATAAACATTTAACCTTTTTTTAATGATGTTGATGAGAGTTAAAATCAAGGCTGTGCTCTAAGAAAAATTGAAGAGAGCCCAGTGCTGCGAACATGTGAAATCCAAGGTATACAGCATATGATTTCTATGAAAAAGGAAACATTTCCTGGTTGCTTCAAAAGTAGGGCACCAGCGACAAACAGGGGCTGCTAGAACACAACCTTGGGAAATTAAAGCATACAACTTACTTCTTTCACGGGTGTTTCTTCTGTAAGCATCTCTTTCAGTTGCTGTTGAAAAGCTCTTCGTGTACCCATAGCTTGCTGGGCTTTCTAAAATCCAACATAAACATAATTATGTTATTGTAGGTGTCACTTAAAAATGGTAACTGTTTATTTTTGCCCAAATAAAATTATAATAATTCAGAACAGTTTACTAGCCATAATAAACTTGGGAAAGTGGACAGTAAATTCAAATGAAAATCTTATGTTACCACTGCCCACAAGTTTTAATAAGTAGTATTAACTTGATCAGCTTTACAGCAGCAAACTACAAGAATGAAGCTTTATAATAAAGCCAAATAATGATGAGAAAAAGGCCAAAATAAGAAAAGAGAAGAAAAATGGGGAAGAGAAGCAATGTCAGGGTAAAATTCCAACAAGCAATATCGCTTTGAAATGGCGACATAAGACAAATGAAATGGCAACAGATGACGTAAAGATGGGTTTGAAACTGCAACAGCGACAAAGACAGGTGCAAAAACAATAATAAAATGCCAACAGGAAGAGGGTTTCCCCCTCAATACATGAAATAATCTGTTTTGAAATTCAAGAATATCTGTATCTGAATGCTAAGGGGGGCTCATTGAAGTAAGCAGAGAATTAATTTCAGAGAGCTTCATATTTACACCAGAAAAAAATCAAGGGTGGTTTTTCAGATTTTTAAAAATGTTTAAAGTGTGATCAATAAAAATAATTGGCCAGCCTACACTGTATCTAGTTGGAATAAATTTAAGTTGGCCTGGACCCCATAAAAGCCCCAGAGTTCCAGTTCAGGCTTCCCCCTAACCATATTTTTTCAAACTATATTTTTTCACTATATTTTTAAAACTTGTAATGTGACAAAAACAAATTAATCAATCAATCAAGTTACCTGAAACAACACAAGTTTATCCAGCCCATTTGCATTAAAATGCTTTTCAAACATTTCTTGAGTTTGCTTGTTTGGAGGAAAGAAATCCTGTACACATGGAGACAAAATAAAATCAAGTGATTGTCAAAGGTCAAGAAAAGAGTGGATAAAATGATATTTTAGGCCTAACTTTGATTTGAACCAGGGTCTTGTCATCGTAAGATTCCTGGTAAGTGCAGGATCGAGCCCGCAGCTTCAACAAACATGCAATCAGTGTCAAATTTAGCTAAGAAACTCCTAAATTTTCAACACGTTCTACTTATAATTGGAAGTCTTAAACCCATTACGGTATTTCTCATTTAAAATCGTTTGTTTCAATTATTTGCCTGGTCTCACTAACATTTTTGCTAAGAATATTGGTGATGATAAATTAAGGTACTGGTGGGCACTTGAAGGGTGCCTGGAATAAAGCCTATGGTGAGCTCTGATAAACTGCTATATTCTCCTTTCAATTTGCCCAGTATATGCTTGTGAGACAAAGAGAGAATTTCACGTTAGAACTTGAGTCACTTAAGGCCTTATTTCATATTATGGCACCCCTTCAATTTTACTTACCATTAGTTTATTCTCCAGCTCAGCTTTTCTTATCAGCGAGCTGAGAGAGGTAAAATCCTTCTCTTTTACCACAGACTGAAAAACTTTGGTCAAAAACTGCAATGCAATTCCTATGGAAAAATAAGGTCAAATAATATTTAGGCTACCCTACTGTAGGCATATTAAATGTCCCTTTATAATAATATTACACTAAAAGGTGACAAAAGTACATAATTGTAAATTTCTTTGAGGACAGCCTTAAGCGGTACCTTAACGGACAAATATAGTGACTTTCTGTCCCAAATGCCAGAGGTGAGACCAAAATCTGCAATTTACTCCCTTATGTGAGACGACAAGCATCCCCGTCACTTTTATATTGCAGACCCACCCACAGGGCTTGCACCCGTTTTTAAATCCTGCAGTATAACATTATCTGGTCAGGGTACTAAAAGAGAGACAAGATGCACTTCTGGTTGTTATTTTTGTTGTCCGAGATACATGTAAAAATGTTGTTGTTGCTTAAGGACACTATCACTTCTTTTCCACTAGTTCAAATTAGGATCCACTGACACCAGTGTTATATAAACGTAGCACAAACGATTGACAGTATACATAAAAAAATAGGTACTCACCTTCTTTGATAAGAATATCACTTGACAGTTTGTTCAAACATGTGGGCGGTGCCATGCCTGCAATAAACATGTAACAGAATTATAAAATTAGTATGTAGTATGAAGTATGAAAACAAGCACAGTAGAAAAGCGAGCAAAAACCAAGGACAAAATCTGACAGTTTGATGCAAAAATGAAGCTTAAGTATTAAAAAGGATTCCATTGCCATCAATAACAAACACAAAATAGAATACAATAGTGTAGTATAATTTACATCAGTCAAACCTGTGTTTAGCATTAAAATCATAATAATTTTAGACTGGTAAAACCTGAATCTTAAACGTTAACCTGTGACCCTGATATACTAGTTAACCTACAGCAGAGTAACAAACACCTTTGTATCAAACCTCACCATTTGCCAAAATAATTCCGGTAACAATGGCAAGCTTGTTTCGCTGATCTTCAGTGAATCCTTTGAGGAAAAGCAAGATCTGAAAAAACAAAAAAACACCATGACATTGATGACCAACAGCACTGGCCTTCGTCTCAATATGTAAGGCCCAGGTGGGTTAAGTTAGTGGATTTCAACAGTTTGAATATGATAAGAAGCCTAAGTTCCAGAAACCTCATCACCCTTCTCAAGGCTATTGACTTTTTGCAATTTGGTATCTAGCCTAAGTCAAGCAGTCTATCAAGAAACCTGTTAGGTATAGAACTCATCCAATTGTGAAATGCAAAGACTAAATTTCATTTTTCTCATCTGCTTCCTTAATTTTTATTTCTTGGGCTAAGTATGTGTGAAGAGTGCAAGGTTACAACAAACTATTCCCCACTTATGTATTGCCCATAATAAATCTTATTTGCACTCCAAAAATGCTGCATCAGCACTGATTCCAAAATCTCCTGGGGTGGCTGTAATACCGCGGAGAAATAAGAGATAGTGATTATACAAAATTGTGAAAATGGAAAATGTACAGCAATGAAAGCTGTGACCTTTGGCTTGCCTGATTCATCAACATCAATTGCTAACAACTAACCTTTTGAATTTCCTCCTCAAATGCCTTCTGCAGGTACCTGTACCGTGCGATAACTTTGTTTATTACCTGCAGACATTGTGGAGAATAATAGTCAAAAGACATGCCTCGATTCAGCTCCCCTATCAAATCATTGCCCCCTTTCCCTTACCTATGGCCAACAAATTCTGAATTTTTGACAAGCCCTACTCATAAAAGAGTGGTTGATAACAGGTGGTTGTTTATGGCAGGTTCTGATTATAGGCCTTTGAATGACAAAAAGTTGGTGTTTTGCATAAGTAGTCACTCAGAGGAGTAGCTCTTATGAGAGGTGGTCGCTTATAAGAGGTGGTCGCTTAAGAGAGGTGGTCACCTATGAGAGGTTGTCGCTTATGAGACGCGGTTGCTTATGAGAGGTTGTCGCTTATGAGACGTGGTTGCTTATGAGAGATGCTCACTTATGACAGGTAGTTATTTATGAGAGACGGTCGCTTAAGAGAGGTGTTCACTTATAAGAGGTGGTCGCTTACAAGAGATGGTCACTTATGAAAGATGGTCATTTATGAGAGAAGGTCCCTTAAGAGAGGTGGTCGCTTATGAGAGGTGGTGACTTATGAGAGGCCATTGCTTATGAGAGGTGGTCGCTTATGAGAGGTGGTCGGTTATGAGAGGCGGTTGCTTATGAGAGGTGGTCGCTTATGAGAGGTGGTCACTTATGAGAGGTGGTCGCTTATGAGAGGTGGTCGCTTATGAGAGGTGGTCGCTTATGAGAGGTGGTTGCTTATGAGAGGTGGTTGCTTATGAGAGGTGGTCGCTTATGAGAGGTGGTTGCTTAAGAGAGGTGGTCGCTTATGAGAGGTGGTCGCTTATGAGAGATGGTCACTTATGACAGGTTGTCACTTATGAGAGGTGGTCGCTTATGAGAGGTGGTTGCTTATGAGAGATGGTCACTTATGACAGGTGGTCATTTATGAGAGACGGCCGCTTAAGAGAGGTGGTCACTTATGAGAGGTGGTCGCTTATGAGAGGTGGTCGCTTATGAGAGGTGGTTGCAGATGGAGGTTTGACTGTAAGTTCCTAGGAGTTGAACCTATGGACTCCTGAGGAATAAATCCAGCTAGAGGACAGGGTGGGCCTCTAAACTGCAAGCACAGAGCTCTCACCACTAAGTCAAGCTGCCTCCTTAGTTTTTGGAGAAATAAACACTTTCCATTACTTAATAATTTTATAACTGTTGTAGTTGAGAGAGTTTTGGCAAATTTGGAGATCGTAAATAATTATTAAAAATATGTTCTGGAAGGAGGGAACCTGCGTTTACCCAACCTCCCCACCTCAATTCATTTTTGAACATTATTTTTTTAAAAAACTATTTCGCACAGATTTTGAATAACAGCACAGCACAATATTATGGAGATAAGAGTGATCATTGAGCACTTGTATTGTACAACACACCTGCACGTAGGTCTTGAGATCCTCTTCATTGGCCTCAAACACACAGACTGATGTTCTCCATGTTGCCTTTTCACCTTCCTCCAATATACTTCCGCCAGGGGCTATAAAGTATTTGAAATAAATAAAAAATAAATTTACCGGTAGTTAAGTTATAAACAATCTAATGAAGAGATAAAACCAGTAGAGAAGGTAGCCCAGATCACCACAATAATGTAAGACTTTCAGCTGTGTTTCTGTTCGAGTACGCAAAGGTCTTTGACATTGATTAAGGCATTTTGGGAGCTATTAAAGAACAACCAGCACACTAAAATTAATATCTTACTTGAACAACAACTGCTCATGCAGTCTTGTTTCATTATGCTGGATACTTAAATTTAAGTGAGTAATATGACTGCTCCGCTAGTCCCGCACTCCCACAGTCACTGAAAAGTGAATATCAAGTGGGTATACAACTAGTGCTGAATGAAGTATACTAGTGCTCCCGCAGTCCCTCCATCCTGTAGCCGATGTCAGAATATATTATACAAATCAGACAGCTGTGGGGGACTGCGGGAGCAGTATTTTAAGTGAGATATTTAGTGGGCTGGGTATTCTGCAATCAATCTAGTCACATTTTGAGATTTTGGCATAATCTCTACATTTACATGGGCTTTATATTAGCGACTGCTAATTAATCAGCTTTCAATTTACATTGGAGAAACATCATACCAAGAACTCCTCCTGCGAACAGTATATCAAAGAGGCACTCTCCATAGAGTCGGTAATTTAACTTGCCCCCACTTTTGTCAAGAAACGTCAACACCTGACAACAGTAAAACACAGCAAGAAATCAACAAATGTAAAATGCTAAATTTGAACAAAATGAAAAAAGATGACTTTGTAGGGGTAATACAATAATATTACTGGTAACCCAGCAGTTTATGTTGCATATTGTAACCCAGCAAATACTAAAGGACAGAAACAAATAACTGAAATAAACAAAACAGTCATGGTTAAGAATCCCCACTGGCCAGAGGCAAACCAGTTGACTATTTACTGGCATGACCAAGGAGTTAAACTTGGGACTACCCAGAACAAATCTGCCTAGCGGTTGCCATGGGATTGAACACAGGGCTTCCGGATTGCAATTCTAGCACTCTAACTGTGACCGCTCAGCTATGCTGCTTCCAAGATGTGACCAATTCAACAGTATTTGATGCACCTTGATGTGGATGTATTAATAAATCAATGTTACATTGAGTGCTTTTTGTTGATCATAATAATATTTTATTTGAAATCATATAATTAATCTGAAATTAGAGTGAAGAGAAAAATAATTGTTTCAATTGCCTTTCATTTAGGTTGAGGTAACAATAGAGAGCTCTACTACAGCTAAATGTACAGCTCTGAATATCATCTGCCAGCCAATTATGCAAATTCCATTTATTATGTACCAGAATACAGTTAATCAAATCTGCCCATCATATGACTATATCAACGCTTTGCTTATTGATTGTATTCTGGAATAACAATACACAAAAGTTTTGTTGCAAATCTCATGCCATAATTTATTTATTGTTGGACCATTAAAGGTTACATAGAGCAGAATATTTTATTTCAAGCACATTACAAGATTTGCAATGCAATGATCATTAACTGCACCAAAAAAAGGGATTTGTAGAGTTTATTTTCATTCACCAATTTCACATAGGCCATAATACGCCTTGTTTACCCCCCCAAATTTTGCATAGCCATAATTGTCTTCGATTTCTCTTGGGACGGGCATGATACCCAGGAGAAATTGAAAACAATGGTTATGCAAAATTTGAGGGGGTAAACAAGGTGCATTATGGTCTATGTGAAAAGGGTGAATTAATTCTTATTCTGGAATAAGTTCGATCAAACATGCCCTAAATACAGATAAGGTGAGGATTTGTAAATGGGCAAAAAATTACTTGACCTTGACTAGCTGCAGAATTTAATGTACTCCACATCATCAGCTATTCTGAAAGATGTCTTCAATACTTTTACTGGAAAAATCTCTATGATTAATGAATGATTCTGTAAAACAACAACAAAATAAGCACTTACCTGATCTAGATCATTGTTACCAATTTCCTGCAACCCCTGTATTATAGCATCACGAAATGCAAGAGGATCTTGCTTTTCTTTTTCGTCTGTTGATGAAATTGATTAGGTGATTAAAAAGAATGTCACATAACAAGAAAATATTGAAATATTGAAATCATGCTGTACACAATTACAGGGATTTGTTTTTAAAAAAGGTAAAACAGCAAAAGAACTTTGTAAGCAGTAATTAACCATCAGTAACAAACCCATGCCTAGTGCTAAATTAACCATCAGTTTTGTGGGAAAACAAACCCATGCCTAATGTCCTTTATTAACTGAACCAATCTTTTAGTAAACAGTATCACTTTTTTTGTGCCAGTTTTGTCTGTAGTTTCTGATGGGAAAACTGGAATGGTAATCAATACACTACACTGTGAATAGACCGCCACATGACTAAGGGCACTTACGAACAATCAGAACTGGCCCGCTGGACAATTCCCTACTAGCTGAGGTCTCTCATGGCAAGAGAAGAAGGAGAGGAAAGAGAGAGACCTCTGCCAGCCTGTGATCATGATGTGTTCTTTCATCTAGCCACTAACCCCATTTGTGGCGGAAACTTACTGGTTTTTAAAACCCATTTTGTTTAATGTAGAATACGCACGCCCTGTTGAGACTGTGCGCCAGGGCATGCGTGATAGAAAATGCATCAGGGGCTGACAGAAGTCTCTCTCTTTCCTCTCCTTCTTGTCTTGCCATGAGAGCCCTCTCCTAGCAGGGAAGCCAGACCAGTCATTTTGAAAATAAAACGTTGGTGTTTTCTCAAAATTTTCCCTAAAACACACCACCACTGAAAGAAAGTAAATTATTGATTTTTGTGCATTGAACATGTAAACAGATGCCATGTCTTCTTCTAATTAGAGTCACTAGACTGATCTGGCTGGATGGCAGTGATTAAAACAGGAATTCTCTTTACAACTTGACTGGTCTGGCTGGCTAGTTCAAACAAAATAGAAAGTGCCCTTGCTTGACAAGCTTCAAACACCATTTTTGGGGCAAAATTTTCTGGGATGAATGGGTTAAATAGAATAATAGTTTCAACCCAGTAAAGTTTAAAGGCTTTGTAGCCTTGCTTTGGGGCATGCCTGTCACCCTTTACACTTTTGACCCCGGGAAGTGATGTTTTTTTTCTTTTGCCCTTTATTTTCTTCTGTTAGCCCTTTTTCTCCACACTTCAAAAGGTTGTGCGAGGCATGTATGACTGTTAATGTTAGGGCACACATAAAGGAAAACACGGATCTTTCCAACTAATAAGTCATTTTTCTTTTTTTGTAAAGATTTAAACCTGACGTCACGTCACGTACATACACTAGCTGTCTGATATTTTGGAGAATGATGACATCCTGCTCTAGAGCGGCAATGTACAGTAAATCAGACCATTAGACATGAAAGGTTTAAGCTTACGAAAGAAAGTAAATTATTCCACCAAACTACCACACAATACACTTACCTCTTTTGCGGGTTCTAATCCGCTGGCCACTGAGTGTAGGTTTGGGTTGCTTTTGACTCATAAAACAACTGGCTGAAAGCAAAATTGCCGACACAAGCTTTAGCATTTCAATGCATAATCCCAAAAGCTTAAGCGTTTACGTATAGCTAAGTAGATTACGCTTTCCCCCTGACGGTGAGTTGATTTATTTAGACCTACTGTAGTAAAAGTTGTTTATGGATAAAAGATGGTGTAAATGCTCATTAAAGTTTATGGCAGATCGTGATCTTTTTTCTTTCCTGGTGTCGCATTTCGCGTCGTGTTCCTTGTCAAACAAAAACAACGACCACAACGAGAACATCATTCACATGGGCACCGATCAATAGCCAGAGTGCTGGGCTTTGATGTCAAAGGAGAAATTGAGCAACATGTGAAAACATTTACACAACACTGACAACAGAATACAAAAGCTAAGCAAATGTACGTAAGGAATTGAAGATCGGAAATGAACACAACCACGAGCAAAAATTCAAATTCGGTCACGGCAAACTCGCGATTTGCCTTAAACTAAACGCTAAAAATATCAAATCCGTAGACTGGGTGTAAGCAGTACTGCTTCTTTAATTAAACCTAAAAACGGCTGCATTACCATCAGGATCGTCAAGAACAACTTCACTTCAAGCGTACGTATAAAAATTCACGAGCCAATGAAAGACTTGGCTAATGGGATAGATAAACGTAAACGAGTTCGACGCCCAATCTAGTTAACCGATAAAAAATACTCAAGTCAATAAGATGGTGAACGGTCTTACCTGAAAACCTTTTTAAATATCGGAGAGAGGAAACAGTGTTTTACAGAATAATCTACGCTGTAAAAATATGACACCGCAAAGCACGAGGTTGCTGAGCGGCTAGGTAGGGGACTGGATCGAACTGTAACCCCGCCTTTCACCTTCACCCCGTCCCTTCTTTGTGGGTGGGGGAGGGGAAGGGGGAGACAGGGGAGGGGACGTAGACGAAGGAGACGTGCATCCTTGGCAGACAAGAGAGAATGAGGCAGTGAGGAGTCATTTCTACATTTAATTTTCGTATTTTTGCAGTTCAAATCATTTTAATTCCATGTTTCATTCCTTTCCTTTTGAACTCATAGGCCAAAAGCCTGCGGCAGGAGCCCATCCTGCCTGCGGCTGATAGGCGTGACAGCCGGATACGAGTTCTTGTTTCAGTTTTGGCCATCAAAAAAGCAAACTGCGGTAATAAACAAAAGAAAATATAAGCGCATTTCTGGAAAGAAATAAAACTTTAACTTGACGTTTCGTATGTTCCACCATTCCTCGCTGACTGACCTGCGTTAGTGAAGAAAGCACTCTAACCACTGAGCTACAAGAGCGAATGAGCTCATTCTCTCTTGTAGCTCAGTGGTTAGAGTGCTTTCTTCACTAACGCAGGGTGCATCGGTTGGAATTTGCTTAAATTGCTTTTACACTGCGACGATGAATGAACCCCGCATATAAATTAAGATAAATGAGGATATATCTTCATTTAAATTTTGCAGTTGTGTTCTGTTGGTCAGCCACTACTTCTTCATGATAGTGGTTCTAATCACCTCGAAGAACATTGCACAGGTGGTGGCTTTCTCCTGCAGACTAAAAAACTAAGAGTAGAAGCCTTTAATCAGTTGTATGAGGGTCTGCTTGACAGTTATTCAATCTCAGTTGTCAGTTGAACAGTTCAGTTTTTTCCCTCAGATATCAGTTAAACCTATATAGACTGCGAGCAGTCTCGCTTTTTCTTCAGACTTCTGAGACTAACTAAAGTAGTTAGGGGAGTGCACGTGCTCGCGAGCGACGAGCGGTAAAGCCGCGATACGCGAAAAACGAGGGCACAGCCTCTCCATACAGTCTCTCGCCTTCAGTCACGCGCCTGGTCTTTGCGTGTCTCGCGCGTATCTCTATACGGACTAAAGAGAGACTGCTTGTAGTCTTTTAGTTAAACCAAGAGAGTATAGGCAGGAGTAGGAGCTCCTGTTAGGAGCCCTTCTCAGCTTATTCTTTGAATCTCAGATTCCAGGAGCAAATGACTCATGGGCTCCTGCAGATTCTAGTAGTCTGCAAGCAAGGGAGAATAAAAATCCTTGAATACAGAGGTCCACTCAACGCGTAAATGAAGCCAACTGGTTCTTTCTTGCTGGATCTCTAATGTAGAGATGCTAATGCCAGACGTCACTTATTAAAAGTGGGAATTAAAACAAAACTGAATGCCATCAAACCTTGCATTCAGTTTTGTTTTAAGAGAGAATAATCTATAATTCTATCTTATAGTCTGTTATGAAACTTCATTTTTCAGTTGGCAGCCACCGTTTTGACCAACCTCATGTTAGCGTTACAATTGCGAGACTGGAGTCTCGTTTCAAAATCACGATATTTCTCCTATTTCCCGGAAGTTCACTTTCCAACGTGTCGTTGAGGTCACCGAAACACGTGACCTTTCCAACGCTGTAAACATGGCGGGTCCTGTGGAAGCAAGGTTTGATGCTGCAGTTAACGTCGTACGATCAATGCCAAAAAAAGGTATTAAGAACCTTTTTGAATCCAAACGTTGAAAAGGAGTGAATGAAGTTTTTCAAAAATTATTTTTCTTCATATTTTAGGCGCTTATCAGCCTTCGTACGACACTATGTTAAAGGTAAGCAGAAGTTTGTGAAGCCTATTCAGTAAGCGTAAGTGAAAATTAAAAGGTTCAGTTTTCTTCTCTTTTCTTATACGTAGGAATTTTTTGACAATGTTTATTTGAATAATTCAAAAATACCTTTAATCTGATGTCATTCTCTTGGAGAGAATTTGAACTGGCAATTTTTGCAAAGTTCGTGTAAGTTTCTTGTGGGCGCAGGTTTAATGAGTATAGTACAAAGTCTTCATAAATTTAATGACGTTTACTCGTCAGTTTTTGTTAAAGATTCTTGCAAAACTTAGCCGTGCAAAAGGATGCAAAAACAAACGTAAATAACTATAATTCAAGTTGATTTGTGTAGATTTAAGTTAAAAATTAAGCCTGATTTGTTTATTGTCCATGCATACAAGCTTACAATGATATTGGTTGTTTGTGTTAAGCTGAAAAAAATCCACATATTGCATTTCTTTGGCAGTGGAAGTTTCCTGTTATCTGGGATGGTCTTTAAGTTGTGATGACAGTGACATCAACACTGATGATATTGATGATGATGATGTGAAATATGCTGATGACCTTATTGGCATAAAAACAAGAAACCATTTTTGGGATTTTGTTGGTCTACACAGTTGGTCAGCTATGTTTGTTTAAATTGTCACATTTTTCTCAAACACTGGATGTGCCTCGTTCCCAAACCAGTGTGCAAAGAAAGTGGTGTCCGATAGCCCGGGGCTAGTGGATTTTGCTATCGGGCTAGTGAATTCTGTTTTTAACTTGCCCGATGAGCAAGTGATATTTTTTTAGAAATTTGAATAACAGAAGAACTGTAATCAATCCTGCTCATCAAATTTTTTTCGGGCTAATTGAAATGACTTTCGGGCTAGTACATGCTAGCTACAGCTTGCCCGAATGGCAAGCTGTAAAACTGACTTTCTTTGCACCCTGCAAACCATCACTTAATTTATTCACGTGATTGATGTGACACATCTCATTTTGTATGAACTCTTAGCTTCAATGCTGAGTGGTTTTCGTTATTATTAATTTTTTTCAGTTCTACGCTTTCTACAAGCAAGCTAAAGAGGGTGAATGCTGTGAATCAAAGCCTGGATTTTGGGATGTAGTAAAGAAAGCAAAATGGTCAGAGTTTGCTGATATTACTTACCAGTTGTGACGTGGCGAATGGGGCTCAATAAACGGTTACCTTATACGCCTTTAGTTCCGTTAATGGTCCTCCTACTATTCTGTTCACCACTCTCTTATATACAAATCAAGTCCCTTTTTGCCTCAAGTGTTAACCTCATTTCGCATCTAATTATCCTACATTAAGTCCCTTGAGACCCAACACTACATCAGTGTGGTGAAAATGGGATTTTGGATGTCTCTCATTTCAGCATAGAGGTTACTTTCCTTCTTCAGTGGTGTTGTTTTTTGGTAAACGATCAAGTCATCTCGGCTGAAGTTATGTCGCCTGAATTACTAGAGTTATGTCACCTCGAAATTTTATCAGGTATACTACAGTGAGGAATAAACCTGATCCTCCAGCTCTCTAATAACAGTCGTTATTTTTTTTACTATTGTTCTCTTTATAACAGGGAGGCATGGCATGGCTTAGGTCAGATGTCAAAAGAAGAAGCAATGGAGTCATATGTGTCTGAACTAAAAAAGGTAATTATGTTGTGCTAAATCTTGTGAAACAGTTCCTTACATCTGTATTTGTAAGTGGACATATAGTGGTCAGTAACTTTGGGAGTTTGCAGTGTTTTTGGTGGGACAGGTTTGTAGGAGAACATTTGGGAAAAGCTCAGTGACTGGATACAACATTGACAAGAACCAATCATGGGTGATGTTGAAAATGAATGAGGTGTTGTTCTTTGCCTGCCATATCCCCGACTGAGTTCTTGAAAAGTTGGAAATATTCGTTGGAGTGCTGGGAAGAACCTCTTGGAGCAAAAGGATGAGAACCAACAAACTTAACCCACAAATTAATTGCTCTTTTCTTTGGGATTCATACTTGGATGACATTGGCTTGCTCCAACCAATTACAGATGCAGCCCTTCTGTGACAATGAGTCTACCAGGCTTCTCCATTGCATAGAATTCCTTTAAATTGGTAAAATTAATTGTGTTTGAATTTAATATTATCATACTATCTGTTTTACATCTTAGGTCATGCAAAACTTGCCAAATGCAGATGAAGCAGCAGAATTTTCTGAGGTTCTCAAATCATTTTACAAAGTGGCATATGAAGGCCAAGATGAACCACTTCCTGCCATTCTTAAAGTTTTTGAGGATGAAAAGCCTTTGCAAACAATCAGGATCAAGGAAGGATTAAAATCAAATGGGCATCACAACCCACATCATAATAGTGTGCCTAATGGCTTAATTATTAAAGTGCCTGAAGTAAATGGTTCATGTGATGAATTTTCACCAGAAATTAATGGCTTCCCTCATCGAGATAGTTTGGCATTTGGTGGTTTCCCTCACAGGGACAACTTGGACTTAAGAAACAGTGGAGATTACAAGTTAATGGAGCATCAGTTTTCAAATGGTGTTAATCCAGTTGTTATAATTTCTCCAGAGGATTTTGAGAAACATAAGAAGGACAAAAAAGATGATAGTGGGTTTCAAAATGGAATATCAGAAGGTTTGTATGTGTGTGTGTATAAGTCTGTTCTCAAGGCATACCAGTATTCAATTTACAGTCACCTTTCACTAAGGCAGACACTTTGGGGCCAGCATAATGTCTCCATGTTAGAGAGATGTCTATCTTAGAGAGAGTCATTTGAAAGGAGTAAAGAGAGGCCGGAAACAACTCTAGGTCTCTGTTAAACTTTTAAGCCCTAAGAGTGATCAGAATCAAATTTCTCCCTGTAATGTCAATTATTCTTTGTGAAATAGAGTGGTCATGAGAATTACAGACATGATCACACAAGATGAATTTGCCAGTTGATATTTTATCAAATTCTCCCCACTACTTCTGTAGGAAATCAATAGGAGCAACAATTGAGAATTCAAATTTTGATCTTAGGGTTTAAAGAGTCAAGAGAGAGTTGACTGTATTGGTATTAGTTTTTTACTAGGGTTGTAACCTTGGTAACCTAGGATGAATACTGGTATGTTGATTAAAACAGCAGACATTTTAGGAACTGAATACAAAAATTATGAAACTAAACTCCGTTTTAATTTGCCAAATGCAATCAGAATGAAAGGAAATTCGAAATGCATTTCTATCCAATCTTTAGTATGTCTGCAATGTAGGATGTACTTTAAAATGACCTATAGAGATTCATGCCCAGTGCATTTTGGCATAATTAAAGGCTTGGTTACCTATGTATGCCAAGTGTGCAATGCACAAGCATTTTTCTTTCAAAAATAATACTTTTATTAAGGACTGTGCAGGAATGTTTAACTAATAGGTACAAGAGGAAGGTGTCTTCTTAATCCGGCATCGTTGAGAGCATATATTACTCCAGCCGAGTGTTTTATTGCAAGTATAATAACTTGCTGTCATGAATGATGTTGAAAAGCACAACACTTGACTTTGGGAGCATGAGTGGGTCATGAGTGTTGTGTTATGTGCGAGATAGAATATTATTGGTGTGTTAAGTCATGTACAGGTGTTTAAATCAGGTAACACTTAACATGGTCTTGCTTCTTTGGTTTGGAACGTTTGGTGTCTAATTTTCTTGTTCAATTTCCTAACAAATAACCGTCTTCACTTTTAATGTTGCAGTTCCCCCGTTGAGACCAAGTACATGTAATGCTGATATACCGTTACCCAGTGTAAAAAATGGTTTGGTGTTAACCAGTGATGAGAGTGAAGATGAATTTTGTGACTCCATCGGCCCAGAACATCTGCATGAATTGCAAAATGGAAATAACATTGAAGACCAACATCTAAATCTGGATGACACTCTTGAACAAAAGATTGATTCAGTGGATGGTAGTAATTGTAGTGGATCGCCAGAACATGCTACAAACTCAACATTGACAGAACTATCTGAAAATTCTGATCTGGAAAACAATGTGCAGGGCTCACAGCTGCTTACAAGCACTCCGTATTCAAAGCATGTCACTTTTGCTGTGGAGAGCAGTGACTCAGATAGACCTCTTGTTGTCAGTTCAGACTTGTCTGAGGTTGTGTCCACCGTCAGAGAGGAATGCTGTTCTGAAATAACTTCAACTGTTGAAAATGGACAAGCTAGTCAGGCTGAAGTAGCTGTGACTGAATTTGATTTACCTGGACTTATTAGCTCTGAAGGATCACAAAAGCCATCGGGCATACTGAAGTCACATCATCCTGTGAGAGAATGCGGTGGGGGCGACTCCTCACAGCACCCATCTGGGCGGAATCATGCCAGTCGGACGTGGCAAACTCAGGGGACTAGAAGCAAGGAAGGTAGAAATACCGCTACAAAAATTTATGTTTTGATATTTGAGCTAGTATTGCGATCAGTAGTAGACATTTTTAAAAGGAAAGCCTGACCGTCTACCTAAATTTTACCAACAATCTTTGAGTTAGTCTCTGATGAAAGTGGACTGAAACCACTTAAAATTTCGGTATAAGATCACATTGGTTAAAACAACTTTTCTTTTCAAGTCAATGTTGGTCTAGTGAGGAGAGTCCAAGCAATGCCGACAGTCTTGGCTCCAATGATATGAATATTGAATTTGAAACTTTGTCGTGTACTGTTATTACCAAACCACACCTCATTATCCAAAAAGCCAACCTAGTTAACAAACATTTTAACATTGAAGAAGCATCTTAGTTGTTATTTACAATGTTAAGGTCTCAGTAACAATTTGAGTCTACAGTATACCTGAATGGCTAACAGTTAGAGAACATTGTGATGGTTAAGGACTTAGGTGCTGCTTTCATTAAATTAATATTAAATCATTGAAAAACCAGACTTGGAAAGTGATAAAGCTATTGTTATTATGGTTATGCAAGGTTCCAGTCAAGAATTGAGAGCAAGTCGATTTCCAAGAGGGCACAGGCGGCGAGGTGATAGTGACAGTGAGGATGATGACTTCACAAGTGATCATACAAGTGGACCAGATTATGACTCAGCAGGTGATGAAGTTAATGACAGGATTCTACAAGCTCTGGAAAGACTGCACCAGGACATGAAAAGTGTGTTGAGGCGTCTCAGTTCAATGGAGGAAGCAGTGATGTCACGACAGGTTGGTTCTCGATTGCTCTACCTGTTTTCTGCCACTGTTTTTGAAAATCCACAATGTGAACACTGTTTATACCACAACCTTGTTATTATGATCACATACTTTGCACCCAAAAATGGTAATTTTTTCTTCTGGAAACCTCATTAATATGACCTTACTTCCCTGGTGCTTGAGTGGTTGCATTAACAAGTTTTTACTGTAATTTACAAGAAATATACAGAGTTCCATTGTATGTTTATGAGACAATGAAAACGAATGAAATTGACTTGTAGTGTACTTGTATGCATACATTGAACCCCTGTCTATGACCAGTATCTAATTTCTCTCTGTTTTATCACTGCCTTATCAAGCATAAAGGTTGCAAAAATTATAAAAGAAATGGTGACTAAAGTAAAAAATGCTTTGATGGAAAACAAATTCTCTAGATGAACACCTTAAGAAATTTATTTTTGGGAAAGCAGTGTGGAGAATGTGCATTTTGATTTTAGGGTTCAAAATGTAAGACTAAGCTAAAAGGTAAATGCTGAACTAAGTAGTCTTTCTTTGCAATCACCAGGATGCATCTCCTACAAGTGAACAACCTTGGTGGAAAGCTTTTATCCCATCAAAACCTCTGCTTTTTCTCATTCTCTGGCCATTTATTGTTAACATCATCTTCTACTACTTTCGACAGAGGAAGGTGAGTGTTATTTAAACATTTTTGTGTGTGCAGCTACAGTTACACTGTCTGTGTTATACTAAAGCCTTTACATGTATCAGTGACACTACCGTAAAAACTCGTGTATAAGCCGCACCTTTTTGCCGAAATTTTGAGTCAAAAATCGCGGGTGCGGCTTATACACGAGACCATTGCTCTCAAAGGGAGTAAACTGGTTTGTAGGGGTCACAAATTGAACTGAAAACCTTCAGTTGTTGAACATTGAACACTGGTCGATAGAATGAACTTTAACAGTATATTAATGCTCATGTAAATAGTTTTTGCTTTTCTCGTGAAAATGATACCGAACCGTGTTGTACAAGATTTCGCTTTGAACAAAGATTGATGAGCCGTACTTTCAAACATTGTATAATGTAAATAGTTTTTTGCTTAAACAAGGAATTTCGTTTTCTAATATCAAGATATCTGTACCTGTTACTTGTAAATATATTATTCAGTTTTGTAAAATACAGTCTTCACGAGTCCAGCATTTGTTTACTTGTGTCCTTCTCTGGTGTCCAGACTTCCCTCGTCAAATAAACGCGTGGTTACTAAGCAATCGTTTTGTAGCATTGTCCAGCGCTTTATTTTCGTTCCATCGTACCATTTTCATTTCAACTGTGGGCTTTAGCAATGAAGAGAACTGTTGTCTTTCGCAGGAAATGGGGAAATTGATTAAAGAGAACCTTTTAAAAGGTATTCTCAGAGTTGATTAACTTATTTAAAATGTCACTGCAAATACACAACTTTAAATTTCCTCAAGTTTATTTGTGAACATTTTGATGCGCGAACAAACGATCACCTTTTTTACAAAAGCGCATTTTTGTTTGTTTTTTTTTTTCAAAATCATGCTTGAAAGTTGGGGGTGCGGCTTATACACGAGTGCGGCTTATACACGAGTTTTTACGGTATCTTAAGCAAGATTTTTGTTCTTGTGCAAAACTGATTTAAACACAAACCTAAATAAATTGGAACCATTGTGGCATAAACAGTGGCAGTCAAAAGTTGTTCTTTAATTTGGCAGGTACAGTTTTTTAATTACAGGAGCCTAAATCTTTTTCAAGTAAAGCATACATTTTCTTTTAGAAGCATTATGGTTGTTACCATCCTCTTTTATTAGAACTGCAATGCCCTAACAATGGCAGAACAAAGTACCTTGGAGTATATCATATCAGGACCCTGTGATACCAGGGTTCTTTATGGCAATGTTTTGCTGTATTCTGAGAGTAAAAGATAACATGATGGCAGACGGCCGACAGACTGGGGGAGGGCTGTTCCTCTAAAGGCCATTTGCACAATGGCGTCATTTTGCTACAGATACCAGAATGCTTCAGTGTCTTGCTTTCTTGTGCAAATTAGGGCTTTTGTTGTTTTAAACCTTGCTGGGATTACCAAATTTAAATATGAAGGGACAAACGAAAGGGATTCTGGCAGTAGGGAAATGACAGCATGGTGCAAATGGCCTATAATTTTATTTTTATTTTTGTTTGAAGAAAAAGTGTACTCTGTATTTGACAGGTGTGTTTTTATTTGGATCAATTTTGAATCAAATGTGTTGTACCTTTTCTTTTGCAGAATTCTAAACGGAGATAACACTGAGTGGCATTATGCAGCAAAATATTCATTCATGTCTTGGGATTTTCGCTACATCTACATTACTGTAGATTTGTATACATTTCGCAGCCCGTGAGCAGAGCTCCTTTTGTCTTTTTCTTGATGATCAAAGATTCAGGCTAAAGCTGTTTATAAAATACAAGATAGTCCTGTGTGGAACAAGAACAAGGTTGTGGTATAAACAGTTTTCAAGGAACCTTAAGTAATTCAAGAAAACAGCAGTGACATATGAGATGGAAACTACTTCTATGACTTATTAACTTGGTTTTCACAATAATCAAATGAACAGTATTTATTTAATTTACTGGTAATAAGGGTAACAATATTCAAAACTGAACATGTGGTTTTAAACCACTGGGAGACTTAAAATCAGATAAAAGGTTTCTACATTGCAGGGAAGATGTTTCCCACATGAGGACCACAGTCCACATTATTTTTGTACACTACCAGTATCTAAAATCGGTCTTGTCAATTCAGAAGACATATTTTTCCCTCACATGTAAGATTTAGGTGTTTTGAATTAAGGGAAATTTAATTTAATATTGGGAATTACAAGTTCTGAACATTGAAAACATTATTTGTGTAAGTAACTGATGCAAACAATATTATTATTATTGCAGTTCTTGGTCATTTAAATCTTGAAATTGAAAGCATTACTATTCACATAGCATTATAAGAATCACTTCCTAAAATAACCATTTCAAATTACCACCTACACTGAGAGGTTAGTTTTCTTAAGTGAAGAGTTGATTGGTACATACAGTTTTCACAAATATGATCTTTGATTCCAATATTAACCTTTTAACAGAATTTGGGACAAGGCATGCCCTTCTATAAACCAGTTATTACTTTATACACGGAAAATCATCCGTGCCCTTTGGTTCAGTTATTAAGCCCTTTCTCTTCATAATAGTAATATATTACAGAACTTTAAAAAGTTTCTACATGACAACTGGTCTTGTTTTCAAATTATAGCTAATGAAGGACAAGTTGGATTTTGAAGGAAACACAACCCAAAGATACAACATGTATCTTTGCTTTCACCCTTTATCTGCCGATGCCTTCCTTCTGTAGTAAAACAATCAAAATCATACTTAATCAGCAGAAATGTTATAACCAATGAATATTGATACTGTTTAAACATTCACCTTTAGAAACGAGAGGAAAACTAAGCAGCGTTAACTTTCACAAAGACCTCCGGGATCATTACTGGGGATGCGCCAGTCAGCTATTGGCCAATTTTTTCTCCTGTCCCCAGCCACTGTCCTAGACGTCTTTGCAAAAGTTAACTTCGCCCAGTTTACTTCTCATTTCTAAAGTGGAAAATATCCAAATTTAAGAGTGAAATAAAGACTCGAGGTCATTAGTCTCAAATCTGTATGCAGTCTTTGTCAAAGAAGTTGATGACTTTCTGTGCAGTTTGGTGATCTAGACTACAGTCTATCAGTTCCTCCTCTGTGGCTTGTGACACCCTGGAAACAGTTTTAAGACCATCTTGAAGCACCAAACACTCTTTTCAGATGTTAAGGAAAGAAAACTTGACTGTATTATTTCCTTAATGATAACTATTCTGATTTAGTCATGAACATGCATTCCCAGACCTGCACAGTGCCCTATTTTCCGTGTAAAGGATTGTTGAGTTCAAGAGTTCTCATGGTGAGGGATAGCTGCAATCAGGGACAAAAGTAGTTGACATACTTGTCTAAAACACGGCGCTTTCATTAACAATTTCTTTCCTTTAACATACGACTGTGTTTAAAGGCCGTAAATCCCCCCACCCCTAAATCAATGTTGTTTTTAGTTGAAGAAAGACTTGATGGTATGAAATACAACATTGATTTTGGGGGGAGGGGTGGGGGTACACAGGGGAAGGGGATAGGTATGCCCACTATGAAAAATGGGCCCATTTACAGAAGTGTGTCAAAACGTTTGTCCCTTATTGTAGGTAGAGAATAAACTCCCCTTGGGCATTGTAACGGGAAGTAATATGGTTTTGGGGGGTGGTTCCTGCTCAATACCCATGTGCAAGTTGCTTTCTTCTCAGTTTTTTTTCTTTCTTCCCACTTATAAGAAATCAAGATAGCAACCTCATACCCTGTAAACATGGTACCTTAACTATCACATGCAAGAGTCAAATGCCTCCATCCCCCCACCTCAAGCGCCAGATTCAATACTTTGTGGCATCAGATGATGTAACATGAGGGACTTTACACCATATTGATAATATCATGGAACAGACCTTTCCACAATCCTGTGAAGAAAGGTACTAACTTAAGGATTGGAGCGTCGAAATACAGTGATTCTGTGAAATTTTCCACCTTTGCATATAACTCAGATTTATTTTGTGTACTCACTGGAGCAGAATATGCAAAAGGTCTATTGCAAAATTGCAATAATATTTAGCTTTGGGGATAAAACCTCTGAAAAAGGATACCATGATTGCCAAGTCCAATGTTTCCAAGGGCATGAAGAACCACATTGTCAGTAACTGTTGACTCTTGTAACCTCTTCATTCTTTCTTGTATCAATCCTGCCATAGGCTTACAAGTAACCTGTAAGAAATTTGTTCTTTGAGGTTATGTAACGTATGTAACATGACATGGGGCAGTTTTCAGTTATGGACTTTCACGCCCAAAACAGTTTCATGCCACGTCATGTTCCGAGTGCAGAAGTAAACAGTGCCATCCAAAAATACTGCCAAAGAGGTCCATCTTTTGCTAATGGTGGCCAAGAGTTATTTACCAGTGAAGTTATTGTTTTCCCATTTGAAACAAAAGGAACACAAAAACACTGTCTTGTAAAAAATTTTATTGACCTCGATGCAACATGCCTTAGAAAGCCAAATACACAGTACATAGATGGAAAAGTAAGACAAGTAGGGATGGGGAAAAACGTTTCTTTTTCTTCTCCCGTCTTTTCCTTGACTAAAATAATTCCTTTTATGAAGGCTACATATAGCCTGATGTGCACAGCCGCCCCCTTCCCTCCCAATTTTTTTCTGAGGAGAGGGGGCAGCTAGCTGTACACAGGCTGGGCTACATGAGAAAATAACTTTGACTCTAGAATTATTGAAAAGTTTAGACTCATTCCTTAACATCAGTCATACCTTGGCAATAGTAACCATAAAATCAACACATTCTTTAGCACTATGTGCAGGGATGAAATTTGCCTTTGTTCCAAGAAACCTGGCAGAGTAATAAGCACAATTAACAAACATAGCCCAACTGCCGGAGCAGCTCTTAACCTAGACAGAAATACCCAGTTGTATAAAATGTATGAATCATAATAGCTGGTGATTCCTGTAACCATGGGTTTGCCCAAGCACTACAATAAGTTAAACTTACATTATTATTTTTCATGCAACGTGGGGAAGCTGACAAGATTATTTTCATGGTCAACAGCACAGGAAGTTGCTGATATGTTGCTGCCCTCACTACATCAGCATAATCTTAGATCTGGGAACTTGCATGCAAAGAGGCGTAAGCCCAACAATAATTATGGCTTAAAAAAATTGATTTGTGATTAAAAAAATTAATACAGATTTCATTTAATTTAACCTGCTTTGTAGCGCTGTTAGGCTTTGCATTTCCTTTGATCCCATAAGAGCAGCCATGAGAATAACGTAAGCTCTTTGATGCACTTGATTTAGTCTCTGCACCCTGAGAAAAGAAAAGCATGATGTTGTCAAGTTTACAGATGTTACAGAGATGGGTTGGCTAAATCAGGTTTTATTTGTTTATAGGTCCCACCAAGGACTACAATACCTGAATTTACTCAACTCTTACACCAAATTGAAATCTTTTCAAATCCCCTTGCTCTTTGTTGAAATTTTTGTTGTTGTTGTTGTTGGCACAAGGTAACTGACAAATGCATGTTTCTTTTACCAAATTATCTCTCTCCAAATGTTGTATCGGCTTCCCTCAAAGCGATCTTTAACTTACCTTTCTACAATGTCCGCACTAACTACTGTTTGCCCCTCGTTTTCTTTCAACGCATGGTCCAAGGAAATGACCATAAATGCGACAGAGGAAAGAGGGAAAATTATAACTCCTTGACCAGTTGTGTCAGTAACTGTAAGAACAAATTCAGATTCAGATACGGCGAAAATAATAGCAAAAATTTCTATGAAGATTCACTGATACCTCTAACTTTATGTTTGCTCCTCAGAAGTCTGTAAATCTCACTTTCTTCCAAAGATTTGTTGATTATAATTGGCCAACTAGGAAGAGAACTGTCCGCCATATTTTAAGCCAACTTAGTGTGGGTCCCAGTCTCTGTCGTTCAAGATCCTCCCGAGCTCCCCCGAAGTTTCCTTCCGAGACATTCCGAAACTTCCGAAACTGGCTTTGAATCAAGAAGCTACGAGACCAGAGAAAGGGATGTGTCAGCTCTACAAACTCCGAAATTTCGCTGACGCAGGGTCACTTCAGAGAAAACCGAATTTTGGCAAATTTCGTTCCTATACGCGCGATATCTCGAAGCGCAGGGTGTCAACGCAGAATAATCTCCTCTCTTGAAGGTACCGCGAGAGAATAACATACTGCTCTCCTCCCTACCACACTTCAGGTAATTCCCAAAATCTCATTTTGCACTTCACGATGTAGTGGTGGTAGCTACAACAGAGAATGACATGAGAACATGCTCGAACTGTTTCTCGGCGATATACCACAGGACTAGGCTTTTGCAAAAATGATCTTCAAAGTGCAATCCAACAGATGAATGAGACAGGATAAAGGACATCGCATCATCGTGTCATCTTCAGCAGTACGCGCCGCTGACTGGGGAACCTAAGACTTGAGGTATAAGACAAGTAACGAGACAAATTTTCATCAAATTTTACGTCACCTTTAATTTTTCACACGACCATAAATATTTCACAATACCGTATTCTTGGAATGCATTGCCTATAAAATGGCAATACCTTGATAATCGAAGAGTAGGCTGAGTATTCCTTTTAGGCTTTAAAATTAAAAGAACTGGTCTCAGTTGTTCAAAACGAGGATAGCGCTATCAACCGGATAAATCTCTTTCCACTAGACAGTAGACTAAGAGTAGTCCCCCAGTTTTCCTCAGGGTTCTCGCGTGGGGTGATTTTCACGCGCGCTCAAGTTGCGCTCGCTCTTCTATCCCTGAGGAAAAATGGGGGATTACTCGTAGTATACTAGACAGTGCAAAAGCGCAATAGGTTTCCCTAATATTTTTGAATCCACTGGATAGTGATTTATCCGGTGGACAGCGCTATCCAGCTTTTGAACAACTGGGGCCAGGTTCGTTTATTAATATTCTAACTGGATTTCTCCACGATCCCATGCTGTTTTTCATAAAACAACCTTGTCAAAGGCATTGGTCTGACGTCTGTCTCATGTGAAACATCAACTTGACTCACGGAAAAGGAATGATTTTTTAAAACTGTGTTTAGAGTATTTAGTCCAGTCTGAAGGGCAATGATCAAACGTTTTCAAATCATGCACGTTTAAATTTGACTATTAAAGCCGCTTTTCATCTGTCCCAGCCATGAATTAGACTACGAGGAGTGTCTTATTTTCCTGACGGATAGAGGAGCGAACTAAAGACCCGAGAGAGCGTGCTCCGAGTATGCCCTTCTTCGAGGGTAGTGATTTTGACGCGCGTTCGTGTGTTTTGCTAGTCTGCGTGGCATGCGCTTAGAAGTAATGGGGGCAGGAAAGAACCGGGCGCGTGAGGGAGACACACACCCTACCCGTAGTCTTGCCATGAATAAGTTTAACATTTTCTGACCTGTTCTTGTCTATTAATAGAGAATTTAATAACATCACTGAACAAAAGCAGCGACCAGGTCTAGGTATCATGTCCTTTTTTACGGGGGTGGGAAGGAGGGGGGGGGGGGAGTGTCCGCCTCATAAAGGTGTCCGCCGTGGTAAGAGAAAGTTGACCGTATTTGGAAAGTGATTTTAGACGCCAGTATATTGGGCAAGATTTGGGACATAAAGGAACTAGAGAGCACTTAAATTCTTCAACCGGCGGAAACCCACGAAAATATTAGGTCAGAGTCAAAATAATCGGTGATACAAAGGCGTAAGGAGCCAGTTATATTAAAATCATAACCGAAAACACTACACAGAACCGTAAACTATATATACAACTTGTAGTCTGTGTTTAAGCCACAAATAGGCATCGACTGAATATTTTATCTCGTTTGTGCAAGTTCAGTTGAATAATATTACTGTGGATCCGAAGCACTCTCAAATTTACTTTGAACCATATAAAAGCGTTCAGCAACTTGTTTTTACCCTACACGTTCCAATGGCGATATGTGGGTGAGGTTTTCTGTTCAACTGTTTTTCTTGCACGTCTTTAGCGTCATTTCATTATATTAAATTATATTTTGTTTGTTTTTTTCTTTACAGTAGACCTCTAATGACCAGAATTGGTACTTGTTACGCATTCCTTGGGTATTCTCACCGTGTTGTATGAACATGTAAAATATTGATTTGAATCGTATGGGTTGGATGTTTGAAAGTAATGCTGTATCTTATAAATCCCAGTTGGGTCCAACAAAGTCAGGTGCTTCATCGATGACATCTTTGAAAGATACAGGAACTGACCAAGCGCACTTTCGCGGAAGAATTCTTCTTAACTCCCGCTGACCCCTGTTAACGACGCCAAGATAGGGCTTTCGTGTTCGCGGACGAAACCAACTTCACCAAAAGAAGGCTAATTTAGTCTTCACCAAACGACTGAGTCAGTGTTCCACTTCGTCAAAACAAACACTTTGGAATGGTGATTCTGTTGTATGTGATGTCACAGCCACAATCTGATCATCGCCATCATCATTATCAGCGAAATATTCTCAAGTACCGTACTTGACAATATTTCGCTCGGACTATTCGTCTCTTGTGCGTACGAACGGAAAGCAGTTGTGTAGTTGACTGAAGCAGCTCTCCATTATTCCATCTGAGTGAACGTTTCGCAGTAAAATAAATACTCAAGACTCTGGGTTCCTTTGTACATCTCTGAAGAAGGTTTTATGTTACATTTATACAAGATATGCACCAGCTCTTTTCATCTTGTTGTGATTGATACGCTGGAGAGCATTTTTTGTATCTTTTCGTCATTTCTCAAAATGTTGCACTTTACTGTGCTTATCCTGTCGACCTGGAAAAGAGAAAGGAAGGGAAAAACACCTTAAAGTTGAAAAATGAGGCCAATTTACAAAGCGTAGCAATACAATACTACAGCAATCACACAATTACCATACACAAAACATAATAAGAAAAAAAACTCACAATCAGTATACAAATCGACAGTACACTTTAAGAAGTTTTGCTGCGCTGGGCTCAATAAACAAATAACTAAATAATTGAACAATTAAAACCTCATTATTAGGTTGACCCAGTTTTCGTTTTTTTTTTTCAAGAAAAACGAGCTCCCCTAAAAATGCCTGCGTGGGAGGCTAAGTTTTAGTTAGTTGCTATGGGTTTTACAAAACAAGGATACTTCCTTACCATTTCTGTTATTTCAGTGTCTAGTTCTTCAAGCTGTGATTTTAAGGGTGCTATCTCACTCTCTGTTATGCTATATATGAAAAAAAAAACAGCCTTTAATGCTAGTTCAGCAAAAACAAGTTCGGGCTTAATCATAATAGGGAGGAAGCGTGGACGAATGATCAGTCCGGCCACATTGACCATTTCGATGGAGTCGTTTCTCGGAAGTACCAGGTTCAATTACTTCCGCTATAATACTTACATTTTAAACGCTATTATCATACTACTGACAAGAGTTTACACATATGAGCCGTCAGGGACCCTTTAGCAAAGACAACGCAACCTCGAATGAGAACGTGAAACGCGTAGAAAGGACTGAACCCGACTTCCGGGGCACAATTTGTCGCTCTTTTATTGGTCAATTCGGTTTTTAGATCTGCGCACGCCGTGGTCGTGGTCGACACGTTGTATTTGCTAAATCTCTCCAACATGCGAGACTGGTGGAAAAAGTCTAACACTCCAAGATGGATCGAAACATACAAAAAAGACATTTCCAAATGCATTACAAACGCTTCTAAGATCCCGAGATCAGTTCAAAACTTTCCAAGAACCATGATTTACTAGGTAGCATTTGCCCTTCCTTATAACTAGAGGATATTTCTCACTTCAATACCGGTTCAGTAACGTTTGACAACGAAACTCACCTCTCTTCTCTTTTTAAAGCTATTGCGTGGTCTACATTTTCTCTTCTCCAAAGATCTAGTTCTTTTTGCATGCTATCCATATCTTCCTACAAAAGGAAAATAAATTAAGAAGTCAAATAAAATCAACGAAGAAAAGAAATAAGAAACTAAAACAGTTAATTGTTTCCAAAACAGTCCTCTTGACAAACTTTAGTTCCAAATTCAAGTTCTAAAATGAACACAGTTACATATTCTCCACAGCATTCAACATACATTTCGTATCGCTATATTAGGTAGAATTTCTTATAACATCAAGGAATTCCTCTTTAATTATCATTATGATTTCCATACCTGTATATAATCCATTATTTTTCCAAGTGGATTTGCACTTCTTGTTAATGTCTGAATACTAGTTCTTAGTTTCTCTATCTAAAATGGACCAAAAGCAAAATTAATTGTGAGACGACATACACCCCTTCACACCACTGACAAAACATATAACAGAAAGGGGAACGTCTTGAAACTAGTGACCGATTTTAGTACGTTTTGAAGACATCATAATTTGCACTTATTTCTTAGTCAGTGACCTACAAGAGAGCCTGTTCACAGGAGGTTGTTTCTTGACTACAAGTATGCACATGAGCACACGTCACAGCGCGCGGAAAAATTGCCTCACGCGAGAGAAGCGTCGCCTAGACATGGCCATTTTCAAATTGTAAAAAGGTAAAAAGGAGTCATGTTTAGACACAATTTCCCCAATTCTAATCATAACAATACTTTTCTCAGACATGATAAGGCAAGCGTAAAGCAAAAGGGTACGGAAAATCGTCTCCCACGAGGATGGCGCAAGATTTTCAATGCTTGCAAGTGTAAGTCTCTTTGTAGAATCAGAGCAAATAATAGCGGAGCTCCACCCGCACGCGAAGCGCGCGCGTGGGCGGAGCCCCATAGCTAAGGAAATGTGGTAATCTACCCATCCCAGAAAATTTGGTAATCACGTGACCGTACGACCGTCCGTCCGCACCACACGGATACCAATGTAAAATAACTCAATCAACAGGTATGGGAACCCAAATGCAACTCAAGGTTTTATTTGTAAGGAAATCACATGGCCGAACGGACTTGTAAAAAGAAAAAAGTCGTGTCTTTTTTCGGCGTTATTTTTTGTGTGTACACTAACGTGGATAACAGAGAAAAAGCTAGAGCGAGTTATTGAAAATTCGTTGGAACAAAAACATGGAAATTCAAAGCGGCGGTGAGAAAATGAGAAATGCTGGCGGCCAGCAAGGTGAAAATGAGCGGCAGTGAAAAATAAAAGCGAACATGAACACTGGAAACAAAATATTGGGTAAGCACATACGACAATTTTTCCATAAAAATATTGTGTAACTAGGAAGTTTGATGTTTTACTCGTACAAAACAGTGTTGTAGTCGTGCAAAACAACGGCAAGGGAAAGACAGAAAAGAGTGCTGCACGTGCAAATTTGCTTTTTGCTAATTAGAAGAAAAAGTGGCTGCACGTGCAATTTGTTTTTTTTGCTAATTAGATCTATTACTCTTGAAGCCATTTTCATTGTCGTCCCCCGTTTAGCGCCACATGATTTAATTTTTTTGTTTACACGTATTATTAACCAGAGCTTCGCTTTTAGCCCTGGCTAAATCTATATATTAAGAAACAAAGTAACGTCTTCTACTAAGCCACTATTGAACAACACTCACGATTTCAACACGAAGAACATTACCCAATAAGACCGTTTAAACTCTTCCTAAGTCATTAGGGGGAAATGCGGTCGTTTCGCCCGAAAATCGATTCGATTCGCCGGACGGCGTTCGCCAAGACACACTGAAGACATAAGTCGATTCGCCCGATGACATACAACATGATGAACATACCTTTCGAGATGTTATTTGAGTTAGCCCTGGATTCCACATGTGCAGTCACTGTCTTTCCATGCTTATTCCCTTTTTTTCAGGCTCAAAGAACGACAAATACGCTTCGGGCGAATCGACTTAGTTTGGGTGAACTGCTATCGGGCGAACCGACCTTCAGGCGAAACGACCCGATACCATCAGGGGATGGCTGGTGTATTCTTTCTTCCGGCAACTCTCTGAACAACAGACCATGAAGCATTGAGGCAAAAAAGATGGTTGCCCTCAAAGTGCTCAACACTTTGTAGTGTGACAATTTGATGGTGTAACCACCACAATAATTAGAGAACAATTAAAATGCGACTTTCTCCTTTGTACTCACCTCCTTCTGGGCGAGCTCTCTTTCTTTCCTTCTTGCAGCATCAGACATAATGGGTGCTTGTCGTTCCTGCAAAGTAGATATGAAAATATTCATTATACAGTACACATGCGCGTGTGTATTTATTACAACGCATGCCTTTTATGTTGGAGATAGATTGACTCTAAAATGCATCGATGAGGACAAACATGACACTTGATTTAACTGCTGTTTTTAATCTCGCTGAAACTCTGGTTATAGAATGAAGAGACAATTGAGTATAGCAAAGACGTAATAAAATGAAACTTACCTGTCTCGGTCTTGCTTCTTGGTTTCCACCTCCTTCAAGTTCTTTCTTTGTTTTAAGAATTTCCCTAACGAGTCCCCCTGGAAAACGGCAACATATTTTTAATAACTAGTTCAGCTTTACAGCATCAGTTGCTGGATGAATCACTTTTACCATTTTATTAGCTGATTGAAATGGACATGAATGAAACAAAACTATTGTTCCAAGTACAGGGCACGGGGTTATAATAAGCTGTCATTGGCAATTTCATTGGTTTGCCTGTGTGATTATGTACAACATACACAGACTTACCATGTTCACCATCATCCTCAGCCACCTCCCCTGCGGGTGTCTGTAAAATTAAACAGTAAAATAACAACAAATTAGTTACAACCCGGTTCAATCATAACACTTATCAAACTAGAACAGAAAAATGAATTCCTACTGTTAACTTTAAGGCTTTGCTCACACTTGGTGCCCATGGGCACAGTGCCGAAGGACACTACTCTCTGAGCCCTAATAAGACGACCTGTCAACACACCTCTCAGTCCATAGCCTGCGTAGCAGGCGCTTGGAAGTAGCGGGCGAAAGAGAGAACGGGCGCGCACGAGGGAGACACGCAAGTGGTGAGGGAGCGCCTGCACGGAAGGCCCCCGAAAATCGTTTCAACTCGCACTCTGTGAGTGCGGATATTTCCAATTGGTCGAGAGGCTCCTGAGGGAAAAATTAACCGCGCGGGGCGAGAAAACTGTCAATCAATAGTACATGGGCGACGTAGCGAAGATCTTGCATTACACCACTGGGTCCTGAAACTACTAAGTTGTATACAATCGAAGTTCAGGTGTCGGAGGTCACTTCAATCTGGTTTAATGGGACTATGTGGCTGTAATCTCAAAGAAAAGTTGGAGTGTTCAAACGGTATTCACGATGGAAAGAATTGACATCGGATACGCATCAACAGAAGTGGCGAGAGACAAAAGATTTGTCGAATCGTTGCAATGAAGATCAGAGGAAATATTCTTTGCTCAGGAGAACTTAACGGCTTGTGCTGTCGATGGAACGTATACCATCAAAATTTGGACATGATTGATGAAATGAAACACTTACCAGGGGCATGAATTTGAAAAAAACATTTCACTATAGTATTATTCGCCGTTCGGAGGCGACCTGAGGTCTGTTGTTTATGTCTCATTACTGCAGTAGAAAACATGCATGTCGGTACAGTTTGTGTTCTGAGGTTTAGGTCCGCTTAGTAAGACATGTCTGCTCCAAAAACGGCTGCCAGTTAGCGCAGTAAAAGAAAAATGTTCATTTTCCACGTACGCTGTGATCGTTGGTGTCTGACCAGAACAATATTTTTAGTTTTTATAATACACAGCATGCATTCTTTAAAAGATACCCTGTTTTGACTTTGTTATTTCCTATTTATTGTGCCGGTGTTAAAAAACGATTTAAAGCTGTGTGTTAACCATCAGTTTATTGCTCCATCGCTCCATAATCAGATAACCCAGCTGATCTTTATAACAGATATATTTAGACCGAAGATAAAATGTACAACTCTTTTTGGCGGCTTGCTTTGTTTGTGCTAGGTCAGTCGTTTTCTGTCAAAACTTTTGACAGATCACGCAACGGCTGCCAAGTAATTAGAGAGGGGGCGGGAAACGATTTTCGGGGGCCTTCCGTGCAGGCGCTTCCTCTCCCCTCGCGTGTCTCCTTCTCGCGCGCCCGTTTTTTCTTGTGCCCACTACTTCCAAGCGCCTGCTACGCAGGCTACTCAGTCCAGTGCCCACCCCACAATTCAAGCATGGTGCTGACTTGTGCTGGGGCACTGAAGCAGGCACCAGGTTTCTCTGTGCACACATTTTCTGTTAGTTTGGAGGCAATCCACCGCTTTGCTTCTCACCATGCTTTTTTATTTTCAAAATGGCCTCTAGCCAGGCAAAATTGAGCAAAAAAGTACATAGTTGCATATTAAGTACCCAAGGCGTGAGCACAACTGACACCATTTTGTTCCAGTGCTAAGGAAACGTAAGTGTGAACAGCCCCTTAGGGGTGGGCTTATAGGTAAATATTTTTTCATTGCATTGGAACTCACCATGTCCAGATCATTTTGAATTGCATGCGCATCTTCAACCACAAAAGTATCATCCTCATCTTCTTGATCTTTTCCATCATCCACAATAACACTGGCAACTTGCTTACCTGATCCAATTCTACAGGTCAGACAAGAAAATATGTCGTCAAAAGAAAGCACCTTCAAAAGACAAGGTCAGGGGAAAAGGGTACATTTGTACAACTTCTCTAACCACAATTGTAACACATACATGTGTTGTTTTTCATTGCTGAAAAGCTGCTAATGCCACTAGACATGTCTGTTACAGTACCCTGCCCGGGTTCCAGTGGTTTTTTTGTCCCTTTTTGCGATTGAGTGTGATGAAGATGCTTCAGGGTTGGCTGGTACATCTTTGGCTTTTGGCATGGGTCAGTGCTTCTGATTGGTCATGCCATGTGGGAATTTTGATTCAACTAATCAGAAGCACTACTCAGATCTGGGTAGTGACGCATCATCAGTATGGAATTTCTGTGCTCGTTTCTCAGACGTCATTTGGCGGAGATACCAGTGGTAGCATCCCCAAATGCCGGCTGTTTTCTCAGGCTATTGCAAAGCTAGTACCTGGCCATTTGATCTTCAAGTTCTTCTTGCTGCTTTTTAATCTTGGGTGGAGCAGGTCTTGCACTGCTTGGCCTTGGTATGCTTCGACTAATGAAGAAATATCGAGCAATAACAAATTACTTAAAAACATCGTCATTACATTATAAAATATCTATAGCCTTCAGGATTAAAGGTATTTACAAGAAAGAGTGTTGTAGGCTTTATTAAATTTTTTGACTTGTCAGTGCAACATATAACAATACATAATAATTTTACTGGAGAGTGGCACTTATTTAAAATCCCTTGCACAATAAAAACTCAAGATTATTTGAAAATCTTCTCCACACCTTTTTATTACTTGTGGGGGAAGTTCCTCGTGATTCAATACTCCATTCATTTCTTCTGTTGGTCGGGCCTGTTCACTCATGGTAGGACCTGTGATTAAGAGTAAATAAAATACATTTACTTCTGTTAATTAAAAACTTAAGCAACCTAAAGTTATCATTATCATGACTACACATGTAAATTAACAATTACCATTAATACAGCCACTATTCTGCCTTGTAAGAGCTTGTTTGAGAATTAACAAAATCAGTTATCCCTCTAACAAAGAGGATTATGCTGAGCTAATCATGAATATTGAATTTTATTATATAAACACCAATGAGCTTTCACGCGAAAACATGATATCTTCACACGTGAAAATAACACGTTATCTTCACTTGTGAAAAGATCACCATTGCTATGGCTACATAATTAATCGTACCTTTCACACCAAAAAACTATTTAAAGTGAAATGGTTTGGTATTTCATTGGTGTTTATATAATACATATAACATTACATGGCTGCTTGGAGATACAAAATTTGTCATCAAGTGTTGAAAAAATTTTTCAGCACTCAAAGGGAAATTTTGTATCTCCGCGCAGCCATGTAATATCCTCTATATATCTATCTACATACCATTTACTTCACCTTCTTGCAAATCTAAAAATGAGGAAATAAACAGAAATATGTTACTCCATACATACACAATAGTTAAGAAGAGTTGTTGTGACAGGCACACTCTAGGAGGACCCACAGTGTTAAATGATCTACTATACAAAACACTGCAGTGAGTTCTTCTCCAAGTGAGTTCCAATAAAATCACTTTTCATTCTTGAAATTTGCTACACGTATGAAATTTGAATGGCCTAAGGCCTATAGATTGCCATCTGCAAAGTGTCTCATATTATTTTTTGTATCCAAATTAGAAGAGAGAGAAAAGAATTGAGAGTAGTTTCCTTTCAGTCATGTTTCAACTGTAATCAAGTGCTGCAATATTTTTGTTGGAAACCTGCCTTAAAGCCAAAATAGAGGCCTATTAAAACTGTTTCAAAATTTTCCTAACATAAAAATTGTTCAACACAGAAGTAAAGGAACTTTAAATGGATGTTGCTGAAAAAAAGTTTAACCACACTTTAAACAAGTTGTCAATACATTCAACTAAACTGAAGGTTGCAGGCAACAGTCTTAACATTTTGTTCAGTAGATTTTGAACAAATTTTCTTTCCCATTAATATCATTAACTATCTAAGTGCTTTGTCACACAAGCATACCCTCTCCCTCCCCTGATGGTCTGCGTCTCTGACCTTTGGCAGAGGAGGGTCTTGGTATTCTATTTGCAGGTAGCTCTCCATTCTGTAGACAGAGAGAGAAAAAATGTTGATGAATTCATGCATCACCATGACTGTTTTTGCTCTAATAACCAGCAGATAAGTGGCAGTTACAGATTTCTTGTGATAATAATAAAATGTTATGGCAATATTTTTTACCTCAAGCTCTCCATCTATCACACCTGCTCCACTGTCTACAACATCAATATCATCTTCTTTCTTTGGTGCCTAACAAGAAGAAAAGCACATTAAAAAAAGCCAATCAAACACAAATTTTGCTGCAATAATATTAAAATTGGACTCCCCCAAAATTTACCCAATATATGAATCCCTTTGATTGTAAGTTTTAGCATTCATGCTGACATACACAGTTTAAATACTCTCATCACAACAGGAATATTCACAGCTCACACATTATCCAGTCGCTAGGAGGTGAATATTGTTGAATAGTCCGAGATAGCGAACCAATCAGATTGCTTAAATCACCAAGATCACTGAGTGTGTATAATTATACTAATAAGAAATATAATAATATTATAATCTTTAATATCCAACCACATTTTCTTCACTTTTTCATTAGTCATTGAATTGGTGTTTTCTGTGTACTTTTACCTTTTCCCTATTTTTTTCAGAACTTCTTTCTTCTCTTTCCTTCTCCCGTTTGGCAGAGTCATCTTTTTTTCTTCTATCAGAGCTCTCTGTCTTGTTAGAAGAGCCATCCTTTTTCTTAGCATCACTCTACAATAATATTTTCACATTAATGGCACAAAACATGGTTTTCGCACTCCACGTAATTTTTCTGGGAGAAGCCCCAAGAATCTATAGTGATAAAAAGCGGTGTTAGGAAAAGCAGTGGTATTCAAGCCCTGTGACCAGTGTTCAAAACACTGGCCAAAGTCATCGGGAGGGGAGGGGGGTGCATGAAGAATCTGAACCACTCAAGTTCATGAGTGCCTAGATCACAATTCATGCACATCCACTGGAGGTAATCTAGATTTAGTGGTCTGGCTTGCCATGAGTAGAAGTACATAATATTATAATGTAAGCTATTAGCTGAAAACTTTTGTTATCATTCAAAACTCAGTTATCTATTGTGGTTCAAACTTTTCTCCAATTTAACTTTGTCAAAGGAAACTTTAAACTCAATTTCATTTTGATTTACAAGATACTGCATGATGAATGTTAGAAAAATAATACTGTATGGATTAAACCATGGCTAAAGGCAAAGCTCCAGTTAATAAATATACAATAATAATTATTATAAATTTATTAACAGGAGCTTTACTTCAAACAATAAACTTGTAACCTTGCAAAGAAATCCACTGGTAAAAACCAGTAGCTTGTCAGCGGATAACTTCAAAAACACATAACCTCAATGGGTTGACACCTGAGCCCATGATACAGTATGTGATACTGGTCAGCAGATACCCTGTTTTGACAGTTATCAATAATTTTATATTGACCACAACATGGATTCACAATATCAGGTCACAGGCTCCCCACACTATTTAGAAAAAGTGAGATTTCACAGTGGTTGCCCCATGGTGGGGACATATGGTCAGTGACACATGACTACCAAAATATCTCATATGAATTAAATAACCAAATTTTCTTAGCTGTGGGGTTCCGCTCGCTTGTGCAAAGTGCGTGGGTGGAGCTCAGCTGAAAATCAACATAAACAAAATACCTGTTTACGCCTGTCCTTGTCTTTATCATTCTCTTTGTCTCTATCTCTACTTTTTTCTCTTTCCTTCTCTGTTTTGTCCCGTTCCTTTGATCTTTCTCTCTCTTTACCTCCACTTCCAGTTCTTGATTCCTTTCTTTTGCTATCACTAAAAATAACATTGGGCATAGGCACCAATTACACATGGTGTAACTTCAACCTGAGATAAAATTTCACTCTGTGATTGAGATAACCGTACATAGCAATTTCAACGCAGGTGCAATAATTCAAACTGGGTGGGAAAATCTGCCAGAAAAGATCTTGGTTCAAAAGCAGAGCAGTGTGTACGACAAGTTCATGTCTTCTCAAATTACATAGATGCTTTTCAGCTTGTTTGACAGGGCTAAAATTTCTGGCCCAATTTGAGATAAACAGGCTGGAGGTTTTAGCATGGACTATGACTCTTTTTATCTAGTTGCATCTTTAAATGTTACTATCTGTCCTGTAGAAGGGGTTGGAAATTCCAGAGGGGAGTATGATGGAGGGGAGGGGAGGGGAGGGGAGGGGGGGTTGGTTAATCTGAAGCAGTAAATTTCTGAGAATTATGTACTTGGGTTGAGTTCAGTTTTTCTTTACCTGCAAAATACAGGGACATTCACATTAATACATACAGCATATTAATTTTGAAGCCAAAGGAGGGACACTCAATAAATTTTAATTGTTCCTTAATTGCTTTGAATATCACTAATTCATGAACAGGCTTGCCTAAATGTATTTTGACAATAAATATTTTTTTTACCTTGACTCTTTACCGGGCTTTTCTCCTGCTAATACTTTTTTCACTGCATCAGAGCTGCTTTTCTACAAGTGGAGAAACAACTTACAGTAAATTGAATTGGTAAAAGCTAGTTTAAGTCTTTGTAAAGTGTACTGTTGAAGGAAACTAATTAAACCAAAATTTTTCTGTTTCACTCCTCTACTGCAATGTAGCAGCATAATTTCTATAGCTGAAACTGTAAAACATCACATATTAGTGGATATGTTAGAGGCCAAAATTAACTTCAGGTTTAAATTTTTTAACTTAGGTTAATGCTCAATTTTCTTTTGTCTCCTATAGCTAGCCCTAATAATTATTCATGAATTATGGCTAAGAGAAAAAGTAAATTGAATATCAACATGATTTAAAAAATTTTAAACTGAAGTTAATCCAAAGAAATGTCTCACGCTGGATCCTTGGTGGACCTATTGATTATACCAAACGTCTGCAATACCTCGGTTGGATGGAACTTAAGTCCCGTAGGGAATATCTATCGATAATTCAATTATTTAAGTTTATTAATGGTTTCTCGAGAGTTAAGCTTGACAATTATTTATCTTTCTCTAGTGCTAGCACTAGATCAAGAAATAGTAGGAAGATTTGGAAACCTTTTTCAAGAACTAATATTTTAAAATTCTCTTTCTGGCATAGATATATAGATAAATGGAACTCGTTACCAGATTCTCTAATATGTGCCGATTCATTGTCAAAATTTAAAAAGGGCTTAAGAGAACACTTTTTAACTAGTACGTAATGAATATAAAATTGTTGCAATTGCATATCTAATTTGATAATTAGATAATTTTAATAACTCCATTATTAATAAATATATTTTAGTGATATCTTTTACATTTCTTCTTACATTATAATAGTCTTTATCTGACTTATATTTCCTTAATAGCTTTGTAGATATTTTTAGGGGGTCATCTTACATGAGGATTCAGTTCCTCCCTGATGGCAGTCTTTTTGTATTGATTATTACAAATAAAGTTGTTATAAATAAATAAATAAATAAATTTTGACTTGTAACAGATATTTCACACCATGTATTAACACAATCATACTGGAATAAAGAAAGAGATAGTATAGTTTAACTTACTTTGTTCAAAATTGCTGTGCCCATTGACTGTAAGAACTCATTTGTCTTTTCAGGTTCATGGCCAGCCACAATTTTTGAGGGACGCACAGATAGCTGGCCATTTATCATGCCTAAATGTTAAAAAAGGCTTGGTAAAGAAATGGCAAACTTTATAGGTATGGGAAAAAGAATGAATTACTTTAAGTTTTTAAAAACCATTTCCCTTGACCCTTAGTAAAAACTGTATCTTCAGTGTAAACAACTTGATACAAAATGGGAAAATGGGATAAATCACAATCTCTCAAACCTAATGGCAGTGTTCTCGCTAATTTTTAACTCAGCAGGTAAGGGACCATTCATAGCCAGTAAGGCAAAAAATATGCACCAGAGGCACACTTTCATGGGGAGGGGGGAGGGTGTAGTGTAGTAAGGGACATGGCACCACCCTTGCTGGGAAATTTAGGAGCTAAGTTCTCTGAAACATCATTCCCTCATTTTGAAACCTATTTTACACAAATTGGCCATTGTTAGCTAAAGACAACAATTTAAAATGTTTGATTCCAATAATTTTACTAAGTCTTCAATGTTCTCTTTCCAAAATGCGTGGCCCATAAAAAGAAAATCTGTGTATACTTTAGTACTTTTCCATATATATATTTATATGTATTTTCCTTGTGAGAATCCGGTCAGATCACAACTTCCTTTTTATAAAATCTACTTTTTTAATTTTAGTGACCCTTCAAGCGGTAAGAAGTGTTGCTTAAGGTGGTAAGTTTTACCGGTTACCCCCGGATAAGGAGAACACTGCTAAGAGGAATAATTCTTCACCTCTGAAAGGACCAATTGCAGGGCCATGCTGTAGTAGCCCCAATGGCCCCTGGTACCTTATTTTTGCTCTTACGCAACTACAGTCGAACCCCCATTTGCGGCCACCTCTCCACAAATAGCCACCTTTTTTGTCCTGGTGAGCAAATAATCCATTCATCGACTCTTGTTTAAACCTCTCTACAAGGGCCACCCACCTCTATAATGGTCACTGTATTCTGTCCCAAAGGTGGCTGTTGTGTTGAGGTACAACTATAGGAAATCTTTGCTTTTTCATAGAAATCATACGCTGGCCACCCTGGATTTCATGAGTTCGGAGCACCGGGCTCCCTTTAATTTTTTTTAGAGCATTCAAGAAATACAGTCAACTCTCTTTATGACGGACACTGTAGGGACCTCAAGTTAGTGTCCTCATTAACGAGAGTCCGTAATAACTGGAGTTTATTTCAGTCAAATGTCTGTAATATATTTAAGCCTGGGGTTTAGCTGCTGTCCGTATTATCAGGTGTTTGTTATAGCGAGGTGTCCCCAAGGCAAGAGTTGATTGTACTCCGAACTTCAATTCTATTGCATTAAAATAGGAAAATTATTAAAAGTTTATATTTTTATTTCAATTAAATTTTAATACAATCTGCATATTCTTTCCCTTTGTATATTGTTTTACCATTATAACCAAAAACATAAACATAAAACCAGTATTTTGACAAGATAAGAGTTAAGGCTAGAAAGCTTGTGGGGTGAGCAAAAAAATCTGTTTATGTGCTATCACAATGAATCAAATGTGAGAGATATTTATTAAGAGGAATGGATTTTTTTTTCTGGTAAAGAACAGCTGTGTAAATGAGACAAGTATCTTGCGAAAAATAATTTTACAAATAGGATCGCATCAAACTGTAAGATTTGACACCAAGGTGCCAGTCGCAAAAAGAATACGAGACTTCTATGGGGTCTTACATCATGCGAGAGACAACGACCCTCACAAGCCCCTAGCTTTAAAATTTCATCGTTTATTTCCAAAGGTTATATGCACGTACGTAAAAGCCAAAGATCGTATCAATATATAAATATTGTAGTCACAAAATTCTTTTATGGGACCACGACATGGTCGACCGATGTCGTGTTAGCTCAGCTCCTCGACACAAGAAACTCTATTTTTTCCTCCGTTATTGCCTGGAAGACACAACACCGCTAAACGTATGAAAGGGCTTTCTAAAACTTGGACAGTTATACTTAAAGGGTTTCGCAATGAACAGGTTTTCGAGGGAAAAAAACTTCTATCGATGTTGCTGCGTATCTTAGCAACACACAACAGGAGCCATTTTCGAGCCTTACCTACGACGTCTATCGCTTTCTGAAGAAATGCAATCTTAGCTTCTTTATCCTTCGAAGAAAAAAGGAGATAAACGATCTGTTAAGTCAATAAAACTCCACGATCGTGGTCAATCAGAGAAAAGGAGAAATACAGCCAACAAAAATAACGCTTCGTTTTAGCGGACGCCGAGTGAAGTGTTCTGTACCTTGACATTCGCCGAGTCCATCTCATCTGGAGTGTACAACCCTTTAAGAAATCCAGTGTTCCTGATAACCTAAAATTTCGTTCAAAACAGAAAAGCATAAGAAAAGTGTTCACTCTATGAATAAAGCATGAAAATTGCAAGTAACAGAGTACCTCGGTAATTATGTCATGAAGAAATCGGAATGGAGGCTTGCTCAGCAATTTATCTGTTAGAGGAGGTTTCTTTATGACCTTCCCTAGCGTGTCTTGGGTTTTCTTTGCCACTTTCTGATCCATGGATGTCAAAATTTTTCTGTTATACTGAAAAAGTCTAAGAAAAACAGCTAAACCAAAGCGAAATGCTAAAGTGCTTTCCAATGATTCGCGGCCATCATTACTGTATAATGAAGAATGTAACAGAGACCATAATGCAATTCGGCCTCACCTGCACTATTTCGGGGCTACTTTAGTTTTTTCCTTCTTACTTGTAAAAAAACATGGTCTTGAATATCAAAGATAGAAAAGAATTGCTTTCATATGGGAGAAAATTAAATTGAGGTGTGTTAAACTTATATACTAGTAATAAAACATAAATTGAGAGAATAAAACTTGAAATTTGTTTTTGAGCTATCTTTGCATAACGTTTTCTTGAGGTTAAAAAGCATGAATTTGGTTTTTAAAAGCATTTTGATAATATTTTCTTTATTCCCTCTGTAAGCCTAATCCTCAATTTTCCATTTCGAGAAAATTCCCGACCCTCCCCACGCACAGTTTTCATCCCAGCCTCGCTTTCGGAAAGGCACTGTGTAACCTCGCTTATGGTTCCTTCGAACCGATAAAGTGTGGAATGAAAATGGCGGCGGATTTTTTGACGTGAAATTTCTCAAATTTTGCTGCATTTTGCAAGGATCACGTACCCTAGAGTCACCATTTAGACCAATTTCAAATGCCATTACTTTAGCAAGCAAAACTGTGTCGTCCATTAAGAACTAAAGCATGGACTTTTCAGAAATCCACGAAGGTAAGTGTCTTCGTTTATGACAAAGCGAGCCCGACCTGATTAAGTCTAATCTACATGTACCTCGTGGTTAGAGTGAGCAGCAATATTTCATCTTTTAAAGTACTCAAAATATCAATAAGTAACTGAAGCATATTTAGACATCCCACTGATCGTATTTTATGGTATGAATGAAATACTCCTTTCACCAAGAAAAAATGCGCGCGTTATTGTCAGTTTCAGAACGACATTGAGTCATATCCGCGTGCATCAATCATGAGAATTGTCAATCAATTGTCAACATTCGATTCTCGTCCACGGATTCAGACATTCAAAAGAGTGAAAATTGATCTTTTTTTATCGTGAGCAGCACTGGTATAAAAGCTTAAAGCTTTTGAGGTCTCCTAGCTAAGGAAATGGCCCCGGTCTAACCCTTCAATCATTAAGGTTTTGGTGTTGATTGCAGCCTACACATTTGCAGGACAGTGCCTTCAATTAAAACTTTGGTGGAACTGCAGAAAAATGGCTTTTGACATCATGGTGTATTGAAAACTGAGTGTCAATGCACAAAAGATTTTCGGTGGTAATAAGCAGAGATAGTTGTAGGGTAAAATCTGGGAGATATACAACAATGCATTTAAAAGGCAATTTTCATAAATTTAGAGGTCAGTAAAAAAAAAATGAAAACTGCACATTTAGCCCTATTTTATTTTGTTTTTCCTTTTAGTCATTTATTCTTCCCCCTTTCATGATCCAAACCAAAAAATGTATGAAAAGACATTGTCAGTAGACAAACTCAAAGTTTTCTCTGACCTTCTCATATATGTCTCTTTCTTGATTATTTTGCTTTATTTATTTTTAACAGATGAACTTGGAAGTCTTGGAGTTGACTTTGGTAATAATAATTATCTTTAATGAGGTTAAATGTACTTATTTAACTTAGTTAACGGCGAGGAGCTAGCTTCTCAGTAGTTGGCTTGGATGTGCAACTCAAGTGTTACTTTATGTGCCTCCATGCGCAACTCAGGTGTTACTTTATGTTTATTCATTATGGTGGAGAAGTTTGGTTAAAGAACAATTTGGGATGTGTGTTTAAAGTCATCATCTCAACCATTAAGTTTCTCACCTAATATATCCTAAACCAATGTGGGACTGTGATACTTGACAACTGGTTATAAAATCATCACTTTTTAACTTGTTTTCGATGAATAGGATGAGGAGATTTTCCAAAGAAATGACCAAACAAACCAAATTAAACTAACATTTACGTCTTTTTTCCCCCATCATTCACTCTAATTAACCTCTCGGGAAGCGCGGGCTTTCTTTGGTGGGTTCAAAAGGTCACGTCTGTAGGTTGTATTTGGTTGATTTCGATCCATGTTGATTATTTCGACTATGATAGACAATTAACTTTCTTGGTTTGTATTGTTATTTTCCTGTAATCTGATCGGTCAACTTTGTTTAGGTGGCCCCGGTTTTAGTAGTTGCACTGTAATGGTTTAAATCTTTACACTATGTATTCAACTCTTTCATTTGTCTCTATTATTCAGAACATGGAATGCGGGGTCCAAGACCACCCTTCAGACATCATGGACCACACCCAATTCCTCCATTTGGTCCTGGAGGACCACACGGGCCCCGTATGCCACCGGGTGGTCCCATGCCAAGACCACCAGGTCCTATGATGATGGGTCCCCCTGGACCACACCCTCGTGGACCCCATGGGCCCATGATGCGAGGTCCTATGCCTGGCCCTCCTGGTCCTCCAGGTCCCATGGGTATGCCGCTAGGTCACATGCGACCAAGGATGCCTCCAGTAGATCATGATGGGCCACATATGTGGGGTGATAGGGGCAGAGGGAGGAGACCTGGAAAACAACAGATGCAACGGCAAACAAGTAGAGAAAGTCCGAAAGTGAAGAAAAGCCCAGCCATTAACAATAAACCAAAGTAAGTAAACTTGCCTTTGACATCAGTCCTTGTAAAAGGAAAAGGTGCACATGAGCTTGTGAATTTCCTTCGCTAAGGAAACAACGTCATTGGCAAGGCTTGAAAACCTTCATACCCGCAGTCTGAGGTGTTAACCGCTTGGCCATGCATGCCTCCTTTTGTAATGTAAAAAGATATATGTAAAAAATCCTGAAATTTTGTGATGGATGGTAGTAATTCAATGTTGAGAATTGAAGGTTTCAGTTGGTGAAACATCAACAAAGTCATCACTGATAATTAGGAGCTCGTTCAGCACATTACGCCTTAACTTAAGCTCAGTGGTAATATAACATATGAGTGCTTAAAAGTTATACAGCCGGTAGTTTCAAGGGAACATAAGACCTTACTTGCGCAAAGGTTTAGTAATTTTGAGCTCTATAAGCCCAGCATATTATGAAGCAGAATTTAGTGGGGTTAAAACATCTTTAAACCTTGGATTCAGGATCAATGCATGTTTTGAGGAACCTATCTTTTGACTTATTTTTAATTTTGTGTCTTAGAAAAGAAGATTCTAAAACAGTAGAAGACTCTGGGCCAACACCTAAAAAGGTAGGCAATTTTCTAAGGCCATTCAGAAGCTACATTGTACAAATGAACAGGAAGTTTATCCACCCAATGTTGTAGCTGTGAGAACACTCGCCTCCCATATATATGTGCAGCGTAAATATCAATAGCTCTGTTGAAGCTTTTGTTCATCCTGCCCATGTAGATTTGAGTACTGAAAAAAAGTGCTATGTCACAAAATTCATTGAGAATCAAACAGTTGGAATTGGCACTGACGTGTTTTTGATGCCCAAAATGTTTGATTTAATACTTGGGAGAATATTTCTTTGCCATGAAGCTGTGATTTTGTAATTTACCAATAATTTTGTCACTAACATTAAGTTCCGTCGTGAATAAGGAGGTGTAAATAGCAATACATGTATAAGCAAAATGAACAGCCATGACACAGCCCCTTAAAAAATAAAATACATATAACACCGTGGTATCAGATACTTGTAGTACTTTGGCCTAATATGCTTAAGCTTTTTTGTGGTGTCTCCATTATGAAACAAATAGTTGGTATATCATAATAAATAATAAAATATTTGTAAAGCGCTTTACAATGCTATAAAAATGTGTATAAAAAATAAAATCCTAGACTAATTTACATATAATTTTTACATTGTAGCAGAAACACAAACAAAAAAAAAATGATAAAAAATAAAATCATAAGATAGTTCATAAACTTGCTTAAAAAGATAGGTCTTCAGCTTAGAATTAAATTTACTTACATTGTCGATCAATCTAATATCAGTAGGCAAAGAATTCCAGAGGAGAGGGGCAACGACTGATAGGGCCCTGAGACTGTATGTCTTTAGGCTATAGGGTTCAATGACAAATTGCCATTTGTCAGAAGATGAGTAAAGGCAGCTTGCAGTTTCATAAACATGCAATAGTTCTCCTTAAAACATATAAGATTAATCATATATGTATATCTATCAATAATTGATAGATTATTACATCTCTACATATTTCAGGCTAGTGGCGTCAGCTGCTTGTAGTACTTTGAGCTAACTATGCTGAAGCTATTTTGTGGTGTCTTCATAATGAAATAAATTGCTATATCTATTGCATTTGAACATATTATTTCAGGCCAGGAAGTCAGAAGATGATTTGGAGGAGCTTGATGAGGAGAAATTGTTGAAGAGTGATGACGAAGGGGATGGGTTAGTTATCATTTTCTCAACTTTTTCTTCAGAGTTTTGTCAGTTGATGCTCTTGTAATCAGTAATTTATTTTCCAGTGGAACAATCATAGATCTTCATCGGATCTATCTGCTTTTTCTGAAATTTTTAATATGTATATGCATATACTTGGGCCACCGTGATGTCTATTTTATGAAAATCAGACTTGGTTAAAATTCTAGCATTTACATTTTATGACCATTGGTAGCTGCCATGCTTGAACCCAAACTACTAAAACATTTTGGGTGATAATTAATGGTACTTGCTCTAAGTGGAGGGCAATCTAGTTTAAAATCACGCTAAGCTCACAGGATTTTTGCAGGGCAAATAATGTTGACCTGGATGCTGTAAGCATACATGGTGATGATGAGTTAGACGACATTGACAAAGAGATCAAGGGGCTTTCCGAAGGAGCCGCTGAGAGCAGCAAGAAAACTCCTCAGAAAGGTACCTTTTTAAAGATGTTTTGCTGAGCGATTTTGGAGACATACAGTACCACTCAGAAGTTACCACTCTATTCTCAATCCATGCTTGAATCAAGAATTGTGTAAAAATTTGAAATTTAATTCTTGATTGTTGCATCTTGATTCTCGATACCCAATTCACCAAACCAGAACAATCTCTGTGAAGCTTTGTTGATACTTATTTCAGCTTGATACAACAACCTTTGTTCAAGTTTTGAGTAATATTTATTGTCTGTTTTCTCAATGTTAACAAGTTGAAATGGTTTTTGAAGCAAGCTGGCCACCCAGACAACACCATCCCCAACTTTTCATGTTTATTCAAAGTTACTTACGATGTTGCGTAGGGATACAATTTTATTAATTGTCTGCTGTGAACTAAAGTGATGGATTAATATTAATCATTATTAATAATTATTCAAAGGTGCGGAGGATAGTAAAAAGGAGACAACTCCGGTTGCTATGGTGAAAAAGGACATAAAGAATGACAGTGACAGTGAAGATGAAGGGAAGAAGACAAGGCAGCGCTTCAAGTCTGAGAGACCGAAAGAGCAACACAAAATTGAAAAACATGAACCAAGTATGTTGATTAGGACCAGTGTACTCGAAGCTCTGAGAAGGGCTGTGAATAAGATCTTAAGGCCAGGGATTTCCCCTGATTACTATGAGCATCACCTTGGCTACTTTCATTAAAACCAAAAGAACTTCCTAGCTGTTCAACCTCCTGGCTACTAATTGCATATACCCAGCAACTTGAAATCTTAGCAACAGTCCTGCACAATCGAATGACAATGTGAAGTTTATGAGCCTTCTGGGATGGTTCTTATAGGTGTCCACTTGCAGGAGTTTAGAAATCAGAAAAAATTCAATGGCAGAACTTTAAATCGCTGTTTGTTATAGCATGGCCGCTCATTAGGTTGCATCAATTTGGAAATGATAAGAGTTCAAATGGGGCTTTTCTTTTTCGCTATTTGTGAGTCCCCTTAGCAGTATTCAGTGAGAGAGTCTTCACTCATGACTGTGATTACTTTTTATGAACTGCTATGTCTCGCTTCAGGATCTTACCATCTACTTTGTACTCTCCTATCAAGAGACACCATTAACATTTTATATTGTGCTGAAGAGTGTTGTGAAATGTACTACCTTGCAATAGAAAATTAATAACAATAAAAACAGCAATAACAACATTTAATCAACATTTGTTTTCTTTTCTAGGGAGAGACTTCAGAAAACAAGATGACAGAAACTGGTTCAGAAGAGATCAAGGACGGGGGCGTGGACGAGGGGGACCAATGATGTACGAAATTCATAACTCTTTTTTTTATTTCACCTTCTATGGGTGAAGTCTACAGTTTACTAAAGGATCTACAATGTACTTTGTAAATTACAGTTATTGACAGCACCCAACAGTCAGTGTTGTTTCTTTTTTCCTGACAAAATCACAGCTTCTGTTAATGATTGTACTAAAACCATGCAACCATTATTTTTACTGTATTTGCAATGCAACATTTCTAGGTGTGCATACAAACATGATGTTCTCCACCCTGTTATCTGTTGTTCCATTGCTATTGTGTCAACACTGTGTGTAGTGTAGTGGCATTGATAGAAATCAAATGTTTAGCTGAGGATTTTGTTTTTCTTTTAGGGGACCACCACCGCCTGGGATGATTCGGCCAGGCATGCATCCGCCCTTCCCCCCAAGGGGACCTGAACCCTTCATGCATGGACCCAGACCAGGAATGGGACCAGGGCCAGAACATGATCCTGGATTTGGTCCCAGACCTCGTTTTCCAATGGGGCCGAATGGTCCATTTCCTGGTCACATGCCTGGACCCCCTGATGGTCATATGCCAGGACCACCAAGTAAGTTTGCAGAAGATAAAGATTTGTATATCACAATCTGCTCTTTTTATTTGAAAGTTTTGTGCATCATCTTAGCCTGCAGTGCAGCTGTATTTTCAGGCAAGCAAGCTGTAAATATTTCCTCTGTTTTTGAAAGCAAAGGAAGATTGGGTAGTGTTAAGGTGCTGGTAGTAGGGGAGGGCAAGGGTTGAAAGCGGAGAAGTGAAATGGGAGGAAGAGTTTTAATGCTGATCTCCATCCCCCCCAAGCCCCCCGCCCTGATCCCTTCCCCCCATCCCTTTCCCACCCCCTGTGACTGGTGCATCCCAATCCAAGCCAGTTCTAGTGCTTGTTTGTCTTCCAGAAATGCATGCACTGCAGCCTAACATCACTCAAGACCTTGTTGAGGATCATTGGTCCTTAAGATATTATTATCTTTTCACTGAGATTAAATTCTAATCAAAACTTGCCTCTAATATTTATTGTTTGTTTTCAGGGCCACCACAGGGAAAGAACATCCATATCAACCCTCATTTTAGACCTCCACCTGGTGGAAGAGGAATGCCAGAAGGTAGTTTATGTCTTGATCACATGGCTTTAAGTTCTAACAGCACTTGATGGCTCTTAGTCACTTACTTCTGCTCTTAGGCAAAAAGAAAATCTTATATTATGAGTACAGATTATCACAGTTAGTTAGTGCAAGGCCTTCTGGGAGGTTGGATTCCCAGGTTTGGCCTCAAATCCCTGTTTTGACTTCTTTCCTTACCATTAAGCTTTAATTCCTTTAAATACCTGTAAAAATGAGCAGTGATGGAGAGATGGGGGTGTGAAATGAGGGCACCATCTGCCTCAGGTGTGTCTGTATAATGAGTACTGTTATGACTTACATGTACTGTACCAAGTGTAGGTAGATATCCAAATACTCTCTCAGAATGATTTACAGAGATTTCAATTACTTTTCAAGAAGATTTCAGAGTGATCTGAAGTGAAAGTTGAGACGGAGTAGACTATGGTAGTTGTAGTAGCGTGATTAAATTGTCTATTTAGGGGACCATTACAATGCTTCTCAAATGAGACTGTCTAAAATGAAAATTAATACTTAGTTGTGTAAAAACATTTGGCAGTTTGCTGTGTGGTTCTGCCAATATTGTATAGTGCATCATGTTTCCAGATAACTTATTGTGTTTTTCTTTTCCATAACAGGCCCAGGTCCTATGCGAGGACCTCACATGGCTCCTCCAAGACCCGATATGCCAGGGTCCCGTATGCCTGCACCCCATCCAGGTCCAGTGCGTCCAGAAGGTGCTTTCCCACCAGGCCCTGGAGGAGGAGACTTTGGTCCTAGAGGACCACCTCCTGGAGGTCCCAGAGGACCCCTACCAGAACAAGGACCCAGACCTGGAATGACTCCTGAACATGGCCCACGCCCTATGGGCCCAGGGGGACTTGGACACCTCCCAGGTCCTGGACAAGGCCATGGACAAGGACCTAGCCCAAGACCTGGCCCTGGGCACTTTCCTGAAGGTGACATGAGACCACCCCATGGAATGGGCCCTGGTGTTCAACTGCCACCAAGGGTGAGAATTATTATTTCTTTACCTCTGTAAACTACACTACCAAGACTTCTCAAAATTATAGTGGGGGGAAAAACGCAAATGTAATTTTCTGAGGTACCGAAAACTGCTTAGTGCTGAATGGAATGTCTCTGATTGTGAATTTTAGGGTATGCCTCCAGGAGCACCAAATGCAATGCCACCACATGGCCCCGCTGGCCCCATGCCAGGGCGTGGTATGGTACAAGGAGGACTTGGACCTCATGTCAGTGGTCCAGGAGGACCTGGTCCCTTACCAGGTCAACAGCATCAGGGCATGGCACCAAGAGGACCCTCAGCAGCCATGTCATCTTCAGGTGTACCCCCTGGAGGCCCTATGCACCCAGGAGCCATGCAGCAAGGAATGCGTCCTCAAGGGATGAATGCTGATGTCCCCATGTCAGAACCTGAAAGGATCGTAATTGGTCATCGTGTTACAGTTCCCAACATGGAAGTAGCCAATGCAGCGATGCGACCACCGGGATTCAATGCCATGGGAGCAGCAGCTGCTGCTGCAGCTGCCGCCCAGGGAGCTAATCTAGCAGCCGCTGCTGCTGCGGCTGCAAGGCAGCAACAGTTTCCATATGGACAGCAGTATCCTTATGATGCGTATTCAGCCATGTATGGTGCAGAATGGCAGCTGATGCAGCAGCAAAGAGATGCTGCTTATGCTGCTGCTGCCGCTTATGGTTTGGACAAACATGCTAAGGTAAGCAGACTAAAGAGCGCTCTCCAAAAGTCAGACTGGTCATATTGAAAATGAAATACGGTTGAACCTTCCATAAGCTTCCACCCAAAATGGTAAGGGTTAGTGTTCACTTCCGAGAGATGATGATGAGAATTGGTCCTCAGGGGGTTGGTTCTTTCCAAGAGTAGATCCTGAGACATCTACTTTAGTAAGAAAATTAATTGCACGCAATTTCTAAGTTACAAGATGTGTAATTCCATGTAACTTCTCATTTAAGGTTATTTTAAGATATTCTGAGTAGAGTAATACACTCAGTGAATGTAGTGAACATACAAGAGGGTAAAAACAGTGGAAAATTATAAATCCATCAGCCCAATAGTTACAGTCACTTTAAGGCGCAATACTGACCAACATCAATTTTCTCCTGACAATATCCAATATGTTGCCAAGAGAAATGGGTATGAGAACTAATGAAATGATCACTAAAGAGAAAATGCTTTGATCTGTTAACCAACTCTCTCAACCAATTCTTTAAGAAAATGTATGAAGATCAGTATGGAGAGTATATATAACAATTATTCACGGAAGTGGACTTGGCTAGTGGTGGTTATATTTACCGAGATGCAAAGCTTATTTGGGGGTTTGACAATTCTGAGGCTGTTAAAACAGATATCACACAGGAATGAATTGTGAGTGCAGTTTCGAGGAGGGGGGGAGGCGGGGTGGGTTACACAGAGTTGAGAGTCACACATCCTTAAGTGAACCAGTAGATTATACTCTAAATTTTTATTTTCCTCTCATTAGAGCCACAAGTCAAAGAAGCATCGTAGACGATACAGTGCAGATAGCGCAGACAGTGACTTCAGCAGTGCTTCAAGATCGCCTTCAAGATCTGTTTCTCGCTCATACTCCAGATCACCGGCAAGGTCTTGGTCGCGTTCGCGTTCATTGTCATTGTCAAGATCTCGATCAAGGTGCATTGTCATTGCGTTATTTCTAGAATCAAATTTAGGGCGGTGGTAACCTGATACCAATCCAAGATGGCCATGATTTCAAGTCCGCCAAGGGCCAAAAATTTAGGCAACTTTAACTTGGATGTCCGTTTATCCAACCATATTGAGAAATCTTGGGTTGTGATTCTACGGCTAACATGACAGTGGCCAACTCGAAAGCTGTCGCTCCTTTGGCCACAGTGCAATTATCTCCATAGATTTTCTTTGTCTTTTACGTATCATTATGTAAATGCTCGTAAATTTGTTTTAAAACATTGTTAATATTAATGTCCTGTAAACGGTTTTAAAGTCAAACTCATCAACATGTGGCTGTTTTTCCATTTCATCATCTCACACCAGTGTAATGTGTTGATTTTATTTCTGCTATCTTATTCAGTAAATTAAAGAGTTAAACAGTCTTGCTGGAAACGCTTAAATCTGCCTTTTGCGTTTGTAAACTTGGTGGATCACTTGTGAAAAGATTCTTGTTTTGCTGTTTTTTTATTCTGATCTTTTGTTGTTTGTATAACCAACAGATTTTTAAATAGCCAAGCTAACCCAAGACTCGGCGAGATGCAAAAGAGTTTCGTTTATCGAGTTCATTGTTGTATTTATTTAGGTCATCATCTAGGTCAAGATCATTTTCAAGGTCAGTCTCGCCACGAACTCCTCAGCAGCGGTCACCTGTACGCGTAGCAAAACCACCGCCACGATCAAGACGAAATGTGGACAGTCGAAGAGAACGAGAAAGGGAAAAACCAGACAGGAGTCGGGAGAGAGAAAGGGACAGACCAAGGTTTGTAAAGTTCCTTGTGCTTGGTTAACTCTTTAAACATTAAGACTGTCTAAAACCAGAATTTAAGGAAAATCGTCATATCTATTTTTAGTAAATTAGAAAGAACCAGTGAAATTGTGTGAAAGTACTGCGAAATAGTTTCTGTACAGTGTTTCGTGTGCAGACACGAGATTTTATTTCTGCCCATGGTTTTCACAACCTGGAAGAGCTTTTCAAATTGTGACCGTCAGCGAAAGGGTAGAGTTAAATATGGGGAATCTGTTTCTTACAATAACCTTACTTTTCGACGATCCTATTGAAACAAGCTTAAGTTTGAGGCTTATCAAAGATACATACAGTCAAAGATCGCTTAAGTGTAGCAATGACATAATGTTTCCACAGAGAACGACCTGATAGAGGCAGTGACACATACAGAGGCCGCGAGAGAAATGACAGAGAAAAACCAAGGGAGAGAGAGAGGGAGCGAGATCCACGAGAACAACACGATTCTCGAGATGCGCGTCACGACAGGTCACGTGACAGAGATCGGGATAGAGACAGAGGGGATCGCGACAAAGGAAAAGAGCGAGATCGAACAAGGGACAAAGATAAGTCCAAGGACAGCCATCGAAGAAGTCGAAGCAGGGATAGGTCATCTCACCGACGGGAGAGCAGGGAAACTAGGCATTCTGAAAGTAATTCGTCCAAGGTAAGGTTACTTTTTTCAATGTCTCAGAGACTACTGAATAGTTTTCCTTTTGAAAACATTACAAGTGTGCGCGAATTGTTATAATTGTAACTGTAAAGTATAGTACTACGAATAAATATAAATATACGTATATCACCAAGGTACCTCTGGTTTAACGATATGCTATATTTAGTACAAAAGGTCTTTTGAATCTTTAAATGTAAGCGGTTGTATACTAACTTTAGTTCCGTAGAGTCAATTTAATTGTAAGATAAATTAACCTTGTGACATAACCATGCCGATTAAACAAAATATATCAAAAACTTCAGAGCCACGTGACGTGGCATTTACCGAGTCGGATATCTGAATAGAATGCGAAAAAAGAACCAATCTGAAGCACAGTGCCTGGGAAGAAATTTAGTGTTTATTTAACAGACGCGCTGAATGCTGAACACTGCACCTTTTTTACATTAGGAAACACAACGGCGTGTGAACACTTCTTCATAAGATAAATTAACCTTATGACATAACTATGGAAACGTCAAAAACTTCAGAGAGTGACCGTGGCATCTACCGAGTCGGAGATCACGATAAAAGAACCAATTTGCTTCTGTTTCTGTTTGTGGAAACAACACGAAAAATGTACCGCAAGAGATTGCTTTTTTCACGCTGTTTATAACCACGACAATTGTACATTCTTCTTTTAACAGCGTATTGTGGTTGGGCCCTCTGAGAGCAAGACTAAATCGTCGGGCGCCACGCCTGACTCAAAAGCGAACCGTGTTGTTGTGACAAAAGCATCAAGTGGCGGGAAACCTTCAAACCGTGTTGTGATTGGCTCATTACCTGAGAATATCACACCAAGCCGGCTAAAGGAGCTGCTGCAAGGCATTGGACCAATTCAGGTATCAGAAGAAACTCTATAATTCACCCTTTCAACAGGTCCCAAAATAAGAATTCCAGAAAAAAGTTCACAAATTCTATTTTGTAAAATACTAAAACGAACTGGTGCTATGTGAAGGAACTTGTGAAGAGCCGAGGTCTCTTTTCAGTGGTCAAACCAAAGAATTTCGTCTACAGACTCGAAAGTTAAAACCAAAATAGTAAATAAATAGTATCATGTTGAAGAAGGTCCATGTGAAATCATGGTCACAGCATGGATAGTATTTCATCCACAGACTCAAAAGTTATAACTACATACTAGATGAAAAGCACCATGTGAAAGTACTGCTGAAGAAGTTTCAAAAGTAGGTTGAGTTTGATCGTCCGGGTGAACGTAGTCCTGAATAGGAATGTTGTTGTTGACAGTGACTGACGTTTCGACAACCTGTGCGGTAGTCATCTTCAGAGTCACTGTCAACATCAACAGTCCTATTCAGGACTACGTTCACCCGGACGATCAAACTCAACCTACTTTAGAAATGACTCCTGGGTTCAAACCTTTCATTGAAGAAGTTTCATTTGAATGGTAACACCATAGGATTGCAGGGTGTACTAATTGTCACAAGCCTAGTTCTCGTGAGTAAAGAAGATAAAATAACTTAGTTTGTTTTGTGAGTGACTTTTGTGTGTTTACATTCCCAGCAACTTAAGATGTCCACTACAAAACACAAGGCTTTGGTGACATTTGAAAAGAATGAACATGCATTGGCTTGTCGCCGCAAATTTCACAGGTAACCTGACACTTAATATTGTTCCAAGTTTCTTTGTTTTGTTTTAAACAAGAATTCCCCCTCTATCGATGCTTCAATCTACCTCTTCTTGTACTTCTTTTCAGAACCGTAGTGGACGACAGCCAAGTCACAGTTGACTTTCTCTGATAATTTTTCTTTTTTGCCAAGAAACTTTTCCGTGATTTTGACTTTTTTTGTGTGTGCGATGTCCTGTTGTTGTGATGTGTATGTCGTTGTTTTGAACATAAAACCTGGCTTTGGGACCAAATTATTAGAAGAGGAAACTGGTCAACTATCTTTAAAAAAGCCTTTGTAAATAAATCACTTTTGGAAAGAAGCCTTTGTGTAGATAAGTACATCTGATAGAAGTCTAACTTCTGCTTTTCTGTTAGTTAACTTAAATGTGGACTGATTCATGTTGATAGAACTTTTCTCGACAGCGTTTTAATATCGTTTTTAATGTGCTTGAATATGTTTATCCACACAAGAAAAGTATTATTATATTAGTTTGTCGACTTTTTATAGATATTTTCCCAAAACTACGATTTCCTCCTATCGTTATTCACGTTTTTTTTTTCTGTTAATAAGCTTAATCGTAAATCCCGAACAATTTTGTTCGCATTTTAAGGGTAAAAACGGTCGATTTATCGCCATACTGGCTCTATATCAAAGCAAACATTTAGTGGGTTGATTGGCATGATATAAGAGAATAATTAACTAACAAAAAATTCTTTATGTAATGAAATTTTTATCATATTTTTCTCTTTTGCTCCAATTGGCTGGGGATGGGGTTTAGATCAATAAGGTTAGATGTCCTTTGGTACCGTTCTTCTCTGTTAAGGTATAATATAGCCATTTGATCTATTCAAGTCCTTTTACTTCTAGAGTCAATAATGGAATTATCTAACGTGGTTTTAACTAAGAGATGATAATAATGAGACAGGGTCTGGCTCTTGAGATATGTGAATTTCATCAAGTTATTTTTAAACCAATTAAACCCTTGAAATTAACTGGAAGTCGGTTTCCGGAGAGGTCCGCAAACTTTTATTCAGTGTTGTCATGAGAGAATTCATTTAAACTGTCGCCATTACAATATTGGGGACCTTAAGATCCGACGACGGCGACGGCAATGAGAACGTCACAAAAGCAATAGGTTTAATAATCAAAACAACAATTTTGTACGTGCATTGCCCTTTTTTGTAGATTTCTTTGCCGTCACTGCACGACTACGACGTGAAAATGCCTAATTTCACGTTGTACAGAGGAAAGTACACAAGCGACGACGAAATTTCCTCCCTCTTTCTGAACTTGGATATGGTTCTTAGGAATTCAACTTTGGAAGGGTTCGCTATGAAGACTGAAAGGACGCTAATTCACTTTTTCAGCGACGTTTTCTCTGCCGTCTTCGTCGTCGGATCTTAAGGTCCCTATCCCGCATTGTTTGCTTTGAGGCAGTCGCGCGTAGACTTGATGAGCGGACGTCTTAGGGATTATACTTCCGTTCACGTGCAACCTCTAGAAATAGCTTTTAGTAAAATTCACATATCTCGGCCAACGCCCTAAGATTTTCTCTCTGTCATATAATTCTCTCTTGTTTTAACGTATGAGTGTGGGTGAAATCAGGCAATGTTACCATTCAAATGAAAGCTACCGAGCAATACTTTGCTGCGGTACTGTCATTATACAAACAGTGATTCTTAACTTTGGATCTCGAGGATATCATTCAACTGAAACGTCCTAATAATTACTTTGATCTGGTCCACTCTGGGATTAAAAGGTCAAAATACGCGTAGGTTGAATTTCACTAATGTGTCTCTCAAATATTAGAGAAGCAGGAATGAGAAGTGATAAGTCTGTGCTATCTATCTCTCTGAAACATCAGAGATCAAGTCCGTTTTCATCGTAGCCGTCCATAACTGAAAATATCTGAAAGGAAACATAGAGCATTAGTTATCAATTCGAGTCTGAAAAAAGGTGTTTCCAAATTGTTACTAAAACACGAGGGGTCATGTTTGCAGAGACATATCCCAGGGATATGTTAGAGGACTTCTCCCAGGGATATATTATTAGATGCATTTGCTAGGGATATCCTAGGGGTGTGAAGCCATGAAGCCTCGTGTGTACAGTTTTGCAACACATCCCTGCAACGGACCCAGTTGTTAAGCCTATCGGGGACTTGTTTCAAATCAGTCTTTGTGTACTCTACGTGATTTTGTTACTGCTTCGCGTCGATCAGTACCACGTGACCCTCGTGTTTCCCTTTAATTTCTGGGGTTTGCATCGTTGTGTAGTGGATACGAAAACGTTTTATTAGTTATCTCTTACGCAGTCAGCAAACAAATTCTTTGATTCCAAGGCTCTCCTCTCCAAGGTATATGGAAAAATTTTTCTGTTACGCCATCTGACACATCGCTGATGAAGTTCGACCGATTCGGACGAAACATTCGTTTTGGAATTTCCTATACTGAAAATTTTTCGATGACGTTACTTTCTGTCTTAGTTCTTGGTGACTTAGTATAAAAGGTTAAATTGTTTTACAAAGTGCCAGGTTTTATGTTGCGTGTTACTCTGTTATGTTCTGTGTTTGTGGTTTACTTAAGGCGATGATTATTGAGAAACGCATTTCTATAAAGAAGAACTTCCAAGTTACGTACAACCATGCAAGAACTTGTACTGAAAAAAGACCATCTCTAAGGTGACTGTAATACAAGCCACTTTCCTCAAATGTTGGACAGCTCAATTTCATGGTTTCAGAGAAGTGGACATTACGAAAGCTTGGAGCTGGATCTCTTTCACTTAAACTGCAAGACACCTTGGATCATGTGTAAAGAAACAGGTTTTTACACGTATCTGTTAAACATTAATAGTTACTTTGCTATCTTTCCATCATCTGTCAAGGCTGCTTTGTATTTAATATTTTGTAGCAAAGGAGAAGGATTTAATTAAACACAAAAAAAGAAGGTTTATTACCTACAGATGCAGTGTTTATCTAGTTAATATGACTGTTCTTAAAGTTAAGCAAGTAAGGGTTATTTGTTAAAACAAAACCTTCTTAATTCCCTTAAGGTCAACATGGTTTAATATTATAGAGTTAATTATGAGATAAGCTAAGCTTAATGTTCTATGTCACCTTAGAATAATATATGATAGATTACAAGTAATTGCACTGATCTTATCACTAGATTGCACAACTAGTGTTTATTATAGCCTGTACTTGATTGTTTTGGTAAATCTAATCAGAAATCTGCATTCATCAGAGGGCACTTTTTAGCCATCTTGGGCAGTCTGCCCTTTTTTAGTGATCTATGTCCTTTTTGTGAATGCGTCATCAACGGTAAACGTGGGCGAGATATACTGCATTAGCAGGGTACTTCTATTGTGTGTACAGCGTGAATACTTATTTTTTTAAAGTTATTATGAAAATATTAACCTTTGCAAAAGATCACAACTTTTAAACAAAATATTTGACTTATATAATAGCTTTGTTTATTATCAGCTAAAACAATTCTATCATTACACAAGTACAAGTATATATAATTTACTATTAACTTGTTTCCTTTCTTCAACCAGCAATTATTTAAAGTATTTCAGTGTAATCCATGGTTACTTTCCAGCTATTAATACTCTCATTCGTGTACATTTTTTGCTTCAAATCTGTTTTGCAGCCTTGACAGTATCCTAGAAAACAAACGTTGCATTTTGCCCTTTTAATTAACTACTATGAATGCGCTAAGCAAAATGATGACAATGTATTTTGTTTTCTAGGACACATTTTATTGATTTGTGTGTGTACATGTACAGAAATGTTTTTTTTTTTAGAATCCCAACACAACATAATCTCTGTTTAATATTTGAATTAATATTTTAAAAAAATTTTGCAAATAATGTTAGTGCTTAATTCTCTAGTTTTATTTGGTTTACGGCTAAGTTATATTTTTTGGTAAACTATAAATGTTTGTTTCAGTCTTTAACTGTAAGCGCACGAATCATTTTAGAAATTACAGTTGCACGACTGCCTTACCTTTGAAACAAAATTGATATTTTATTGGTGTACCTTGTTATCCTAAATAGAAGGGCAATTTTAACGTCGTATTTGTTATTTTCTAAGCTTGGTGTAAGTAGTAAGTAAGTAATTTTATCGGTAAAGCAGTCTAACATACTCGCTTTTTAAACTTACGTATCCATTCGTAATCATACGTTTATTTTATCTTTTATCTATTTGATATATAAACAATTTTTTTTTTCAAAATAACTATCTATTCGGAAATGGCATGCTATTATTGAAAAACCTGTTCTGCCTTAGAATGGGTTGTACATAGCGTCTAGTGAGCGTTAGCTTAGTCTCATGTACCTGAAAGGTTGGCAGGTCGACTGTCGATTGAGTGTTGCACTGTTGCAACGTACAAGATAAAATGGGTTGGTTTTTTTAAGGAGTCTAGACATTAGACACTAAATCAATTTCCTGTTCCGTTATTATTGTTACAGATCTATTTTTGTGTGTATACGGTCTTTTTGTTGACCATATTTTATACTGACAAGCTTTGCGTACGAAAGTGAATATGTGAAATTTCATTTATTACTGCTTAAATTCAGGTTGGGAACACAATGTACATTATTAGATAAGTATGTCTCATATACAAATAATTTTCATATATAAGTGATATCTAAAAGTACCTCATATTGAAGATTCTGACATGAATATTGGCAAGGGTATAAGTTAGATGCTTTCTCTTGTTATTTAGCCACGATAAGGAAAAAATACGTTTAAACGAACAACTGTTTTTTTACGAGGTCAAAAAAAATATCAAAACCAAAAAGTCCTAAATCTTATCAGTTTTGTAGTATTCCATGATAAGTATCGTTATTCATAAACCTGGGCTTGTTATGTTGCAGAAGTTTGCAAGTACATGATTTCTAATGAAATAGTGTCTTAGAAAACAAGTGTTATCTGTTGGATAGATGTTATAATGTTTGTCTGTATCAGACAGTTAATGAAGACTAAATTACGTGATCTAAGATAGATTATCGTAGTTTATAGAGACAAAATTTTAGGGGTGTTGACAAAATGATTTCATAAATTCGGGTTTAGGAAAAGGTAGCTTTTCGTACTTTTTTTATTTTGAAATAGTGAATGTGGGTTACTTACGGTATATGTATCGACGGTGTAATTTAGAGAAGGGTTGGGAGAAGGGTAAACTTTCTCACAATCAAATAGGTCAATTTATTATTTAGCCAGGAGTTTATGCCAATGTGAGCTTTTTTATTACTTTCTTGTTTTACGAAAACAATGTCCTTTATGCGTTTTTCCCTTTCTTTTTTTTAAGAAGGAGCTAATCGTTAAACTGTTACTTCATTTCTTAATATAGTAATCTCTACGCGTTCATATTCTTTTAATAAGTTTTGGATCACATTGTAAGACGTCATAGGATTTGACGGTGTTAGAGCACGCGTTAAAAATTGCTTTATCGACCTCCTGTCATGTTTAAGTCGGAGGTATAATTACTGTTATTTAAATGAGTGATTCAGCGGGAAGTTATGTAAAATGTTTAGAATTTATAGTAAGTTGGAAAAAAACTCAGCGTATTACTTAACGTAGGGATTTAACTGTGCAAGGTAAATGCGGTAAAGTAATAGTTCACGGCTTGTTATCTGTCGATTCTTATTACACCATGGTTCAGTACAATTCTACTTTTGGCTTCTAAGCATGCGTGAGAATAATGCTAAACGGTGTTGTAAATAATCTACACAATGTGTAGTTTAGAATATGAAAAAGTATACATTTGCCAATAACACTTTTTGGGAATGGAAAAATAATTCAGCTTGATACAATGCGCTCAAGTTATCCTCAAAATTGTGGCCTTGTGTTAGATAAAGACTTTAACGATAGGCCCATATATTTATTTGTAGATTTCTTTTAACCTACTCGTTTTGTTGAAGAAAGTAATCATTTTTTCTTCCTGGTGTTCGAAACGTTATAAACAAAGCTTCTAGGGGAAAACAGTTCATTTTCCTGGGTCGATTTGTACATCGGAAAAAGCACCCTGTCAATTTTCACTGAGCAGGGGAAAAAGTTTTACAGCTATGAAAAAATGGTTTATTTTCAGCATCGGGCAAAGAAACGTTGAAAGTTACTTTCTTTGCTTTACGTCGTGAAGTACACCTTGCTTCTCTTTAGCGCAGCACGTTATTAAATTTTTGATAAGTCTGAGACTTATAAGAGAAACTTCAAGTGTTTTTATGTGTTCTGACCCAGCAATGAAGCGTTTCAGCGAACATTTTATCAATTACGGATCGCAAAATTCGGTTATAGGTACGGAGAGTCTACTTTGTACTGTGATCTCTTATAAATAAAATGATGTTAAAACATTGAGTCTCCTCAGTTCCTTTTATACGTCTATATTGTATTGATTGATTGATTGATTGATTGATGGATTGATTAATTTTCTTTCTACTTCCGTCTTCTAAAAGACGTCAGCTTCTGGATTTAAAGTTACTTAACGGAAAGGAGAAAATCTGATTCGAATTTCTTTAATGGCAGTGGTTCTTAACATTTTTGTGTAGCAAGATTTCTACTCCGTACAGCCTACCAATTTTGTTTAATCCCATATAGCACATGAGACTGGACTTAACAAAGTCAACTCAGGGAAGTCCGCCATTTTGTTCTAGCGAAGCCTCAGTTTAATGTCATGACGTCAAATTCTCAGTTGAAAAATCGATTTCTTGTCTCTTTTAAAGGCAAGAGTAGGGACCTTAAATAGTTTCGCGATAGCGACTTTTTTGGTTTCCTTGCGGAAGAAAACACTATAGGCTACCAGCGCTTTGTAAAAGGGCTGCGGCAGCAACCACAGCCGCCTTAGACCAGACTCCGTGGCGCTCGGCTGTTTTCGCCCCCACCAATTTTTTTCCCCTTTTCCTCCACTGCGGAGCCTGGTCCCAGGCTACAGCAGGCTATAGGTATATGATCGTCTTAGGAGTTGCAGTTCCTGGATCTGGTCATCATCTCGGTCAATTAAACAGCTGTACCAATGTCTAACGCAACTGTGCCAGATAACGATGTATCGGATAGTGAACATATTGAATGATCGATCTGTAGCCTGTCCTTATGCCGACTTACAATCGATATCTAGGTCCTACTGAAGAAAAGGCAGTGAGACGCTGACTGCCAAGAGTCACGGAATGACGTCATCGTTCAATATGGCCGCCATCTTTGATATAATAGCTGTCAAAGAGATATGAAAGTTATTTATAGTTAAGGGTGGAAACAGCTATCATTACCTGCATTTATTGAGTGATTTACCTACATCGTTGTTTCTGTTTCTTTGTTTGTCTTTTTTGGAGAGTCTCGTTTTTATACTTGAAGCTGAAATCAAGTACAAAATCGAAACAATTAGTAAAGTAGGTAAGGAAAATGCCATGGCCGGCATTTACGTTTCAGCAAAATTCTCCAAGTTTGGTTTCCCTCTTACTATTCCGTATGGTACACAGGCCATCGTGCTCCAGAAGGTGACGTTTGGTTAACATGATCAGTAACCCAAGGAAAGGTGCTTTTTCGCTGCGATGCCAGATGGTGGGTGAATTCGAGTACACTTAATTAACGAAGGATTTCAACCTACGAGAGTGCTCGTTGGAGAAGGGTAATAATACTCAACAAGTATCAAAGGGGGAGAAGAGATTCCTAGTTTCGTAGGTTATAATTTTATCAGATGCTGTCTATAACCTATGCGGTATGAATGCCAGAGGCGCACCTGACTGTAAGCCAGTTAAGCACGGGCTTAAAGATTTTGGGGGGAAATTTTATTCTCACAATTATTTTGACGATGCCAGTGACGACAGCAACTCCGGAACGATCATTTAGGGTCAAGACGTACTTGCGCTCTACTATACGAGCAGAGAGGTCCTCTGGGCTCGCGCTTCTTCATGCGTACAGGGACAAGAGCATCGACACAGACAAGGTGGTCCGGGAGTTTTGCGCCAGGCCTCGGCCTTACATTTTGGAATGCTACGCTAAAGCAGCTTTGTCTTTGCGTTCAACATGATATTGTATAGAAGTTGGGAAATACAACATTTATGTAAAGTGATTGTAACTTAAAGGTCCAACTAAAGTTTCTTTACGACCTCTAAAACCCTGGTCATGTACCGGTGTAAGTTAGCAAGCGTATATCAGCAACATTCTGGTTGCAGGCTTAAAGCTGGAAAATGCCTAGGAACACCCCTGAATGCGATAAATGTGAAAAGTTATTGTCTTTCCTGTGGTTTAACGAGGGGAGGAAGGAGGGGGCTTAACGGTATATTTAAACACAGCGGTACCTAAAGCAGAACTGACGCAAAAATCAACAACAAACTTTGATACCCTCTGGTGTTATGTCGAGGTATACAACATCTTATCTCAGGATACTGTGGATCTGTTCCAGTAACAAGTTTGGTCCCAGTTAAATAGTAAAGAAGGAAGAAGTACAACTAATTCCATTGCCACTTCTGGATGAAAAATACTTTTTGCGTTAGTTCCTGTGAGGATTGAAATTTGTTTGTTTTTAGGTTGTATGTAATATATGAGATTTAGCCAAGGCTAGAGGCGAAGCTCTCGTTTATGAATTTATAATTTGCTTCAAACAATAAACTTGTAATCCACTTGAAGTTGAGCCTGTGATCAGTGAAAAACCAGTAGCTTGTCAGCGGATAACTTCGTTACCTTGATGGGTCGACATGTGAGCCCGCTTAAAGGTTATGTAATACTAGTCCGCGGATATCCTGGTTTTGACAATTGTCGATTGACTTTGACGTGGATGTACAACATCAGGTTACCGGCTCATACACTAGCGGTCGGATGGTCACGTGACTGCCAATATTAAACAAAAGATGGCTTGCCTTTTTACTTAAAGTTAAACAGTATAATTTCTAGCAGTTTGTAGTACATTTAAAGTGGACAATGATTTTTTTCAATATCCATTTCTTGCATTGCGAGATCTAAACAACAAGTCTATCTTAAACGTGCAGGGTTTGTGGTTGTATATGAACTGAAATTCCACAAAACGCTTGTTTCCTGGAATTACCCTAATTAACTCCTATTTGGCTTTTTCCTTTTTTCATTTCTCTATGGCAACGTTTTACCAATTGGGTGTAACACCCAGGAGACATATTTGTTTTACAGAAGCTGTTATTTTGTCATCAGCAAGTTCTTTGCTGCCATTGCCGCGCATTGCAATAACATCACGACCTCAAGTCAAAAATTTAACTAACGTTCACGGTTTTTGCCTGCGTCATTCACTCTAACGGACCTCCCCTGGGCTTTCTTCAGCGGGTTCAAAAAGCCAGATCTGTTGGTTGTAATTGGTTGATTTCGATATATGTTGTTTATTTCGGTTATGATTGATTGACAACTAACTTGCTCGGAATTTATTGTTATTTCCTGTAACCCGATTGGTCAACTTTATCTAGGTGGCACTGTAAACTAGAAGTCAAAATTCTCCTCGACTTCAGATTCACTTGAGTCCTGAGTTGTTTGGCTTTTCCGTCAGAAAAAGGTACATTTCTTATATGCCAGTTGCATTGGTTTATTGGTTTTTGCCTCCATCGACAAAAGGGAAAACTTTGAGCCAATCATAAAGCTCTCTCCCAGTCCTATTTTGTGACTGACGTACAAGTGAGGCTTGTTTGTGTCATCTTCTGTTCCGTTGTTGAATACTTTACTCCGGAAACATAACTCCATTTCTAATGCTTCTGGCATGAAAACCTATTGCAGCTTTTTTAGAAGATGAAAGTGAATACCGTATATGAAATATTAAAATAATCAAATGACCTGCGGTTGAAGCACATTAGTCAGAAATATGATCCTCAAGGTTTTTAGAGTGATCAACTAGGGCAGCTGAAAAGAAAATGAGAATGTAAATGTATACCTTTAATTAATTATTTATTTATTTATTTATTTATTTATTACAAGGACAGACGGTAAAAGAGTTAAAGACCCTATACTCAGACAGACCACCTAGCTTGTTAAAAAAGTTCGAAATAACAAAAGATCTCAGTTAAAAAACATTCTAAATCTAAATATTATACATAATAAATATACAAGGATAAAAAAAGATATACTAAAATATATTATGCGGGTTTACAATTAATCGGCTTATTCAGTTAGCGTTCTTTAAGAAATTTATGACAAACTTTAGGTACTACAAGCTGATCTAACGTGAAATGGAAGCGAATTCCACATGTCCACAATACGATTGAAAAAACCTAAACTTAAACGTGTTTGTTTGAGCATAGCTCTTCTTTAAAGTAAGGCTGGCTTTTTCTCTTAGGAGGTACCTAGTGGCAGTATTAATACTGATTTTACATGTACAGACAAACCCGGTTGAATTTAGAGAAAATGTCTGGGCTTTCTTTGAATTCCCTGGGACAAAACAAACTGGCCATAATAATGAGGCGTCCGTATTAAGCGGGTGTCAGTAAGCGAGGTTTAACTGTATCAGATTCATTTTTTCATTCTAGCATACGTAATGAGTAGTCAATTAACACGTAACAGCACCAGGCGTAGAAAATTTCTGTCATTTCGGGTGTTCGTAAAGCGGAGTTTGACTGTATTCAATAGTAAGCTGCATGGGCGGATTTTGGGGTCGGCCGAACGGACCGCGGCCACCTCTTTTTCTGTGAAATTTGTGATATTCTTACAGAATTCTTAGTACATGTAAGATGAAAAGTATCTATAGAGCTGGCAAGTGTCCCGGCCACCCCTTTCTGAACTTTTTGGATCCGCCCCTCAGCTGATTAATGGTACGGCTGGGTAGATTACTCTTTTGCATTTCTAAATTTCGTCACTACGAAATAATGATAATTTATTGTCAAGTATTACTGTAAATATTTCTTTTATTTTTCTTAACCATGTTGGCCTTATTACAACTTTAAATAGCAACATTCCACTGCAGAGACCCAAGAATCTGGACTGACACTTTACCAGCCCACCCTTTGACTGTTCAGAAGCGCACTTTTACAAGTCCAACAACACCAGAAATATTTCTGGAATGTTATTGTATTGCAAGAAAAAAGCCAATCAGGCGTGAGAAAACTAAACTGCATTCACGTGTCTTGATCTTTGCTGTGATTGGTCATAACACAATAAACATTCCTGACATATTTTAAGTGTTCACGGTTTTCCCGGTCGCATTGTAATTACTATTTGTATCCTACTAAGTCTGTTTATGATGTCGACGTCCCCCGCCCCCAGACCTATAAGAGTGGGTGTATCAAGTGCCACACTAGTCGGCCATTGACCAGCTTGCTCGATCGAATGTGTTGTTGATTCTTTTATCATTTTTTGCCCCAATTCTGTTTGTTATTGTCGTTTCGGTCGTTTCTAGTGCATTACCATTATTGTATTTATTAGTATTATTAAATTTTTTCCCCAGTGAACCTCGTAGTTGAGGCTGCTCTGCTAGTTATCTAGGCCTCTTGGCGAAGTTTGTGAATAAAAAATAAATAGATAAAATTCCCTGTATTATCGTATATTTGTAATCTCTCCTTAGCCTAAATAATTTTGCATGGTTGATCTATATGTTTGATCTTGTGTGTCTGACTCCATTATACGTCGTATAAATTGTAATACTGTGAAAGGTTTGAACCCAGGAGTCATTTCAAAAGTAGGTTGAGTTTGATCGTCCGGGTGAACTTAGTCTTGAATAGGACTGTTGTTGTTGACAGTGACTGACGTTTCGACAATCTGTGCGGGGTCATCTTCAGAGTTAAAAAAAAAAAGGTAACATGCAGCACATAAATTGTAATCTCAGCAAAATTAGAATAAGATGAAAGGACAAGTTACTTAGCAGGAACAAGACGACTTACGTCCTCCTGAGATATTTGTAAACATTTGTTTCAGCGTTTGCAATCGTTTCTGAGGGTTTCGCAGGGGCGGATCCAGGATTTTTTTTCAGGAGGGGGTGCACTCGTCTCTTGCTCTGCTTCAACACCAATAAACCACATAGTTTCTTTTTTGCAGAACACCAGTTGTATTAGAAAACCGCAGGACATCTCAGGGAGGGGGGGGTGCGCACCCCCTGCACCCTCCCCCTAGATCTGCCCCTGTTTCGAAAATAACCCTCTCGCTAATTGCGATCGTCTCAGGAGATCTTTATGTGCTGCATGTTACCTCCGGGTGAAAGTATCACGAAGCATATTTAATCTCAGGGGCACAAAAAAGTGCAGTCACTTTTTCATATATAGTTAATCGAAAAAACAACCTGTTAACGTAACCATGCTTTTAGGGAAAATTTAAAATACGGGAAACTTTATACGCCCGACTGGAAAACTTGGAACAGCCTTTCCATTCTCATATCTAAAGGTTTTATTTTAACGAAAGATCCATGCTTAAGATTTTTAGCATTCAGCCAAAATGCACGTTTCGCAGTAAAAACGCGATTTTCTGAATTAGGTCACGTGACATTGGGCGTGTCCTCAGGGATGACGTCACAATCAGAAAAAACCCTTCACCTAGGGAACAGTCCAAGTTTTGTCACATACCTGTAACCTCCACTTAGCGACAACAGTCCAAATCTTGTCACATACCTAAATATGATCATGCCAAGTGAGATACTGGTTTATGGTCACGCCAAGATACTTGATCAATTCACTAACTTTCTCTAATAGAATTGAGATAATTTTGAAAAAGACATATAGACGAATAACGTTAGTGCTTTTTTTTTTTTTTTTTCTTACAAGCAAAAGTCATTTCACTTGAGGGCGTTTGCTCTTAGCCTCTTTTTTAAAGCAAAAACTGAATTTCATCAGCCTCAGATCTGATGATGGTTAAATTTGTACATGTCGAACCGAATACCGTAAAATTCCGAAAATAAGCCCCGGGGCTTATATTTTTAAAAAGCCCTTTTTGAGGGACTTATTTTTGGAGGGGCTTACATTCGGAGGGGCTTATCTGCGGAGGGAAATTTGCGTTTCAAAATCGATTGGGCTAGCCCTATAGTTGAAAGTAAATTTATCGTTTTTGCTTTGTTTTACTTTGTATTTGAGTGTAATTTTCCAAGTACAAGCCCCCGGGGGGCTTATATTTGGAGGGGCGATTTAACAGAGGGTTTTTTGCGTTACCGGTTTGGGGGGCTTATATTTGGAGGGGCTTATGCATGGAGGGGCTTATTTTCGGAATTTTACGGTATTTTTTTTGAAGTGGCCATTGCCCCCACCCCCTCCTAGGTAGAATACTTCGTGTTCTTTGGCACGTGAAGAGCAGCCCGAGAGGTTACCAAGCTATTCTATCACTGTCAAGTGGTCACGCTTCGGTCACGCGGAAATTTACGCGCTCGTACGTCAGGACTGCGCGCCTGATTCCTCGCTCGAAAGACGGTTTCCTCGCATCAAATCTCGATACTTCCCAGAAACCAAGGATTGTTCATCAGTGTTGCGAGGAAGTTAGTTAATTTTGAAGGGAATCGCGTTTTTTTCGACTGCAGTTATGGGTCACGTCAACAAGTGCTTGTACCTTTCACGTAGCTGTTATCACACGGCCGTTTCAAGATCATGGCCCCACCATTTTAGAACGGAATTTCAACGGTTTTTCCAGGTAAGTCGGCGCTTGGAACACTTTAGATGCCCATTCGTTTCTTATTTTCTGTTTTCTTCTTTAGTTGATTCGTTTTAAAATGGTTAGTTGACGTCGTATATTGTGCACCCTATTACGCAAGTCCTTGCTCCGCGCTCATTGTTCCGTTATCCAGACATTATTTTATGCTGCTTATTTCATTCTTTAATATTTATATGTGCTGCGAGGTAAAATTGTAGAAAAGTAACATGTTGTCCTTCCAGAGAGGTACATCAAAGTGGCTCTTTTTCTGAGAAAATAATCTTTGTTTATTATGTTTGACTTTAAAGTAACCTGTCCTGTTATGCAATCAACACGATGACATCAAACGATCGAGAGTGAAAATAACTTATAACTAGGAAAAAATGAGGAAAAGAAAGAAATGCCATTTCTAAACACAGCTGCTGGACGTCACTGCAAGCAAATTAAACCGCTCGAGGTTTAGATGGGAGTAAAATATACAGATCATCCCACCGCTAGAAATAAATTATATTAAGTATAGAAAATTCCTGCTTGTAAACCCTTCAGTTATTGGCCAATCTACCTGTCAACAAAAATTACATAAAATACAGGCGATGATAAGCTCCCTATAATTCCGTTTATATTGAAAACCAGTATAATGCAAAAGATGTTTTTATCAGTACTGCTTATTACCATAGCTTTTTCGGAAGAGCGTTTTCTATAAATTTCCGGTTATAAAGCCCCCTCTAACACAAAGTTGTATAAGCCTAGGGCTTCAAAACGGTAGTTTAGAGTATCATGTAAAACTGCAGAATATATACCCAGAAACAATTTGAGACAATCCTGATGTTTATAAGTTGTTTTGTTTTTTTACAGTCTGGGGAAAAACCTATAATTTATTCGTTCAACAAACGACCATCTGACGCATTGATGCACCGTGGAGCTTATGGACTTTCCCTTGCGGGGATTTTTATTTCTTTTTATGGAGTTTACTTCATGGTCCAAGACACATATTCAAAGAAACAGCCAAAGTGATTTTACAGTCAGCAATTTAGATGATATGTATGCTCATGTGAATGCTCATATCATTGTGGACCTCTCTTCACTTCACTGTAATACTGGCAGAAAGACGGGAGAAGATGTTTTCAGTGTAGTATGCACATGTGGCTAGATACTTTCTAGTTATTCAGGATGATGCATCTTACATCAATGTGATGTTGCACTACGGCCAGATCAACAAGCTAGGATGATCTCGTTTCCATCAACAAGTTGTTGGTGTGTTCATTTGGAAAATAATTTTGATCATTTATAAGACATTTTCAGAATGGTACACTGTACATTAATAAGGAAATCTTTAAAACTATTCATCAATATTATTGTTGATGCTTTTTGCTTTCAATGGCAAAACTGTTCCTGTTGGAACTGTTTCAACATGGGTATGTAGAACAAGAGATATCCAATACATGCAGTAGATTGGATGGTTTATTTATTTCAAGTGTGTTTCAAGAGGGGTGGTGTATTTAGGTAACAAGAGGGTGTCTATTAGTTATTTAAATAAGGAAACCAATGTTGCATTATCCACTGGATAGAGATTTATATGGTGAATAGTGCAACTTTTCCACTTGTTTTAGTGTTTTTAGCTGATTTGTATATACTTTGTAGTGGGTCAGTCTCCCACCTCGTCAGATTTTATAGTTTTATGTTTTTGCACAAGATACTTGTTTACCCAGGTGGTTTGTGTAAATGGCAAACATCCCAATACTCTGAACCTGTGAAATCCAGGGTGCCCAGCTTATGATTTTTATTTAAGGGAAAAAAAATGTCTTAGTCTTTCAGGAGAAAAAGTAAGGTGCCTGGGGCAAAGAAGGACTGCTCACAAACAGCCTGTTATTTGTCAGTGACAAACTTTATTCTCTTTCAATATTAAATTTTGAAGTGTGTCTGAGGAGTCATCTCTTCTTTTCTTACTGAACTTGAGGCAGAACCACATCTGTCTAGTATCTTATAAATATCCTCATTTACTGCTTAAGCTGTAATTCAAGTGGGAAAGGTTATAGGAGAAACCTGGGGCTGAACATAAAATTATTCTTCCAAGACAGGAGGGCATGTGTATTCTCCATTTCCACATTTCCCATAATACACTTTGTTGGTGTGTTTCTTGCCCCCCAACACACAAAACAGTTTTGCATACAGATTGTCTTCTTCTTCTCTTGGGATTTTCAATTGTTCCGAGAGAAATGTAAACAATGCTTTTGCAAAACTGCTTGTGTGTGTTATGGGAAATTTGAAAATGGCAAATAAAGAAAGAGAGAGGTCAATATAGGTTTTGGGTACTTTCAGAATTTTTTCTCTTTCCATCACACTTGCAATGCATTTTACAGTACTTAGGAATATTTTAAATGTTGCACATCATAATTTAAGTTGATGAGTTGTTTAAGTGAAAAACATTTGCCCATTCAATGGTTAAAGAAATCCAGATTATGTGTCATGTAAATTTTGTAAATAAATAACTTTTCTGCACTTTCAAATAAATTTGTTTTCAAACTGCACCAAGTAGTGTTTGATAAAGGAGTTAACACATGCATGGATCCCCTTAGTCTCACAGACCCTCTACGTTCTATATAGAGATTATAAAAAACGCAGGGGATTTATTGACTGCCAGCACAATGGCTTTGGGGGGGGGTCTTTGCTCTTACTTGCACTCTGGGGGACAGAATAGAAGCCCTATAACAAGGTAATAAAAAATGGCATACTCATGAAGCTCAACCACTTGAGAAATAAGATGCTAATCTGAAACTGTCTTATTTTAAATCTGTACAAACTCCCTTCTAGCACTTAAAGAACTTTTCAAGTTGCACAAGGACCAACAAGGTTCAGCACAAAATGAATTGAAGTAATTTTCCTGAATTCTGTTTAGTTTAATGATGGTATATGCTTTCCCTGCCATTCCAACCAAATTCCTGACCACTTTGTCTTGAGACAGGATACAATCTGTTGTTCGGCAATGTGGCTAAAGTCTGTTGGCTCTATTGAAGCAAGTCCTTCCGTGTAAGCAACCTGGAGAACAAAAGATCACAGCACAATGTTAGACTACCATATTTATTAGACAAAGTGCCGTGGCACTTATCTAAAGACGGCATTTACAAGTATTTGAAAGTTACACACGATAAAGAACTTTATTAACTATGGAATTATTATTTCTGTATTAAACTAACAGAATTAACGTCTTTTGATTTTGATTATACCAGGGCTATGACATCTATTTGGGACAAATACAGTTTTATCTTTTAAGAGACATTTATGAAACAAGCTCAAGTGTTTTATCAGGTTTAAGGCATGAGACAGTCAGATGTTTTAAGACTTGACTAAAAACCACTGTAGCCTGCGAAAACATCCGTTTCTGTTTTTGCAGGTTTTGCCGTTTATTCATACTTTTTTCATGAATTATTGAGTTTTGATGTAAACTTTTAATTGAAAAATATAACATGATATTTTCATACCAAAATGTCTCTGTCTATCAGTTTGTCCTTTTGTTCAGTGAAGTTGTTGAAAGTTTTTCTGACTGTGTACCTTGGTGTAAGAACCTGAACGTTTTCTTTGTTTGGCGTTTCTTGTTTTCCTAGGTTCTGTGGAGTTGACTTCTTTGTTTTCTTTGGGTTTAAGGTCACCCGCGAATTTTACAGGTTCTTACACCAAGGATTCAGAGCTGTTTTTCTTTATACCTTTTTCGTTCCATCTTCCTCTCTGATACCGAGGCCATTGTAGTGAAAAGCTTTAAATGGCTTAACATCACCAGCGGACAAGTCCTGCAATCAGTAAAAAATCATAAACAAATATTTTAGTTTTGATTCAAATGCCAAACTTTTCATGTACCGAACCTAATGCATAAATTATTATAATGTATTTTTAACAGTTTACGGAAATGAGCATTTTCCGCCTTTTAACTTAGTTCAGCTGCAATTAAAATTAATAACAAGTAACACCACAGACATATCACCTACGGAAACTACATCTATTGTTAAATTGTTGGGATATAAATTGAAGTAAAAACACCACTGACATGAGCTCCAAAACTGGTGGTATTAGCTACTTCCCTGCTTTTTCCTGAAGTCACATGGTGTCAGTAGCTTTGAATACCAGTTTTAACATACCTCCCCAGGAAAGAACTCTTTTAGGAAATTCTGCAGAAGAATAATTCCCATAGAATCCTGGTCAAGACGACCTTTCATAAAGGAAACGCTGAAACAAAATGGAAAAAAAAGATAATGATTTAAATTCTGAAGGTTTAAAAGACTAATTCATTGTCAGAATATGATAAACTTACTATTCTGGATCAGAGACAAGACCAAGGTCTTCTAAAACATTTCCAAGTTTATCGCTCGTTATGAAGCCATTGTCTAAGAGAGACAAACAAGAACAGATCATCAAAAAAAAATAAAATAAAATACAGATTACAGCCTAGTCACTTTTGGAAATGACACCTCTAGAAGTGACAGAAGTCTCCATCTTTGGAAGATGTCCAACTTAACTGAGAGTCAAAATGACTGAACTCCATTAATGGCAAACTCTCTTGGACTAATTCTTAGTTTTGATCTTATAGAGGTGATTATTTACAGACAGTTGACAATTTTTAGCTTTAAGTGTCACAAATAGGGAAATATTTAAGGATAAAATAGTATTTCAGAGTACTTTTAATTAAGATCGTGGGTAAATATGAATAAGAATTGAATAAGAACAACAGATTTCAGCATTACCTTGCTGATCATGTGATTTAAATACTCTTAAACCCTTTTCTCTCTCACTTTCCGTTCCAGTAAGACTTTGATCCTAAAACCAAAATGCAGAAATAAGCAAATTTCTTTTGATCTTTTTTAGTATGACAGTACTGTCTGGAAATTCCTTTCCCTAAATAAAGCTCATCCTAGAACCCCCAAGGCTCTAGCTAACATAAGATTTTTAGAAAGAGGCAGTGTGGCCAAGTGGACAGGGCATCAGACTCAGTCACAACTCTCTGATCACAGGGGCCCATTTTGGGCCCAAAATGAAATACCATAAAATTCCGAAAGTAAGCCCCGGGGCTTATATTTTTCAAAGGCCCTTTTTGAGGGGCCTTTTTTTGGAGGGGCTTATATTCAAAGGGCTTATCTTCGGAGGGAAATATGTGTTTACAAATCGATTGGACTAGCCTTATAGCTCAAAGTAAATTTCCCGTTTTTGCTTTGCTTTACTTTGTATTTGAAAGCAATTTTTCAAGTACAAGCCCCGCCGGGGCTTATATTTGGAGGGGCGATTTAAAGGGAAGGTTTTTGCGTCACCAGTTTGGGGGGCTTATATTTGGAGGGGCTTATACATGGAGGGGATTATTTTTGGAATTCTACGGTATTCCAACCAAAATCTAAAAGGATAAGAGTGCAGGTCCTAGAAAGCAAACCAGTTGGTTTGTTAACTGATGGTTTTATGATCTTGTCTAAATAACTATTGAAATGTCTAGTATCTCGAATGTAAACAACAACAGCTTTCCAGGCCTGTTGATTATTGGGAGTTCCAAAAAACGACCCCCAGGTCTGAGAATGACCACTCAGGTTTTTCCGGAAAATTTTAAAAAGAAGTAAAAAATTAAGTGGGTGGCAATAGGCTGAAAACTGCTTGTGTTAGGTGGTGGGGGAGGTAAGTATGGAAGAGGGGGATCACCTACTTCCTGAGTCTGGGGGCTTCCCTGTGAAAAATGTTAATTTGGGGGTGCTTGAAAGGACACAGCATATAAGAGGCTTTTTTGAGAGACCAGGGAAAGAATTTTATGTGATTACTTTTGTAAACTAGCTAGCCCAGCTACCTGTGCTCTTCAATAATTTTTAAACAAAACATTAACCATTTTACCCTACCTGAGAGAAGAACACTGTTAAATGCGTTTCACTTGCAAGCAGCCATATTGGAAATACTGGAGATTTAAAGAAGTTACCAACCTAAACCATGACAACAAACATACAAGAAGTTTTAATATACCTACCTCTAAGTAATAAAAAAATAGAGCTGAGAAAAGAAATTATTAAAGGTACTAAACTTTGGCTCACCTCACAGTACCTATGAGCTTCTAAAAGTGTTAAAAATCCTATGGAAGACTGTTGAGGGATACCTCTTAGCTCTGCAAAGAACAAATTACAAGAGAGATGAGGTGCACACCTTTAGACTGGCAGTTCAAAAATTTTCTGAGAAAAGCCCAAAATTTACTTTTACTAGTCAGCTGGGGTTGTTTTTAGGAAAGTGGGCCGATTAATGAATTTGTGGGCAGCAAGTTTCCCACAGATGAAAAAGAATAAAACATTACTTTCAATTTGGTTTTTAGGCTTAAGCCTGTACTCCATTATTTAATAGACAGTCAGGTGACTGTTTAAAACATGCCAATTCTATACATACCTAGCCCTGATAGTGTTCTAGAAGAGTCCCAAATATTTGATACACTATATCCAGTCAGCATTAGATTGATCAATGTTTGACTGAAATGAGAATGAGAACACACATATTCACACTTGGCAAGAACAGCAAGTCTAATGCCTTGATTAAACGATGATGATTACAATGTTATAGCATATTCATATAGATTTAGTATTCATATCATCATCATCATCATCATCATCATCATTATCCCGTCATCATTGTCTCTTTGATAAGAAAAAAACAACACAATTTCATAACTGTACCTTCCATGCCCAAAGTTTATATCCACTAAAGGTTCCCCTATGTCTTCCATTTCTGATTTTATACTTTCTATACCCTGTGGAGAAAAAAGCAATATTGCATACTTGCCATAATTCATTTTGTTTAACATGTATTACAATACATGCAGAAAAAGATGCAAATGTTGCAATTCTGTTGTGAATAATAGGAATGTTATGTGTAATATACATGTTTGGGGGGGGGGGAACAGGAATCACCTTTTCAGACTCTCACCAAAAAAAATAGGAACTACAGGTAATTTTACCTAACTGTACAGCATGCAAAGAAAGTCGTGTCCAACAGCCCGGGGCTGGTGGATTTTGCTATCGGGCTAGTGATTTTTTCACTTGCCTAACCGGCAAGTGCTGTTTTTTTGGGGGAAATTCAAATTACAGAAGGATTGTAATCAATCCTGCTAATCAAAAAGGGTATTGGGGCTAGTTGAAATGACTTGTGGGCTAGTACATGCTAGCTATAGCTTGCCTGAATGGCAGGCTGTAAAACTAACTTTCTCTGCACCCTGCTGTAACCCTTTAAGTTGTAAGAGTGATCAACATCAATATTCTCCTAACAACATCAATACATTATCAAGACAATGGGCTATGAGAATTTACAAAATGTTCACCTAAAGGAAAATGTTAAAACAAACTTGGCCAGTAACTAGACTGTGCAAGTGTATAAAGTGTTTCTTGCAATGCCTAGATGTCTTAAGTCAATTAAAAATTTTAGGCCAAGTCTTCTAACTCTTGGCAAAACAGACAGTTGCGTACCTTCGTCAATAGCAATGAATACAGAAATAACAGAACACCAAATCTTCCTTCTAACATAGCTATATTCTTTTTGATGACTTGACTGACATGCTCTGAAACATGACACTGGATTTGGCTTCATTTGGAAAAGAAAGAAAATAAAGAGTACTGTTACATATGGAGGTAACTTTGAAAAGTAACAATATTAACTAAATGCAATATTATTATGTGTTCCTGATGGTTAAGATTCATTACCCGAGGTTACCACCTTGTCAAGGTGGTTCAGTCTTCATCTCACTAACTTGGACCGAGGATATTTACCTCAGATAATAACTATATTGAGAAAAATGCACACGACTCACAAATCACCCTCACTTGGAGTTCTGTAAGTTCAAAAGATGCCTATAGAGAATGCTACAATCTGCTTTAATCCCACCGAGCACTTTCCCAGGCTTAGTCACAGTGCTGTCATGATGTTATGACTCAACATGAAAAAAGAAAAGTTGTGAAGCAGCCAAGTCAAGAATGAGAGGTTGTTACATTACTGACAGGGCATCAAATGAAGCATTTTCACTGGCAATTTTTTTAGCTTATTTTTATGCTTTTTGTTTTCAATTTTTCACATTTTTAAGGGGCAACAAAATTCTTTATTTTGATTTGTAGTTTTCATAATAAAGAGATTTCCAGTCACGTTTACTGCAAACGGCAAACAGCTGACTCAATTTGAGAATTTCTCAAAATAAAAAATGAGCAAATGAAAACAGCTCAGAACAATTTTTATGGATAAAACTAACGTTAATCCACTGATTTCCATGTAGTTGTAATGAACAGTAAACGACAATAAAAGGAAAACTTGGTCACGTGGTACAAATATTTTATTAATGTTTGCCGTTTTCTGTAAACACGACTCTAAATCTCTCTCACAGGATTCGTACAGGTCATGGAAAACCTGGAAAGTCATGGAATTTAAGAATTTCGTTTTCCAGGCCTGGAATGTCATGGAATTTAATTATCGCTCCTTGAAAGTCATGGAGAATCAAAGTTTCGTTAGATAGATCAGTTACTGCAGATGACAAGACAAGCACAATGTAAGATACTATAATGTAGGGAGGCCAGAAATTATACATTGCAAATGGCATACATTTTGGTGGACACCAGGGTTTGTACGTCTGTTAAACTATTTAAGGTCAAAAAGTAGCCTAAAACAAGGAAAGGTTTGAATGTTTTGCAAAGTGACAGCTAAACCTATGGTCATGGAAAACTTGAAAAGCTCGTGGAAAAAGTCATGGAAAGTCATGGAATTTGAAGAGCTCAAACGAGTACAAAGCCTGTCTAGCTGTAATATTCTCCTTCCAATACTTACCACAGCTTGGAGTGAAACATTCCACTTGACAGTGAAGTAAGTTCTTGAACACAAACAGACTTATGATAATCAGGAGAATAAGAATCTAAAAATACCAAGAAGAAATAGAAACCCTGTTAAGCCCTAGTTTACCCTGGGAAACCTGGAGGGCTTAGCATTTACACAAACCACCTGGGTGGAAATCTTCTGCATAAACATAAAACTATAGAATTTGACTTGGTGGGAGATCAGGCTGCCACAAAGTATATCCAAATCAGTTGAACAGACTAAAAAGAGAAGAAAAGTTTCATCCCCTCCGATCACAGCCCAGGACGACTGAAGTGACCCCACTTGACAGCCACATTTTCTGAAGCTTTCCAAAAGAAATGGCACAAACCATTTGGTTTTCCCACCGGAACTTCTGGTTTTTCCATGCAAATGGTAAGCACCCCTGATCAAACATCTTTCATGTCTTTCATGTAGATCAGATTCAAGTTCAAGATTTTTGTTTTGCCACAATAAAAAGAAAGATATGCTGTAAGGAAGCCCAAAGGAAAACAATAAGGTTTTTCAGTAACAGGCTACCTAAGTCTGCATACATACATTATATTGGGATTGAAAGCAGGGTTGTCACAAAGATTTTAACTAGCAGGAGAATAAGAGAAGATAGCCGGCATGTGTTTCTCGGCAGGGCCGGTGGGGAAAGACATATCACTATTGATATAAACAGTTCAATCCAGGTTAGTAGCAGCTGTCAAACATGATAGCATTGATACTGCATCTGAATCACTAAGTGAAACTTTGGTGGAAGCATGCAAAGAAGCTGGATTGAAAGCGAGAGGCAGCAAAATTCAATGCAAATCCCCCAAAAAATGGTTCAATCAGGAATGCGAAAAAGAAGTCCCTATCAAAGAAAACATTTTCCCAGGAGGGGAAAAATATCTTAAGGGATAAAATCAATAATTCAGAACTCAGGTGGGGGAACACATAAACATACTGAGGGGGGAACTCAAAAAGGGAAGAGTTTCAAACAAATTTGTGTTTGAACACATATCACTAGGGAAGAGGTGGGGGAACACATATCTCTAGGGACATGTGTTTTTGAGGTGGGGGAACTCATATCACTAGGGATATGTGTTTTCAAGGAGGGGGAAGACTTATCTTAAGGGATATCAGAGCATAAAGGGACCTGGCAACAGGTGGGGGGAAAAATCTTTAACTTAAGAGGGGGAAAACATATCATGGAGTGTGTTTCCTAGGTGGGGGAACACATGTCACTGGGGATATGTGTTTCCCGTGTAGGGGAACATATATCACTAGGGATACGTGTTTCCCAGGTGGGGGAACACATGTCACTAGGGATATGTGATTCCCTTGTTGGAATCGCATATCACTAGGGATACATGTTTCTTAGGTAGGGGAACATATATCACGAGGGATACATGTTTCCCAGCTGGAGGAACACATATCACTAGGAATATGTGTTTCCAAGGTAGGTGAACACATATAACTAGGGATATGTGTTTCCCAGGTAGGGGAATACATATCACTAGGGATACGTGTTTTCCAGGTGGGGGGGGAGGGACACATATTACTGGGGATATGTGTTTTCCAGGTGGGGGATCACATATCGCTAGGGATATGTGTTTCTTAGGTATATAGGTGCTGCATAAAAAGGAACATATAGATCATGATTAAAACAATTTCTTTTTCTATTTTATAACTTTTTTAATCGTCCATTTTTTTCGCTTCTTTCCCATAATTTACAGGTAGCAAAAACCTTAAAGTAGCCAGTGATAGCATCAGTTGCTGGCGTATTTTGACAACCCTGTGAAAGTAACGAAAAAAAATCTCTAAGACTATACCTGGACTGTTGGATGAAGGACTACTTGTATCATCACCTTCTGGCTGTGATCCTTCTGTTGCCATGCTTGGCGCAAAGATTAAGTGATCCCTGAGGAACACCAGCGTAAATTTCTCAGTTTTGACATTCCTAAGCATCTCACAAAGAGAGCAAACAAGAAACTGTCTAGCTTGCTCATCTGTAGAATTTAATAGCAAGAACGAAGCTACAGGTTACAAGTAAGTAATGTATTCCAAAATAAAAATACTGTACTTTTTAAAAAGGATCATCTTATGGTTTTGACTTTAACTTGTGTTCCACCTAAGATTTTACCACCCCAGAGAGTACTACTAACTATTCATTGTCCTTGGTGTACAATAGGCATTGTACAGGAAGGACGTAACACAACTTCTGGTGCTGAAATTGCTGCTCTACCATAAGTCATGCCAGGTTAAGATCCATGCCTGCTGCTGTCACAGTTGAAGCATTACAAACCTAAACATCTGAGGGCAGCATGCCAGTGAAAACCACGCTTAAGAAATGAATTTACATTCTTTCAATCTTTGTCACAATTATTCAAACTCACTTCCTTTGTCACATTAGGCAAACAACGCTGGGGTTGAATCCTAAGAACCATATCCAAGTTCAGAAAGAGAAAGTATATTTTGTGGTCGCTTGTTTACTTCCTCCATAAAATGTTAAAAAAGGCATGTTTATGTCATATTCGTGCAATTATGGAAAAGAAATTACCAAAAACCGTGAAGCATGTGTAGAGTTGTTGTTTTGATTATAAAACCTAATGCTTTTTTCACGTTCTCATTCCTGTCACGGTCATCAGATCTTAAGGTCCCTACTGTCTTCGTTAAATCTGATAATTTTGAAACCATGCCACAGGGTATCATTAAAAGAAGCTGGGTGATTACTAGGACTGTGCAGATGGCTGTTTGAGACAAAACTGATGGTAATTTGTCTTGATTCTCACTTGAATGTTTCCACATGATATCTTAAACTGCTTACTGTTTCATCTAGCTCTAACACTCCCTCAAAGTCAATTAAGGCCCTGCCCATGTGACTGCTATCACACTTGGAGACACACACACAGCCTCCCCCCCCACTTCCCCCACAGATACATTCACTTTGCTACCAGAACAGTTGATCACAACATTATAAACTGTGCAGTAAAACCTCTATTAAGCGGTCACCAATCAATCAATTTCCTGAAATTTTCTTCCCTTATTTACTGTAAATTTGACCTCTACTCAACGGTCTGCCTCAATTAAGGTGATGTGGTCACCATTTGGATTTCCCAAATGGCTTATTTTGTTGTAATTATTGACCTCTGTTAAACCATTATCTTGTTACATAACAATCAATAAAAGACATATTTTTGTCACAAGAAAGGCAAAGCATGTCCAGTTTCTTTTACAACTCATCAAATACAACATAACATTGTAATCTGGGTACTAAATACATGTCTCTCTGAGTAAGGTTTTGGAATTGCTGATGATGTGCTTAATTCTAAAGCTGCGTGCCTTAGGCACGACATTACCGTAAAATTTGTTGTTTAGATGTGAACTCCTCAGAACATCCAAACACATTATCATATTCCGCATTACTGTTGTTGGGAATGATCAATAAATTGTAAGGAAAGTGATAAAGTTTGCCTACTATGTCAACTTCTGCCACATTATGGGCTTAATTTTAGAAAACAGCTACTAAGTGGTCACCTCAGGCTAATTCCTGAAGGAGAACACTTACCGGTAATAGACGTTCAACTGTATTTCCTCGTGGAAAGTAAGCAAAACCTACCTGTTAGCTGCCTCCAATTATCAGGAGGTGGTGCATCCTCTACGAAAAGGATATTTTTTAAAATATATGCCTAAAAAAGATAAACAACTTCATAAATGACCTGAAACACTTATTAACATATTGGAAAAATGTGTTCTTAACCGGTCAAGGTTTTCAAAATACTAAATGACCGGCAGTCCTGTCTTTTCAGTAAATTTCACAAATCGAAAAATGCAGCTAATCTAAACTATCACATGTCGAATAAGAAAAGTCAAGCGATCCAGAAATGCTACATAGATCTCAAGTGTAGCGTTTGGTTTATGCTGGGCTCAGAAAACCAAACTATGTTTTGTGACTCTTGGAAATTTTTTCAGCTTGACTGCCGGTCAAGGTGTTGAAAACACTAAAATTAATGGCCGGCAGTCTTATATTCTCAGTAAATTTTGCTTGACTTTTTTAATCAACATATGATACTTTGGTTTACCTGGATTTTTTTGATTTGTGAAATTTATGGATAGTATAGGACTGCTGGTCATTAAGTGTTTTGAAAACCTTGACCGGCAATTGAGCTGAAAAAAGTTCTGAGTGTCACAGAACATGGTTTCATCTTCTGAGCCCAGCGTAAAGAAAATGCTAGACTTGAAATCTACAAAGCATTTCAGGATCACTTGACTTTTCTTAATCAACACATGATAATGTTGATTAGCTGGAATCTTTCGATTTTGTGATATTTACTGAGAATATAGGACTGGCGGTCACTTAGTGTTTTGAAAACCTAAACCTGTTACCAGCTATTTAGCCACAGCGTATATTTGAAGCATCTAGTCTACTCAAAAACATCAACAACAACGACAGTAATAATAAAATAATAATAATAATAATAAAAATAATAGTTATAATAATAATAATAATAATAACAGTAATAGTAATAGTTATAATAATAATAATAATAACAAGCTTATTGACAGCTACAAAAAGGAAAACAGGTGGCGCACTTTTTCAGCAACCCATTTATTTTTTAAAATAACCTGAACGGAAGCAAGAACGGCGCACGGTCCTCCTTGTTCCTGAACTAAAGCACTAGGTTCCTCCGTAGAAAACACAAAACCTAAGGTAGAGAACACATGTATTCGTGAGTTACAATGTTTTTAAGACAGCTGAAACTAGTCAGCTGTCCCTTTCGTTCAGTTTCTGTCACTTACTGATCTTTCTAATTCACGACCTCTATTTACAATACCTTGAGACCAACGTTCAAATATATCTTCCTTTACATCATCTCCCCATAAAAGACTTAAAACTTCATCGACATTTTCGAACGGAGTAACCCGGCACACGTTATCACTTTCGTCCGCCATCTTTGAATTTACCGAACCCACAATGCAGTGCACACAAACGAAACAGCGTTCCCTTGGGTTAGCGGTTGCTCGTAGGCGACGCCATCTTGGTTATTTTGCCCTGATTTGGCTCTCGTTTTGGTTCAGTTTTTCGCGATGGCTGCTGGAGTTAAAGACATAACGTTCAAGGATTTGGAGTCTGATGAACTTCCGATCACATCAGCGGTATTGATGGGGGGAGCACACCATCTGGGCCAATACTGCGACCAGGATTTCAAGACGTTTATGGGCTGCCGCTACGGTCACAAAGACCCCAGAAAATGTCTGGAAGAAGGAAAGCAAGTCACAAAGTGCGCTCTAGATTTCTTCAAGAAGCTAAAAACAGAGTGTAACGATGTTTTCACCAAACATTGGACCTGTCTTGATTACCACAACCAAGAGTTTGGTTACTGTAGAGCAACGCAGAAGAAATTTGATGCCTGTGTTTTGGAAAAGCTTGGATTGGAATGCGTTCAGCCTACTCACATTGAACTCCATGATTAATTATTTAAGTTGTGACTTAGTCATTTAATTGCAGACACTGGACGTTGATTAACAGGACTTGTTTGTGCGCAAGATATTGGACTTCTGGTAACAATATTTTGGACTTTGTTAGCTAGCTAGTAAGTAAGATTCGTTGGTTAAATCATGGTTAAGGAGGTCCCTTTTGAACGTGATAGATTGTTTCGCTGTAAAATAAAGTTGTCTGATGGATTTCTCTGGACATTTTTTTTTTTTTGCCTTTTTTAAATGGCAGGGTTATAAACTAAACTTTATAAGTGTTTGTTTGATGTCTTTGGTTTGTGGACCCAGTGACGCTTTCCTTTTTCCCTCTTAGTCTACAGCCTCCCTATGACAGAAAGAAGCCTCTGCAGAGGAGAGAGAACAGAAGGGGTTTTCTCTCCCTACCTTCTCCTTTCTGCACCTGCTCTGAATGCAATCCCACAAAGGGGAAACTCCCATATGAAGGTGATAGGGGTATCAATGACTAGCTTAGGGGTAGAAAGTGCAGATTTTGGTCTCATTTAGGGTATTCAGGACGAAAAACCAATATTTTTGCCCTTAAAGGTATCGCCTAGGGTTGCGCTTAAATAGCCTGCGTGGCAGGCGTTTGGAAGGGAATCAGAGGGAATTACTGGCACGTGAGAAGCGCGAAAGGCACGCGAGGGGAACGGAATGAAACGCCTGAAAAGACGCTAATGCCTTTTTCGTTTTTCTCGTCCACCAGTGAGATGTGAAAATCCTCATTGTTCAGTATTCCAAAAGTGTCAATCAAAGCCTTAATACCTTAATCTGATACTATTTGAGTAACTTGATCGATCTTTCAGTAATCAGTGGATATAGAATATGGCGAGTGAAGCGGAAATCGCAAAAGATTTTGAGTTTGTTGTACGGGAATTTAACCTTGAAATTAGAAACTTGCGCGCGGTCTCGCACCCAAATTTCCATCTCTTTCCCTTTCAACAGGCTAGTGCATAAAAAATATATACCTATAAAAAAAGAAAAGTCCTCATGCATACCATGCCAAGGTTTCATCCTCTATGGTTTCCAACGAGCATTCTTGTCTCCACACCGCATCCCCACCCCCCACCCCTTACTGAGGATGCAAAAAAACCTTGCTTTTCATTGCACGTTACCACTGATTATGGCTAATTTTCTCGAGTATCAGTTCTTCAAGTTTTTCAAAGAATACTGGGAAATTTGTTCCCCGAAAAACTCTAAGTGCGCGAAAATGAGCTAAAACACAAAATTCTTTTAGTTTTGGAGTTCATGTTCAAAATATTGTAGGTGACAGCCTTTTCTTAGAATTTCCTGGCTTGACGCTCTTCCCGTGCTTCTAATTTTTTCAAAGCCTTGTTTTGTGTAATTTGTTCTCAATTCAAAATTACGAAATTTTCAAATCCTTGCAAAATACGCCTTAGAAATTTTTAGACCTCGGACTCTAATTAACAACCATTTTGCTCATTTCGGTCTGGTTTAGAGGGAACTACGGGAGCGTACTTTGATAAACGTATTTATCGTTTCAATTCCAAATGAATAAGAACGAAATAAAAATATGCGAATTCGAAATACATTTGAAGAATTTTTTTGTTTGCGCTCTAGTCTGGTAATGATGACATAATTTCTGCCTAATTAGGCATAGCCTGTTTCAAGTTCAGAGATAGTTGGGTCCGCAGAATTGAGAAAGCGCGAACATGAAAATAAAACGGGAGGAAACAGGGGAGTCTCCCAATTATCTGAGAGCTTGGAACAGGCTAAATTAGGCCAGATTTGAAAATGGGTATGGATTTTAGAGATCTAGTCTGAAAAGGGTGTGGAAAATGACATAATAGGGTCAGGATTTGGAGAACCGGGCGGCACACCCCCACCAAGAATTCCCAGGAGCACCCCCCTCCGGAGGTCAGAAGCAGGGCCGGGGGTAAATCATGTCGTCATAATCAGCTTAGAATATAACGTAGGATGATTCATTTCGGTTATTATTCACGTATAGGTGAGTAATCCCTCCCCTCTAAATACTCGGCTTTTTTACATCCAGGAATGCCCGTTCATTGACCTTCTCGTCTGAGTTCTTCACTTCCTTATATTCCCATGGCTTTATTTGAAACGTAATAGTGGCATCTAGAAAAATTTTACCGCTACTATTTTTTTATTCGGAGCTTCTTATTGGTTTAAAAATATAAATTGCCTGTTCTCGTCTAACTCCTTCTTTTTATATAAAATTCAGAGTTTACTTTCAGTTGCCTTGAGTAGCGGCATAACCTTTTTTCCTTGTTATGTCCGTGCAGTACGCTTTCCTTCTCCACATGACGCTAACGTTGGGGAGAATATGTCGAATAGATCAGACTGCGTGGCCAGCTAAAGGAATGTTTGTGTCTGAAGGAGCTGGACTGCTGTTTCATGCTAGTCCGCTTTCTGTTTCTCTCAGTTTTACCTTTCTACAGCTGCTTTTATATACATAGTCTGTAGTCCGCGTTTTATACCTAGTACTGACCTAGTCCGTGTTTTATACCCATGCAGTCCCCAGTCCGTGGTCCGCAGTCCATGTTTAACTTGGTGTTTTACTAACCGGTTCAGTTATCCACCGGAGCAATCTTGGTACAGTTAATTTGCTCATAGTTCAGTCTTAAGAGATCTTGTCTTGAATAAGACACCTCTTATGTAAGGCAAGTATGAAATATTCCTCGTATAAATGACACAATATGTCGTTTATTCAATTATTGTTTTCCAGTGGAAGGTGTTTTTCCCGATTTTCCAGTTACCTGTTGAATGGTTTTCAATGGCACCAACCTGAAAGCCAATCAGACGGCGCGAATCATCATTCAATCAAAATAGAGAGCATGGCGGACGGATTGCTTTCAGCTAGTCGAAGTTTCCATCACAAACACGACGACGTTGGCGTTGTTACCGAATCATGCACAGTTTATCATAGGCGATGGTATATTTTAGTAGTTTTCTCTCTGATCGCAGGAGTGCAAGCAGCTGTTTGGAACACATGGGGGCCAATAACGGGCTCCGCCGAAGATGTGTTTGGATGGTCAGATGGGACAATAGCGTTACTAGAAAATTGGGGGCCAATTGCATATATTATATCATTCTTGGTGTTTTCTTGGCTCATGGACATTAAAGGTTCGTGGTTTTTTTTTGCTAAAATTTGTGGGGGTTGGGGATCGGATTCTGCAAGATTTTGGTATGAATATGCGTAAAAACAAGTCATTGCGTGCACGTTTCACAGCTCTTTGCGCGCGTCTACATCCGCTGCAATAATCCATGTTTAATTATGTTCAAAAACAGCTTGTACCACTAGTAATCTTGCAAGCTTTTAGATGAAACTTCGCTGCCGAGATCACTGTTTCAGGTTCTTAATCAGGGAGTAGAGTATAATTTCTTAAAAGCTTAAGCTTAACAAACTGGTTGATTTCCTGTCGTTCAGACGTTCACTAAACGGGTTAGGGCCAACAGCAGTTACTCTATCAATCGACACTAGCTTTTACAAAATATTCGTAATAATATCGATTGATGTTATAAAATACGCGACAATGTAAATGTCTCTATTTGCTAGATAAATCTGAAGAAAAAAACGGCTCTTGCATAACAGACACATGTAAAAGAAATTTACTGCAAAAACCACAGGTAACCCAGGCTCACTGTTTGTGTCACTTACGGGTTTCATAACATGAGTAAATATAGAGAACATATGGGGTGAAGTTTTGGTCTGGAAATTTGCTAGAAAATGGAAAAAAAATCGATGAAACTTACCTAGTATTATAATAGATGGACAGCCGAAGCCGGTTGAACTAAGTCATAGAGGGCAGGAAGTGTATCCTTTTCTTCAATTTCTGATATTGAATTTTATGCACAGTAGTTGTTTTCTGATGGCGTTAAGCTTCATTTCATGAATTTGTGCTTTTGTGCTTTATGACTTACAACCGCAGATTCCGGCTCGCAGACCACAGACGGGAGATCTTTAGTTTTTCCTCTTGTTGTAAATTTCTTCTCTTTTCTCTCTTCGAGTGAACTTGACAATTAGTCAATCTTTCACTTTCGTTGTTGGCGGTAAACGATGAGCGATCAATATGTATTTTCGTTGAGGTTCACTCCCATAATGTCAGACATTTCTTTCACCAGCAACGCAGGGCTGTCATTAGGTACGACCGGATTACCGGTTATTTTGAGACAGTCTCTTTGCGCGTCCTGCTTGAGCTCATCCAACCTGACCTGGACATTAAAACCATCGTTGCTGAGCTTGTTTATGTCTTCCTTGATGTCTTTAATTTGGCTTTCCACGTCTTTGCTGTGTTCTGTTATGTCCTTGATCGTCCACATCGTACAGTGTTGTATTTCTTTGAAATAACATTTTGGGACTTTTCAATTTCGTTTAACCTTTTTTTGAGGTCTGGGTTTAAGCAAGTCTATTTCCTTGTGGATTTCCTTTCGGATATTGGGAAGAAATTCTTTTGCCCACAACTCTTTTAAACTTCCCACAATTAAACTCATGCTCTGGGTTAAATTCTGTATAGTTAAACTCTTAAATTCTGTACGGTTAAACTCTCCACACGTTTAACTCTCCACCAGCCATCTTTGGTCGCACGTGTTTCAGTGCAGGTGACATTTTCATGCAAGAGTTGGCAGTTAACCATTTTGTGCATCTGAGAAGCAGGTTTCCAATAGTTTTAACTATTATTTAATATAGAAATAAAAGTATTAAATTAAAGTCTTTTTATTTACATGTCCCATCTGCTGCATTTTCTGTAGGTCTGAGGGTATCTGTACTCGTAACAATTGCGCTAATGTTTGTTGGAACTGGGTTACGTTGTATCACATCAGAACCAAAGAATGCTACATGGTGAGTGACTTGTTGGTGTATTTTTTTATTCTTGGTCCAAATAAAAACATGTTTTGTTTCAAATTTATTGTTGTGTGTTATATTGCTATGCCCTGATACATAAAAACGACAATAAACTTTGCACCAAGGATGTATTTTAGCCTTTTATTACAGTTTTTAAAATGTCCAGAGTGGTTATGTCTTTGGTAAATGTATTTATTGTATTATTTTTATTTTATTGTCACATGGTTTTATTCCTGGCCTTTCAGCTCTTTGTCAATCATACCCAGCTACAAGGTTCAGTTGACCTGTGGAATATCATAAATGACGTCCCCTTTTAAAGAAATACCCTTGTCTAATAAATGCCTCCTTTCCCTTTACAATGTTAAATTTGTGTCAGTGCCCCTCCCTAATAAACACCCCCTGTCTAATAGATGCCCCCATGACAATTTCTCCACAAATATACCAGAAAAATAACAAAACGGAGCTCATTAAAGCATCTTGTTCAATATCAAATTCAAATGACAACACAATGACCCTGAATGAAGACTCAGACAATGAAGTTGAGATTTGAAACAGAGATATGGACCTCTTGACAACATAGATGTATCAATGGATCATCTAGATATTCTGCTATTTATAAACTCCCTTAATATTTTCACCAAAAACTTATTAGTTTTGTTTAGCTTGTTACAACCATGAAAGTAAATGCTAGATGCTTCCTATCTTTTAGACACCCCCTCTTACCCCTAAAATTAACCAGACGCCCAGGGTGCCTTTTAGAAGATCAATTTTACGGTATGTCCAGCAAACCTGTCTAATAACGGAAAAATTATTTTTATTTAATGTAGGCTGATCCACATAGGTCAATTTCTCAATGACCTTGCTGCACCAGTTGCCATGGGAGCACCACCTTTAGTGTCGTCAACATGGTTTCCTCCTCATCAAAGAGCAACAGCGACAGCAATTTCTTCATTAATGAGCTACGTTGGAATATCTGTGTCTTTCGGTGTTGGTCCCTTTGTTTTGAATCCTTCAGAAGTGGCTGAACCTCCTAATGCGACCATGCTTGATGTGGCAGATGTTGATAATATTACAAACAGTTAAGTTTTACTTGTGACCAAGTAAAATGCTCGAAAAAATGTGCTTTTGAATACTGTAATGATATTGTCAACTTGTGGTTCAACTTGTTTTCTGTCTTTCAAAAAAATATTAAGAGGGCTAAAATGTTTCTTTGCTCCTTGTCTGTATAATCATTACCATATCATAATAATATTAGGTCCATATTATTATGGTTACTGTAATGAACCAGACACTAAGAAAGTTGAAGTAGAAGTCAAGCTGGCTTGAGAATTTTTGTCCTTTATTTGGAAAATACTTGTTGTTATTATTGTCAAAGCCATTTGACAGAAAAAAGCATAATTGTCTTGATTTCTATCAATCAACTCTTTCGTATTTTTGGCCTTCAAATCTTTAAAGGTTTCATCTTTTTTTGTGTTTTTAAAACTGGTCATGCTTTAATGTCTGGTACTTTTTTCTTCATAGAAATGCCTTGGAGTGAAGCAGTGTCCATTGCAAAGAGACACATTATGTTGTATATGTATATAGGTAAGTGTTATTAATTTGTTTATTGTGACATTAATGATATCAAGATTATTTTCAAAGTAACAAAATATATACTTTTTTTCAAACCTTCTAGTCATTGTTACTGTAGTACAATGTGATGATTTTTCTTTAACTTTTTGTGGACTGAACAAAAATTTTTCCCATCATGATCAGCTGTTAATAGACAAGTAGTTTGATCCTGAAATCAACAAAACTCTTGATTTTGCTTTTTTCTTGGGACAATACTTAACAGTGTACCCCAGGCTCCTTAAGTGTAATTATAGTGTAATGATTAATACCTTTGTAGTGTAATAATCTTGTTTGCCTTCTGCCTTCTGCAGAGTTTGGATTAGTGTCCCTGTTGTTTCTCTGTGTCCTGTTATACTTCCCTGCAAAGCCTCCAAAGCCACCCAGCTTTTCTGCAGCAAAGAAGAAGGTTGATTACATAGAAGGCGCAAAGAGGCTTATGAAGTAATGTACACAGTCAACATATATTATTGTTATCATATTTTACACCACCTCTGCATCATTCCTGTCATTCCCCACCCATTTTTCCCAATTTCTGCCACCTTTCTTCAATCCATTCCTGCCTCCTTTCTCCCTTTTCCTGCTCTTTTTCTGGCAGTTTCTGCTCTGCTTTTTCCACTTCCTGGACCATTCTTTCAGTTTCTTCCTATTTCTCCCAGTTCTTGCACCCTTTCCCTTTATACAGGTCCTTTTCCTCTTTTCCAAATTTGACCTGCTCCTTTTCTTCCACCTCTTGCTGCCCCTGTCTCTCAGTTCCTTGTCCTTTTTTCCCAGTTCATATTTCCCATTTTCCAGCTCTTTTCCCTTTCCCCTTTTATCTGTCCTATCTGTTCCACTTTTATTTACTTTCCAGTTTCTTCTCTTATTTGTCCAGCTCACGTCCTTTCTTTTATGCAGGCCATGCCTCCTTTTCTCTGTTCCTATCTCCTTTGCCCACTTCCCATTCCCATTACTCCATTTTCTCAGTTCTTACCATCCATCTCTTTTTCCAAATTCCCTTGCCCTTCCATCCAGTTCCAGTTGGTGTTCTGTTAGTTCTCTCTTTGTAGTTGATGATACCAGCATTTTTTTTTACTGGGATGAAATAATGAGGGTAGTTAAACCACTGGGTCATTGTTGATCAAAATTACTCAAATTATAAAAAAAGGATTTTTGTTTTTACTATAACAGAAACTGGCAGTTCTGGAATTTGAATGTACTCTATGGGTCCACAACAGGTAATGAACTTGCATACAGTTACTGCATTTGCTCGAATAGCCACCAAATCTTAAATAAGCTTCACCTTGAAAGTTTAAAATTTACACTGAAGGATTTGTATGGAGAACTACTCAACCACAACTGGATGGCAAGAGTTGATTTTCCAAAACAAATCCTTCAAATTTTTGGCAGCCATTATAATTGCTTATTTTGAGAATCATATATGATTGAAAATTTATAGGTTATGTTATTCAAATATGCTTTTTAGAAAGCAGTTTTTCACTGAAAGAGGAATGGTTTTCTTGTTTACGGAAAGTCGATCACATGACTAACTTTTGACCAACTGCAAAGGCCTATTCAGATTCATCCTAACTTTCGTCCTTGATGGTTCTTTTTTTCTGTTATTGTTCATTGCCTTCATTAGCTTAGTGTACAATGTAAAAATCTTAAATTGTTGTCATTTTGAAATCATTTTTGTGTTTTACGGTAGGTGTTTTCAGTGGATGGGGCGGAGTTCTGGCTGTAAACCTCCTGTCATTTAACTTGAAGCAAGTATGATACAAATAATTGTTCTCTATCTTCTATGAATAAACTTCCAGGCAATGTAGTGATGCAGTTAAAAAATACTTACGGTGATCAATGACAGCCAATCAAATCTCTCTTACTGAGCCAACGATATAAACTATCTTATATCGAGTGATTGATGTTAGCAGCGTCTGAACAGATCTGAGCAAGTTATTTCTTCCAGTCCATATATATTCAATTTATGGTTAATTGTAGACGCTTAAATGTGCCTATTTAGCGTCATTGCACCCAGCACGTGGTAGAACCGTGGTAGGATTTACCACGCCTGGTTGCCCTTCGTAATCTTTCCGAAATATGGCAATGTTGTAGAAAGGGAGAAAACAATAGTGAATAGATTACGGAGGGCAACCAAGCGCGGTAAATTTGCGCGTGCTGCATGGGAATTTGATGTTGTGCTAAACTCGAGACAGTAGGAAATCCCAAAGCAAAGAATTATCCAAATCTATCACATCGCTTCTTTATTTACTAATTTTGCGCCTACGTGAGGCACCTTAAAATGTTTCAATGGACTCTAAAATGGGGCATCTTATAGTACAATGATCAACTGCAGCACTGAAAGTTTTTACAGAAAATGTATCGTCGAATTTTCGTTTAATCGCTGTTTTCGTGAAAGAAGCCTTAGAAATTACAAGAAGAGCTCAGCATTACGTTTTACCCAGATTCACATGTTTTCATGTTTTTCGAAATGGCTGAAGTCTTCTTGCGTTTAGCTGATTGTAGAGTGTATAAGGGTAAGTTGCAAAACGAATGAGCGATAAAACCTTTCCGGAAACATACAAAAAGTAGCAAATTTGTCTGCATAAAGTCGAGTCTTCAGTTCATGCATAATTTATACCCTTTTTGTAGAAACTGCAAGATATCTCGAAATTCCTCTAATAGATTTCTGTGAAACTTCACATAACGGAAAACAAGCACCCAAAGTATGCGCAGCGTCAATCACTTCCAAAGTAAATAATATCATAATAAGTTTAGTCTTTTTACCATAAAGATAAATTTGTTAAGTGTAAGAGATTAAAAGATGGAAGGTGTCGCTAAGAAATTATTGTATCAAGCCACCTTAAGTCCCGTTTTCAAGGGCACGTTTTTCAATAGGAAAACTAGCCAAGCAGTACACCAAGTAATGAGCAAAAAGTGCGTGAATTTTATGAACCAAACACGGAGTAAGAGATACATTAATTTGACTGAAATATTTCTTATTTAAGCTCAGTTCAAATCGGTGCGGCACCTTATGATAATGTTTAAAACGATCATTTCTTGTGGAGTACTTCCTGGTTTATTGCACCAACTACATCAGTAATTTTATGTTATATAGTGCGCCTACTGTTTATTTGTTATTTATTTCACTCTTTATGTGTTCAGGATACGGCAGGATGGATTGGTTTCTATGCCAATATATCAGGCTGTATTTTTGGATTTGTCATGGCTAGGTAATGAAGTGCACAAGTAGTACCCAGGGGGTAGAGGGTGGGGTATTGATGATGTTATATAGATTACTTTTGTTCTGAGGGAGGGGGGGTTAATGTTGTACGGTTTATTTTGATCCTTATGGCATTGATCACAGGCACCCTAAGCTGACGAGTGAATATCACTGTTGAATTTCATAACGTAACTATATAAGTTGTACGGTATTTATTGTGCGTTGATGTCATGTTTTTAGTTCGTTTCACAGTGATTCTAACCCGTTTTTATCCTGCCGTTGTCCTCTTTATGTATCGTTTACTATTATGCTATGTAAACTGTGGATCTGGAATCAAATGGCGACGTCCCAGCTTACTGTTAATATGGTTAAACATGTACAGAGGACACTTGTGTTGTCTTTCCCTGCTAGAAGAGGCGACTTTTCCCTGTTATTTGGTGGGCCGAATACCAGGAAAGTGTTGTCTTCCATCATCCACAACATTTAATAGGCCATTTCCGAGTTCCCCCAGGCCTCTGTATCAAAACGAGGGTAGGTGCTCAGCCTTTGATATGGAAATGATTTTTCATTCTCATGCAAATAAAACTCATTTTCACAAGAAAGGTCGTGCACCTAGCCTCATTTTGAAAGTGAGGGTTTTTGGAACTCGGAAGTAGCCTATTCATTTGTTAGCCCTAAACCGAGGGTAAATTGTGTCTTCCTGACTAATATTAGTGCACGGACGTTTTATCTCCTATTTAGATACTTGAAGGTCTGATTGGATATGGCTTCGTTTAAACTGCAGTATAGATCATAATAGAGCCGGTTGTGAGACGTCACGCATAACCAATTTTAATTTGATTCATTGTTAGGTTTGCTGATGTATTTACAGGACACATGAAGTTGTTTCTCATTTTTCTTTTCGTGGGTTCTACTGGCTCCTTTCTCTGGTTTTCTCTGCTCTGTCAAGGCCTTATTCCGTTTGGAATAGGTAAGTTTTCACTACATCTGTTTGAACACCCCGTTTGGTTGTGTTTGCACGGATCGCGTCTTTTTTAGACGTAATCGGAAACTTATTAAGGAGCTTAATATGCAAAAAGGACTGCGACGGCTAGGAAAACGTCACTTAAAAAAAGTGTTCGCGCTGCTTTAAACTTTATCGCGCTTACTCCAACTCGTTCATTTCGTCAAATTTTGGAGAATATCTCGGGAGTTGAATTCTAAAGAAAAAGAGGGTCGTTTTTTAGTGTTCACGTCCTTCAAAAAACGTGAAATTAATGAGGCAGTTTCACGTCGTAGTCGTACAACGACTACAAAGACTGAATGTTCAAAAAAGCGTAATGCACGCGCAAAGTTAGGAAATAGAGCAATTTGATTGGTTTATTGAACGGATACAAACGCGCGTGGCGTTTGGTCGGTTAAGCGAACGCTCTGGTGAAAAAACGTCAAGCCCGAGAACTTTCTAGAAATCAAGCGATAGTTCGCTTTGACGTCATACTGCAACACCATCGGCCAATCGAACAATGTCTTCTCCATATTACGGTTTTCTCTGGCGGGAAAACGAAGAGTCCATGTTTTCATCTTCTCATCCATTGGCTGATAAAACAAATAACGAACACTTACGGAAACCATTTTTCAAGGTCGAAAATCACTCTATTGTTTTGCTTTTAAACCTATTGCTTTTTTTGCCGTTCTAATTGTTGTCGCCGGCGTCGTTGCTTAAGCTCCCCAATATTTCAAACTTTCCTCATACTTTATTCGTGTTTTTTTTTTCTTTTCCACCTTCAGTTTGGCTTTACATCTCAGCTGTTCTTGGTGGCTGTTTTATCAATGGCTCTATCCCTCTGTTTTATGAACTTACAATTGAGACAACTTATCCCATCGCTGAGGGAATTCCTATGGCTGTAGTTACCACTTCAAACCATGTGGCCTGCTTGCTTTTTCTAGCAGCTCTTATGATTCCTGGTATAGGTAAGTCAGATGGAAAGCTTGCTCCTACTTATTCTCTTTTGGTTACCAAGGGAAACATTTGCAAAGAAACAGTATTGAAATTGTGAAATTGATAATTATACAGTTTCAGTGATTTCAATCAATGTTGTGCCAGGAATTTCACGCCACAAAGAGTAGATTCGGGAGGCTCTGAAAAAACCGTGGTTTCCACAAATGGGGATCATCCCATTGTATTCCGCGAATCAAAAACGTTTATTCCATTTTATCATAATCCGAATAAAAAATTATGTGGATTTTTTAACCCTCCAACCTGCTCTTCGAGCAGTCCGTAAGGACCTGTTTGTATGAAGTGAAGTTGGCCCTATGCCCTATAAAGACGGTCACCCTTCCAGCCAAGTCAACTTAATCGTGCGTTTATATGAGAAAAAACGTTGTCCCTTTGCTCGATAGCTCAAGCCAACAGCCAGCGCTCGTGCATGCTCTGATCGACACGTTTTGAATAGGAAATGAAAAGGTTGCTCATGATCATGGGTTGGTTAAGCTCGGCTGAAAAAACTTCATGCCCGAAGAACTTTCTAGAAATCAATCGATACTTGGCTTTGACGTCATACTGCAACACGATTGGCCAATCGAACAATGCCTTCTCCATATGAGGCGGGTTTTCTTTGGCGGGAAAACGAAGAGTCTATGTTTTGATCTTTTCATCCATTGGCTGATAAAACAAATAACGACCACTTTAATACCGAAACCATTTTTCAAGGTCATACGAAAATCGCTCAAAACGGGGCCTAATTTTTGAGGTTTTATTTCGTATCCAGGTACCATGTGGATGAATTGGTGTATGGTGGGCATATGCGCTGGATGTATTCCACTGTTACTGCTGTTTAAAGAGAAATACTCGCGCTTGCAGTTAGATGCAGCTAACAAGAAAGCCAAACGAATCTCTGTTCAGGTCTCCCAAGACGAAGAAACCCCGCTGGTATCTTCCGTTAATAAAGGACAGTACGGTGGGGATGATAATGTCTTCAAAAATAGGGCTACTTCAATTACTTCGGAAGTTTAAATCGTTGTTGTTATACTGTTTTTTTTTTCACATCGAAAAGGACTAAATTTTTTAAAAAATGAAAATTTGACATTTTATCATAAACTGTACTAGTACTACCATGAAGGTAGCAATAACCAGCTTTCTCTTGAGTGGTAATAATCAATACCACGGAAAAAGGAACTGCTCGATAACGTCATATTAATGGTCCAATTTTAGGATTTCGCCCACTAATTCAAAAGGTGGAACCACCTTGCTCATTATAAAACACAATACCACAGGAAACTACTACTCAGTAGCTTTCATTTAAGTAGTCACACTATATGATTTCAACCACAGACTCAAATTTAGAACCACCTTGTACAGCTTACAATACAGTTCCACATGCCTTGAATCGAACTCCTACTTAAAACTTAATTAAGAATATACTATTCTGAAGTCGATGTATACTCTTGGTTGCCAACCACGGTACAAGGTGGCCATGGTGGTGAATACAATTAAATTTTTTTCGAAGAATTTTCAAGAAAGTGAATTTAAGTTCCCCGTGGAGAAAAATAGTTTGGTTTTTAACCATCAACATGGCTATCATGGCGTCGCGTGCAACCAGCACGAATCGGAAATCTGGAAGGTTTACTGGGTAAAAACCGTATTTTAATCCTGTTTATATGAAGCATTATGTTGGTGAACAATAATAATTGGCGAACAAAGGTAATTATAAACTGAAATAAAATAATAAGAATGTTTTGTAATAAATAAGAAGCAACTGCCGGTTAGCCGCTTATAAAGCATATGCATAATAATCAACGCAATATATTTAAATTAAGCATCCTATTTAATTGACCCTTTTTAATGTTCAAAGCAATATTTTTTCTTCCCAAATTTAAAATAAATCTGAGTTTTTTAATAAAGACGTTATACTCAAAATAGTTAATGTTTCTCTCTTTAATTTTGGACCCTGGTTTAACGCTTTATTCCGCGATGCTAAAAGATCAACACAAGTTTCCCCCGGGGGGGGGTACTTCAGGAATTTTTGGGTGGAGTCAAGTTAATTTTGCTACCCTATACCAGATTAAACTCTCAAAATCCCCCCACCCCCGCCTATCCCAGAGTAGCTGTTTTCCAGAGACTACTGAGGTCACCAACACGGTCCAGCGAAAACAAAACCGACTTGATTTTTTCACATTTTTGAGTGGCAATCCCCGGTTTCCCTAGTCTAGACTAAAATCGTCAACCAGCTGATCAGTTTCGTGGAAAATGACACCCTATTCTAGACCTAAACTCTCTGATTTATATACTCGCGAGGAAGGGTACTCTCCCTCGCTCCGCGCTCCTCATTCTTTTTGTGTATTGCGCCTACAATTCCTCAGACTGTCATCCTACGGCGCTTCGCGGTCTAACAGCTCTCTTCGTCGCTTTACGTTTTCTGCGGTGAATCAGGTGAGGACGACTTGCAGCAAGTCTAATTATGCCTCAACATCTCCCAACAAAGACATTTTTGATCGTGTGGGAGTTTCATGCATGAAATCATGTGAAATGCTAAGAGGTCTATTCTAGACCTTAACTCTCTGATTTATATACTCGCGAGGAAGGGTACTCTCCCTCGCTCCGCGCTCCTCATTCTTTTTGTGTATTGCGCCTACAATTCCTCAGACTGTCATCCTACGGCGCTTCGCTGTCTAACAGCTCTCTTCGTCGCTTTACGTTTTCTGCGGTGAATCAGGTGAGGACGACTTGCAGCAAGTCTAACTATGCCTCAACATCTCCCAACAAAGACATTTTTGATCGTGTGGGAGTTTCATGCATGAAATCATGTGAAATGCTAAGAGGCCGCACTCAGATCAGAAAAGACAAGGAACTGAGACCATATTGACGTCCGATTGTCTAATTTTTACGGTCTGGAAGGCATTGTTTAAAATAGAAGCATTTTTAATTTGTAAAACAGATTGACCTCAAACTGCGTGAAATAATTCCATGAATACATGTAGTGAAAAGAAATAAGTATTCAGATATCCAAACTCTGTATTCTTAAATGTATGCTTTTAGAACTACATTACCTAAAGACCCATTATGAAATGATTCCTTGAATGAGCTATTTGTCGGTGAAAGGCGTATGAAAGTTTGTACCTGACGTTTAAATAATACTTCACTTGCTTGTTCGAAATGAGCCTGATGGAAACTGTCCAAAATGTCGACTTTTTTCACTGGTCAAGATACCGATCTTTAGACAGTGGTTGCTGACAATTTAAGGCTAAAATTAGGGAGTTACTGGTAGTAGTTATTCTCCCCACTTCTCTTTTGTTAAAAAGGTGTCATAGTAACAGGAGAAATGAGCCTTTGATCTGTGGCGCTTTGTTTACTACGTGACCTTTCCTGGTGGGGCAGGACAATAGAGTGCATCCGGTTAAGATATAATTACACGTTAATAACCCGTAAAAATAACCCATAAATACCACTTGGTTTTATTCCGGCGAGTAAATGATAGTTACTCACGGAATTAAACTTCTTTTCCACGATCACAGACTTTGCATGTCATGATTCACGCGAAATGACTACGACCTTCAGGTTGATCAACTGTTCGAATCGCGAGTGTTCTCTTTGTGGGGATACACGATTCGAACTCAAATGTCTCCCGTGCTCACATAATATTTGCACAGAATGTCTTCAAAGCACGCGACGTATGAAAAGCTTAAATACATCCGTGTATTGTCCAATAGATGAACACAAGTTTCATCTCGCAAATAATGGAATTGATAGTCTACCAACGAAGGGACACTTGATCGAAGTAACAAGAAACGGAAGACACCAGAACTTCGATCGACCGTCCATTGAATTTTCAACTGATCTCAGCGAGATGTCTGAAATGTACGAGTTGTTGACATATACCCAGGAGTATCGTAATGACCTGGCGGCATCTATCAGGGACATGGAGCACGGGATTGATGCGTCATTGTCGGTCCAGGAGGAACGAGTTAAAGAAGAAATCCGCAGCACAGCTGACGCACTCGTGGACGCTGTTCGCGCTAAGGAAAAGGAGCTCTATCAAGACGTGGATCGATTAATCGCGTCGGAAAAGCGAGATCGCTATCAAGAAATAGCAGATTTTTCACTACAGGCACACCACGTTATTCAAGTTGTTGAAATGAATCATGGAAAGTTTAAACCAGGCAGGAGGGACGAGTTATTGGCGAATAAAGTACAAGCACAGTTACTTGCGGTGAAACAGCGAAAGAGTTCATTGATGGAGGATCAGGAAAACCGTCTGTACGAGATGTCTTTCGTGGCGAACAATGGGTGCTTTCAAGAGCCGCTCGGAAGGGTCAAGTGCGACATAGATATAAAAGAAGCGAGGGATGATAAGAATGATGGCGCCAAATGTACTAATGAAGATGGGCCCATAGAGAAGCGTCGACTGTCTTCTCAAAGAGACTCAAAGAGAAAGCCCGGTCAAGTTCTTAGTGTTATGATTCCACCAAGCCCACTGTCAGAAAAATTTCTCCCTTGGGCCTTATCAGTCAGCGAGAGCGGGCACATAGCTGTTGTTGACCGAGGAAATAACTGCATTCATATTTTTGACCCCATGGGAGATTTTTTGCGTCACGTTGCCAAGCCTTACGGCAACAAGTTGCTCGAAGTGTATGGCGTGACTTTTATGTCGCGTAACACTTTCGCTGTCTCTGAATACTCTCCTACGACCGGAAGCGGTTGTCTTATTGAGATGGGGATTTCCGGAGATCATTTGCGCGTGATTGCTAATCTCAAAGGACCAGCGCACGTGACTTCATTTACTTCTTTTTCAAGTTCATGTAAGAACGTCATCGCAGTTTACTACACTAACAGTATGGAGGCTCCTGACGTGTTTAGTGCGAGAGATGAACGAAAAATCGAGTTACCTGTTGGAAAATGTTCGCGGACGGGACTGAACCATGCTCAAAAAGGAGTGCATCTCAAGGATAAATTCATCTTTTCAGACAGCAACAAAGTGGCAAACCAAGGTTGCGTGAAAGTCTTCGATTCAGACTGTCAGTTTGTCACCAGTTTCGGAGAACAGCCACTTTGGAACGAGAAGAGCCTGGGTCATCCGCTACGTATTGCCGCTGACCCATTGAATTGCTTGATCCTGGTATATCAACAGTTTTCCAACAGAATGAGGGTTTATGACGTCACTGGCGCATGCGTATCGGAATTCCCCACGACATCCGGGCTACTTGATTTTACTGTTGCCCCGGATGGCAGTCTCGTCGCTACTTGTAGCAAAAACAGTGAATTCCCCAACTCGGTTGTAACATTGTCATATATGTAGGACCGTGAATTATTGAGATCTGGTTGGTTGAGTTGTTTAAAAACAGACCAGAACAAAATTTCGAAAATGCTTTAATGTAGGTTTGTAGAAAACTGATCTTTAAGTTGATTATTTAACACTTGGAGAGATTACTTTATTAGCCCGGATGGAAGGCGCGTTAGAAAATTAATATTGGGCCCAAGATAAACGATGGGCTTGAGAGACGAGGATGACATGAACGTACTACCTGTTTCCCTCGCGACCAGTTCTTATTTGCGCCCTAACTTTCTCATGCGCCTCCTATAGCGGCTAATTTTGTATAAGAAGCAGCTAATAGAAGACAGATAACAGAGATGAATTCTGGAGGAGAGAATGGAAGGGCGATCCTTATAGTTGGCAAGCCTCAAATTCAATTTATGAGGGGTGCATGTCAAGGACAATTCAAACGGTATTTTTAATTTCAAAGAGGATAGTCCCTGATATCAGTCAGTATAGTACACCCCGTTCAAAAAGCCTGCATCTGGCCTATAGCTTGACGTAGAGCAATGTTTTTGGTAGCTTATCGTAGGATTATTGGCTCCTCAGTCTGTTATGCAGGTTGTTTAAGAATCTTGTACCAGGGAGAAAACTATAACCTAAAGGAGGATATTGCGTATAAATTGACTTCTCTTACCTTAAAGATGTAAAGGAAAAACAAATGATTGTTAATTAGTTGGTGCTATTTCTATAATAACTGCCTATGAAATAAAGATTGAATAAGTACAGGTTTATATCCTGCTCAAGATAAACGAATTTCAGTACATGTAGCTAGGATCATATTAGCCGTCAATTTTTTATGTTCTGCCTTTTCTTTTAAAAGTGTTAACTGGAAGGATCCAAATTATCTCAAATAAGGTTAACGGAATAGGCCGAAGAAACTTTACTTGTAGAAAGGGGGGGGGGGGGGGGTGGAGATCAACATAACCATCCTACCATTAAACACAAGAATACCCGGTCACTGACTAGTACTGTTGGTATTAACTTAATCGGGTACCATAGCAACAATTTTGAAAACTCAAGTTGGCTCTGATGATATAACGAATGCTTAAGGTTTTCGGTCATTTTAGGCGCGTAGGCTTTTTAGCTGAAGTCATCTAAGCATCTGTGGACCTTCGCGGGGGAAGGAACGCGCGACAAACCCCCTAAGAAAGTTTGGGTGGGAGGCTAGGCCATTTACCGTCCTGGCGTTTCGTCGACACAGTTTCCCGCGCCGCGGTATTCATTGAGAACTACCAGGGTACATTGCAGCCTCAGTTGTACGTCCTAACGTTGATATCGCATTCGGATGGTCTTTCACTTCATAAAAAGACACTGAGCTTCTAGTTAGGCTCAGCGTTGCCTAGTCCCTTCGCCTCATTATTCTGCGCGGCAAATGCGTTTCGGGTCACGTGGTCCGAGTTGGCCTTCGATACGTCACCGAAGTGAATCGAGTGAGAAGGCCTGGGAAATCGCCGTACAGGGACTTGGCAAAGCTCAGCGCATTATTTTGAAAAGGTTTGCTTGTAATCAAGTTTCTCTTTGTTTTTGATTTAGTTTTTTGTTTTTTGTTTTTTTTTTCATACTAACGGTGGCAGCGTGGACGAGTGGTTAGAGAGCTGGACTTACAATCCGGAAGCCCCGAATTCAAGTCCAGCCCTAGCCGACAGCTGGATTGGTTCTCGGTAGTCGGCCCCGAGTTCAAATCCTCGGCCACGCTTGTAAATAGCCAGCTGGTCCGCTTCCGGCTAGTTGGGATGTTTATTTGATTTGTTTGCTTCAGTTATTTGTTCCGTCCCAGTAGCCTTTGAACTATAAATACTTCTGAGGGTAAATAAAGGAACTACAGGTAGTAATTGAAACTTAGGGGCCGACCATTTAACTCTTGAATTGGGGGAGTGGGTGATTTCTGGTCATCAAGAATGTTTTTTTTTAGCAATCTGGTGTGCAGGATACTTTTTTCCCTTTTTTTTCCCATAAGCTTTCTATTACATTTGTGCCGCATGCAATTTTTTTCTTCCGACAAGCGCTTGCAGGAAATGTTTTTTTTCAAAATCACCTTCCCCCTGCCCCCCACTCAAGGGTTAAATGATCGGCCCCTTAGGAGAGTGAATCCGACAGTGATTTCACTGGACCATTAACGTGATATTTGTCCAAACAAGGCTAAACCAGAGAAAAAGCCCCTGAAAAACCTGCAGGGCGGCTAAAAGTGCGTGCTCTACAGGGAAAAGTTTCATGAGAGATGGCAGCCAGTAGGAATGCAACCTTCGGGCGCAATTATTATTATCATAGTGAAGGGCGTGGCGCGTCATCGTCAGCAAGGAGACCCATTTTTACCGCAAATGTTTTATCTGCCGGCAGATTCAAAACTCGCTGTAAACTTTGATCTTTCGTCGCCTTCGTTGTTTTTGGCGGTGATGTTTTCTTGGTTTGTTGGTGTGTTTATCTGTTTGTTTTTTGTGTCTAGGCAACAAATCCGTTTGGCAGGCTAATTTAGGTGAACAAAAATATTGCAACATCAAGAGGATTATCTACTTAATAATTATGTAGATATTCTCCAGTGTTTTAATAGCAAACATTACTGACATGGTGAAGCTCGTGGAAGCTAATTAATTTCTATTACTAGCTGCTGAACCCAGGTTGTAAGTCACCAACATCGATGTCCTTGTCCAATTTAACAATTTCATACTAATTCCCCTCAAAATTCCTACAACACAAATAACCATGATGTCTTCTGGTTTTGCGTCAGCCATTTTCTTTGTGTGGTTTCACTTCATCCCGTAATGAGATTTTCAAAATGTAGGGCAAGAGTTCCTTGCAATTGCTTGGATTATACTAATATAAGGTTGATTTGGTACGAAGGAGAACCAAATTTGCTTTCACCGCTCTTGTTCCAACCGCAATCGAACTTGAAGAACTGAGTGCTGTCGGTGAGTGAAAAATGCTGCATCTTAAAAGCATGGTATGTAAAACATACTCCCATTAATAAGATGTCAAGTTTAGCTCAGTTCGCACTATTTCGTGTTTCCTTTTTCATCTTTTTTGCAAAAACCGATGTCCTACAACAACTTCTTTTATTGTGAACTGAAAATTCAGAACAAGACCAAAAAATGAAGCCCGCGGTATCTTAAGCTTAAGTTACTGCAAAACGATAGAGAGTAAATCATACAGTAAGTGAAATTCTCTTTTCATTTATTAGGCAAGCAAAGGAGGGCAATCAAGTAAATCGAATACAGGCGATTCTTGGCCAAGAAAGGAGGAGTTGTGGCTTATCGATTCGCAAACTGAGAGGTCGCCGATGGGGACACACAAATTCATGGTGAGTTGAAAAACCAGGTAAAACTAACACAAAGTTAAAACGGGAGCCTGTTATGTTTTTACAAATTTCACTGTTTTTGGCACTTCACGTATTACTGCTATTTCAATTACTATCCCATTATTTAAAAAATACATGCTAGACCAAGAGCCACCAGACTAACCTTACTATCCCCTTAGTATCTTGAAATTGCCGAGGGAAAGGTAAATATTTTGAAGACGGGTGCCTTACAAAGAACGAGGAAAGCGTGTTTTAAGTTGGATTGAATATTTTGAATGGATAAGAAAATATAATTGTTGGATTCGATTTGGTATGAATTGGTTCTACAGATCGTGGAGGTGTAAAACCCTCCTCGATCTGCATAATTTTCTTCATTTTCATACTCAGCCTCGTCCAGTTGTTAATTATTGACTTGATGGCTCGCTCTAAATACTTTTGATGACCAGGCTCCCAAAATAGAGGTAACCAGAAACCTGGATGCTGGTCATGTATTTTGGAGAGGGGTTTTCGAAACCAGCACGTATCTGATCATGAATTTCAGACGATTACTTCAGTCGTTTTTACTCGAGAGTAGAAAACGACTCGAAGTAGTCGTCTGTGAAACAGGCTAGACTCCTGGGCCCAGTTGTTCGAAAGATGGATTACGCTATCCACGTGAATAAATCTCTATTCAGAGGATAACACAGTAAGTTGGTTTCCTTAATATTTATTCGCTGGACCGTGAATTAACGCTATCTAACGTTTGAGCGAGACGGTGTGACAGTTAATTTTCTTTTGTACAGTGAGGCACACTGAGCAAACAATTTGCTGTTTATTAATTAGAGGGCGATTTCCACTCTTTCTACGACTGATTTAGTGATTTAAGGTTCTTAAAAGGAGGCGACTCAGAATTCGAAACCACGTATAAAAAAGAAGACTTTCACTTTTTGTTAGTTTTGAATCGTTTTTCTGTTACTGATGAATAAAATTTTGAGTTCGTTTGCCTTAGAGTTTGAGAGGTTTGCATAGCAGAGAGGAGCTCCCGCAGGGAATGCATTTACGAAAACGAGTAAGTAAAATCCCTCAGGCTCTCAGCTTCCCTTCCTTTTTAATGTGATAAACTGTCGAAATACTGTCGATAAATTAGTCTCGTATCCTTCGCATTGTTTAGTGTTCATTTCTTAGCTTGTAGCTTGCATACTAGACTTGCCTACAAGTCGAGCTCATTTTTTTTCCCAAGTGCAAAGCGCGAGCTGTACATTTTTAATGTTTTTGAGGCAAAAAGCGAGCGAGAGAGAGGGAGCTCTCCGGCCAACTACCGGAACCGGAAATGAGAAGCCAAGGACTTTAACTTCAGAAAGTCCACTTGCATGCTGGCGTCCGGTCTCTGGTTTAAGCACAGAGAAATTGGAAATACCTGCAAGCAGGCTTTCTTTGCCTTGAGAAATTAGAAAGTCCGCCGTTATGATACGAAAACTCGACATATATTAAGTCAAGTCAAGTCAAGTCAACGTTATTTAGGCAAGGTAGCCAGATTAGCCATTGGCTGGTATCAAAAGGGGCCCTGAGAAGTACTGATAGAAACGATTGCAGCGCAAGAGTGGTGCCTTAAAGCCAAAAAAAAATACGTTTCTGTTTTTGGTGCCTTACCGAAGCGCATTTCTTTTCATCTCATGCAGGCTCATCTCAAAAGTGAAATTATCTACAACTGGGAGAAGAATATGAATCATGGCAGTGACAAGCCAACATTGAGAAAGAAAGAAAACAAGAAGGCCACTTCTTTTTTGTCCTGGATTGGATTTCGGGACAAAAAACTGGAATGGGTGAGAAAACCAAAAACGCCTGCATTTCCCTGCTGTAACTGATTTGGTCAACACCGAACCAATGTGACCCAAGTAAAAAACGATCCCCTTTAAATTAGATTATAGACCGCATCGCGTCCACAAAATTGGTGAGAACGTCTCTATGACTTTAAATAAGTCGAAGCTTGAAGAGTGAAACATTTATTTGTTTGGCCTGTTATAAATTTACATCGTGTTGAAATGAGTAGTGAGTGTTTTCACCTACATTTCTTCTTTCTTCTTCTTCAAGCCTTCTTCCACTTTTACCATATCATTTCTTTTTTAGACAAAAGAAACAAGGGATAAAACATTTACTTCTGCCTTCGTTATTCCAACCATCATCATCACTAAAGCAGTTTCTGAAATCGACGTATGGTAAGTCTTGCAAATAGGACTAGATTGAGCAAGAACTAGAAACGGCCCGGGTTTTTAGTTGAGTTGGTGAGAGGAATCCTTGTGATTGCTCTGGCTTTACAGTCTAGAAAATGAGAGTCATATGGAAAACCAATTCTAATCTTGACTGCGCACGCCTCCGCGGATTTTTCCTGGCTGGAAGACGAGATCATTTTATATAAACAATTTCAAAACTGCTTACTGCTTATATACTGCCACGGAGAAAATCCCCTCAAAATCATCCAGGCATGCATTACAACGAAAAATAGAAAAAACAATGTCTTCTCATTTCTCTCGTGCTTATTTTTCTCGCGTTAAAGTTGACGAGGTTTTGCCCCGCGAATCGTGGTTACAAACTCATTACATGTCCAAAGAGCGTTGCGATCTGTGAAAAACCAAATTTAATTAGGAAATGATTGAAGTCTGATTGAGGAAGAACTCTTGGTTTCTACATAATCTTGACGATCACTAACCGTTTATTTGGGCTATTCTAGCTTTCATATGGAAACATTAGACTAAAACAAACAGAAGTCTACCGGTCCCCCCATTTTCTTTATTGACCGTCCTTTTTGGCTTGTTTGTTTCAGATATGTATCAGTGGTCAAATAAAGTTAAAGTAAGCAAAGAATGTACTTGCTAATTTAATAACAGACAAATGCATACTCCCATAAAATATAAAATATGAAAAATTAAACTTCAGAAAACCGTGGGGAATTTATAAGATAAGCTTCGAAAATTGTATATACATGGATGGAACAACGTTCATCTAGAAAACAGTGGGTGGGAGCCCCTGGTCCTTGACATCCGTAAAATAAATGTGCACGTGAATATGACAAACGTCATACTTTAAAATAAAAGGTTGGGATCAGTATACATGACGCACAAGGATCGAAGACTAGGCAACATGACAACAAGCATATTAAGTCAAACTTTTATTCAAGTGTCAAGCCATGTACAAAATAAAACCAAATAAAAACAAGAAAAGAAGTCAAGCCAGTTTAAGTTTTTCAGTACTCCTCTCCTTCCTCTTCGCCTTCGGCGTCCACTGAATCCACACCCACTTCTTCATAGTCTTTCTCAAGGGCGGCCAGATCTTCACGAGCTTCGGAAAACTCTCCTTCCTCCATGCCCTCACCCACATACCAATGGACAAAAGCGCGCTTGGCGTACATCAGATCAAACTTGTGATCAAGGCGGGCCCAGGCCTCGGCAATAGCTGTTGTGTTACTCAACATGCATACTGCACGTTGAACTTTGGCGAGGTCGCCGCCTGGAACAACTGTCGGTGGCTGGTAGTTGATGCCAACCTGAAAATAAAAACCACCATATTTACTGCTATAAAGCCATAGGAAATCAGACGAGAATCAGTAAAAAGTCAAGATCTCCGATCTCCACTGAAAAATACTTGTAGCATAACATCACAGAAGCGGAAATGAACGTTTCGGGGATAATGACACTAAATTATTAATTATTTTCTTTATTTATAGACCGCATCGACCGTGCACCACATTCATACTCTAAGAATGAGAAAGAAGTTCCTATTTTCAAAGAAATCGACCTTTCTTACAAATCACATAGTAACAGACAAAAATAAATAAATTAATTAATTAATACTAACGCGCTTCTGCCCTATAAGTTTCAAAACATTAAAAAAAGAAGAAGGATGAATGTTACTTGTGACCTTACGTAAGTTCACGCAGAAAAAGTTATTTTCTTTCTGTTGCACATGAAAGGAGAGAATTCTGTCTGAAAAATTAATTAAAATAGGTGGGAGCAGAAAAAGCTTTTAAGCCAAACTGACCTTAAATCCAGTTGGGCACCAGTCTACAAACTGAATGGTCCTCTTAGTCTTGATGGTAGCAATGGCAGCGTTGACATCCTTGGGTACAACATCACCTCGATACAGTAGACAGCAAGCCATATACTTGCCATGACGAGGGTCACACTTCACCATCTGATTGGCAGGCTCAAAACAGGCATTAGTGATCTCAGCCACACTGAGCTGCTCATGGTAAGCCTTCTCAGCAGAGATGACAGGTGCGTATGTAGCCAATGGGAAGTGAATGCGTGGATAAGGCACCAAGTTGGTCTAGAAAGACAGAATATAATGTCACATATTGATCCACCCCTCTTAACAAAGTTACAGATAGAGATAGGGAAGGGGAGAAGTCTAGTCTCAAAAGATGAACTCTGTGCCACATACAATGTCCTCAATGTCGCTTTAGCTAATGGCAGTGAAAATTACTTCTTAGAATACCCTTGTGAGAGCAAACTCGCTTCACATCACCACGTTTTTGTCAAAGCTTTTAAGGGGACCAGGCAACCCGTAAGAAATTCATCGCTAGTAAAATTTTTCTTGGCTTTAAGACAATTCTACCGTGAATGTGAAAGCTCTACATATCTTGAACTAGTATGTGCACGCAGATTGAACCAGAATATACCTGGAACTCAGTTAAATCAACATTCAGGGCACCATCAAAACGAAGGGATGCTGTGATGGAAGACACAATCTGCCCAATCAGACGGTTCAGGTTAGTATAGGTTGGCCTCTCAATGTCCAAGTTTCTGCGACAGATGTCATAGATGGCTTCATTATCCACCATGAATGCACAGTCTGAGTGCTCAAGTGTGGTGTGAGTTGTTAAGATAGAATTGTAGGGCTCAACGACAGCAGTTGCAATTTGGGGGGCGGGATAGATAGCAAACTCTAGCTTAGATTTCTTGCCATAATCAACTGACAGGCGTTCCATCAGCAATGATGTAAAACCGGATCCAGTCCCACCCCCAAAGGAATGGAAGATGAGGAAACCTTGTAGACCAGTACACTGATCAGCCTATAAAAAACGATGAATAAAATTGTTAACTAAAATTGCAAACTAATTGCACAAACTCATATCTTTTAACGTTTTTTCATGGACGTTTGCTGAATTTTTTTCACCGCCCTAGTGCACATAGTTCAGTTCTAACCTTTTGCCCTCTACCTGCTGGTGCCTCTTTGCAGTGAATTGATGCAGTTCTCTCGAGAGACCTTTTATAAGTACCCTATCCCCTATTAGATGACAATGCTCCGTCCCCTCCCTCCCTTGGACTGACAGTTTTGTACATCCCTTACCGATCAAGAGTCACAGCGCGAAAGAAATTTTACCCCGGCTGCAACATGAAGAGATCTGTAAGAGGATGTTTCCTCTTGTGGCATTATTTATTGGTAATCAAAAGTAATATGAAATTAAATATTTCTTAATCTACATCAGGCTAGATCATGTAATCTTTTTCAAGGGTAGAATAATATATTTTTTTATTATTTCTTGCTATAGATATTTTTTATTTCTCAATCTCTATTTTTTTCCCTTTCAAGAATGCATACTGTTTCAGCCATAAGCGACTCCAGTATTTAAACCTCACAGAACGGATAATGCTTTTAAAAGAACAGCCTTCACCACAATAATTAACGTATGTTGAAACAACCTAATAAATTTTGCTTAAGCACAGGCTTACCAGTTTACGAATCCTGTCAAGGACAAGGTCAATGATTTCCTTGCCAATAGTGTAATGACCGCGGGCATAGTTGTTCGCAGCATCTTCTTTGCCAGTTATCAACTGTTCAGGATGGAAGAGCTGGCGATAAGTTCCAGTGCGGACCTCATCTAAGAGGGACAAAATGTAAGCTTATGAATCTTAAGCCCCATTCACACCCAAGCATAAAAAAAGTTCAAAAGCTGCTTAATAGCTAAGCATAGTTTGAATTTTTTTCCTTCATCAAAGCTGCTAACTAACTTAAATTGATTGCAAATTTAGTGCAAATTACAAAACGTACATGTTGAATTTCATTTGAATCCTGTGTTGAAACCCTGTCAGTTCCAGGTTTCTATGCCTGTTTTTCATTTTTAAACCCTGGTTTAATGAAACATGTTTAGTTGGCGTGAATGGGGCTGGATGCACAAGAAGATACCGAATTTTCCGCTATATGTGCTTATTTTTTATCGTGCATTTCAGCATTCCAGCATTTGGGTAGTTTTTGTTTTTAATCAAATAATGTAAGTATTATTTACGAAGGCGAGGACAATACACCTTCTACTAAAAGTTTAGTAAGCTTCCCCATTGCTTACTTTTCGAGACCTTTTACTCCTACTTCTCGGCCACAATTTCGCCCAAAATTATCATAATGTTAAATTTGTTTTGGGCTTACCTACAACTGTCGGTTCCAAGTCTACAAAAACGGCGCGAGGGACGTGTTTTCCCGCTCCGGTTTCACTGAAAAAGGTGTTGAAGGAATCGTCTCCACCTCCTATGGTCTTGTCACTTGGCATTTGGCCATCGGGCTGAATTCCATGCTCCAGGCAGTACAACTCCCAACACGCATTACCAATCTGCACTCCTGCTTGACCGACATGAACTGAGATACACTCACGCTGTGCAAAAAAAATCACGAACAAACAAACAAGTTTTAGCTGTCAACGCAACTTACAAACATTGGCAGAACTTACAGTTCACATATCGAAACCTCAAATTTTTGACGCCCTTACACCTCGAGGAAAAAAAGGCTTTATTAAATTTTAACTCATTCACTAAATCACGAAACAAAAAAAAATCATTGAAAAAATTGAATAAGCGTAAAATCAAAACAGTGTAAGTTAAGAAAGCATATAAAGCTAGCTTGCATATGCAGTAGCAAAATTTCGTATCCTGGAATATCTGTTATCATATTATTTTCTTCACAGTAACTATTACTAAATCAAGCCGACTAACCATTGTGGAATTCTTTGTTTCTCAAAAGGCTGTTCAAGTTAAAACGGCGAAAAGTGAGCAAGTTTTCTCGCAGAAGAAGTAACGACTCTCCTACCAAGAAGACCAACTGAAAAATGACGACAACAACTGATGAGCACGCGTTTTGTCCGTTTCACACGTCAGGATGACGTATGTTGCCAGGCAACATAAGTTGAGTTATACGTCATATCAAAAATGGCGGGAAAATTGCGCTGGAGTTCCGATCCTGGACGGGACGGGACGGGACGGGACGGAAAGGGAAAGGAAGAATAAATGCGCGCGAGTATGTTCGCGCATTATCACGCAGGCTTGGAAATTGCGGCTGTTTCATCAGATTTTCGGCTTTTTGATTTACTGCGCTTTTCACGAACATGCGAACTCTAAAGTTCAAAAGCCGCCTTCACAGTTGCGTTTTTCGCTGCCGTCGATCATAATTACGATCACAAGCAACAAACCTTGAAACACAGAAACACACAAAACGGATCCAAATCTACCAATCACAAACCATGACCTTTTGAACCCGTTAAAGTAAAGTTTTGTTTCCTAAGAGGTCCGTTAAGATGACTGACGGCAGCGAAAAACGCAATCGTCAGTTGGCTTTTGAACTTCAGAATTCGCATGTTTGTGAAAAGCGCAGTAGGTTTTGTGGGAGTGTACACAAACGTACATGTGTTGGTGCTAGACTGCCACAAGTCAACGAGTCACAAATCACTACTTTTTAAGCGAGCGGGGCGAGGCCGACGAAGGACTTTGTTGAAAGTCTCCTACGTTCTAGTATAGGCGGAATGGTGCTCTGGAAAATGCCCTGGAACACATTTAAAAATTTCGGCAAGGTAGCTTGTTCTTATGTGTAGCAGGAGCTAGAGTGGTTTCTATGCCGAATTGGAGAAGTATAAATTTGAGCAGACGTGGTACCTCGAGTCCTTATCAATCTACCAGTCACAACTTCCATTAAAAGTGCCAAAATATTTGCTGTAGACTAACGTAGATCATGAGCATGATAAAAATAACTGATGGGAAACCATCTGAAACGGCATGTTGCGCGCAAGGTACTGGAGGGCATCAAGTGACATAATCTTACTACACCCAGCTACGTAGGCTACAAAAAATCATGGTACTGTTAATAAGATTTGGGATTTATTTGTTTGCTAAGTGTGTGTGCCAAGAAGTAAATTTGTATAAACAGAGCAGAGAATTGAAAAAATGTCTTGCAATACATTTACAAAAAAGATCTTCCTTTCAATTGCTTGATTTCTATTTGTATGGAGGAGGGAGGGTCAATCTCCACCCCTAAAAACTCTCCTTTTTAATCCAAATGGCCTCAATGTTTTATTTCTTGCGAAGTATCAAAACTGTAAAGTTCTGCGCTAATAAAGAGAGCATTAGTATCTTGCTAATCTCTTCATACCCATACTAGTGTTGAAGGAAAAAAGGACAGAACACAATTCTTTTTTTCCTTGTTTTATTTTGTTTCATCTGGGGGAAGATTACAATTCCTCGCCTCAATGGTAATTTTGAAAGTCGCCCATAATGGTTAAGTCAAATTCATGGGCTTGCTCAGGTTTGTCATGTACGCAATGCTCCTCCCCAAACATGGGTGGAGCTTTGCGTGACGAGACTAAGGCCCAGTTCAGACGCCGCTCCACTCATGTGCCGAACCTAACTGAGTTTGGTTCGACTTTGGAGCGACATTGGCGCGACATCTGATTCAGACGGCGCACCTTGTGTCGAACCTAATCTTTATTTGATGTAGGGACTTATGGGAAGATTTATAAATTATCATAATGTATGCATTTGATTCGGCACATGAGAAGAACGCCGTGTGAATCACCTGCCGCTCCAATGTCGAATAATGCGACAGACCCTGTCGAACTTAACGTTTTTGCCGCACCAAATTAAGACTGCCGTACCAAAGTGATTCAGACGTCGCTCTTTTGCCGTACTTAATACCTCAGTTAGGTTCGGCACTTGAGTGGAGCGGCGTCTGAACCGGGCCTAAAGAGGCTGCGTACTTCAGAGTGTGCTGCAAGTCCTGCACCGTGAGTTGCCCTACGATAAGCACAGCTAGTGCAGAATTTCCGTTTGAGAGAAGAGCAACCTTTTACAGAAAAAAGTCTGTAAGACCATTTTATGAAAACGTTGCGAAGAATTTGAAGAGAATTTGGCAGATTTTCCTTTTTAAAAGTGGTAGAAAATATGAAATTTAACAATGACAAATGCCCCGAACCTCAACCCCTGGGCTTTTCCGGCTTAAGTAAAAAAAAAGGGAGGGGTGGGAAAAGGCGTCGGTATCGGCTAGTCACGTGTCCCCTCGTAACCGACGGCGTAACCTCACAGCGCGCGATCTTAGGCGACCTTTAAAATATTTTATGAGTAACGAGTAGTTTACGGGGTTTTTTCTTTGTAACAGATATGCCGTGGTAATTTTTTGTTTGCTTTTGAAACCAGCGGCCGGGTTGCATACAGTAGATTCTAAGGCAGATTTACGCCGTACACGTGACCAGCCGATTCCAGGGCCTTTTCCCGACACTCGCGTTTTCTAGGGAAAGGTTGCATTGAAATGCCCCACCCATCGGAGACCTTTCATGGTAGGAGGTTGGGCTAGCCTGAAATTCATCCGATTGCTTGGAGTAGTTTTCTCCTCTCAGCGAAGTAGTCGGATGAAGTTCAGACTAAGGGTGGGCACTCTTGCAACTGGCTGAGCCATAACTCTCTAATATTTCGCCCTTGGGAGGGTCACCACCAGGGAAGGTAAAGTAGAATCTACTTTGTAGGAGACTCAAAAAGCCAGTGCGGGATCAGCATGCCCGGCCCCTCCCCAATGCTGTCATCGTCCCCCTGTACAAATAAATGGCTCGTTAAGGGAGAGTGGGGACAAAGTGGGTTTTTATATATATGTTGGGAGATGAGCGAAGTGGTATTTAAAATATGGCATTTTAACCTGTCAGGCGATATACGAGACCAAGCACGCGGGTTATTCGACAAGGGATAACTATAGGTTATGTCACGAAACAAGGAGTAGAGGTCCAGCACGATTACATTTGATCGTTCTTTATTACAAATTGATCAGACATTTACAATGCTTTGAGTCTGCTTTGGGCTGTTGGTTATTTCGTATTTTCTTTTCGTCCCAAGGGATTATACACGCTTGATTGAACATACTCTTTCCCGCCCTCCTGACGGGAACAAAAGCCACCATATTATGCAATATGGCGGAAGGAGGAACCGAACGTATTATAACTCAACTCTTCGTGGTTTTCGGATCAGTGGCTCTTTTGACTTTGCTGCTCTACTGGTGTGGAACTTATCGATTTTCGGTTCTCAAGTCTCTTCACCTTCCTGGACCAAAACCATGGCCTTTCTTGGGAAATATCCTAGAAATAAAAAAATATGGCGGCGTACACGCTATGATGTTTGAAAACATGAAACGATATGGCAAGATTTTTGCAGTCTACATTGGTCGGTTGCCTGCAATTGTGATCCTTGATCCTGATGTTTTGAAGCAAATCTTAGTGAAAGACTTCTCAAGCTTTAGAAACCGGTCAGATGCGGGCAAACCTCCCCCGCCTCTTGAAAACAACTTGTTCGCTGCGAGAAACGAACAGTGGAAGCGAATTCGCAGTATTTTGACACCTTCTTACACTTCTGGGAAGATGAAACAGATGATTCCACTTATGGAGGATGCAGTTAATGTGCTGATGGAAAAACTAGAGAATGTTGCTGACACAGGTTAGTTAGAGTTCAACGGTTGTATGTAATCAAAGAGTGTTGCAAAATGTAGCGTGATGTCAATAGAAATTGCGTGACACGCACATGTAACTAGGAGAAAAACAAAATAACAGGAACGACATAAATTTATGTTGCATTACTCCTTGTTTGGAAACTTTTTTGCACGAACACACGTTTTTCTTTTTATGCAGTGTGCAGGGGACATTGCAATAATTTTTTTATCTGCATCTCCCTGAACAATGTTTTCAAAGTTAGCAACAAAATATTAATCTTTTGGATTTCATTTTTTGAAAGGTGCAAACAAAAATTGAGGGTTCAATTTAGATACACAGGTTGTCGAAACGTCAGTCACTGTCAAAAACATCAGTCCTATTCAGGACTATGTTCACCCGGACGATCAAACTCAACCTACTTTTGAAAATGACTCCTGGGTTCAAACCTTTCACAATTTATATACTCTTACTGTGATACTCTTCATGTAGTTCCTGCATATCTAATTACATGATATTTATTTTGGCAATGGTAGTAAAGACATGTAAATGGTCTGAGTTGGGAATTTTACAATGAAGGATATTATTGGGGGTTTGTAAATTGACAACCATCGGAAATAATACTTGTTATTATTGTTATATAGAGGGTGACAGGCTTTTTTTTAAAAAAATTGCCTCAGTGTACGTAATGTTGATGAAAATGCCACCAATATGAAAAAATCAAGAGGTTGGAGGTGGTTATGGAAAATTACTGTGTTCTATCGTTGGCTAAAGAAAAAGGAACTATAAAGGCCATCTAGATTATTGTGGAAAATTTGTGGTCAACTGAGTTATCTTTTGTTATGTTATTTAATCATGAAATGTCAATTCCTCACAAAGCAAGGTACCAGTATATAAAATTCTTGGAATTTGTGCGTGGATCTTCTATCATGGTTGAATCTTGAGTGGCCTTTTTAATTTAGTGTCAGAAGTGGCAAAAAACTGTCACAAACAATCCCACATATGCAAACTTCAGAGGCTGTAATTTACCATCAGCAACAAAAGCCAGCCTAGCACCCAAAGCATAAACAAAGTTTTGGCAGATGCTGAACAGTTAACAGCTGTTCATCCAAATTTTGGGTGCAAAGACACTTAAAAAGATTGCTTTTAATCTTACCATTAGGGTGCAGGATTTCACGATGTGACAGTATGTGTCCCTCTGTCATAAGATTGATCCCAGAATTAAGATCCAATCAAGCTGTGTTTCTTTTTCCTTGGAATATTTGTCGTCTTTATTTCCTACTGTTGGACCTATCCTTATCCTTTATTGCATGGTTCTTGAACACACAATTATTTCTATTTTACTTGTATACATGTATTATTTGGTTGGAGGTGAGAAATAGGGCACAAAAAACTTTGCCTAAGGGGAGGCCTGTTCATAGGCTACTGTATGTGGTTGGATACCTGCTGAAAAGGGAAGGAAAATGTTTTTGTCCTTCCTTGGGATTGGCTGCTTTTTTCTTGCATGAAAAACATTTGATTTACTTGCTACTTATTAACAGTACTTATGACACATGTAGCTCCATCGCCCAGGCTCCATTTCTGAGGTATTCATGCAAATGAGGTTTCAGCACTTCAGGCTGCAACCATTTTGGTAATGGTGAGAAGAATAGAACAAAAAAGGCAATTAAAATTGTAGTGAGAGTTAATACCCATATAGTTTACCCAAATTGCTAAAAGGTCTGACAACCTCCAAACAGTTCTGAAGCCATTTCCCTTGACTTTTGAACTTTACCGAAGATTCCTGAAAATGTGGTTTTTTTTTGTTGGCCACTATTCCCCACAGCTCCCTTCTTATTTCTAAAGTGGTGAATAAGGGTTGATACAGTCACTAAGAAGAACAGTGGGATACATATTTGACCTTAAGGCTTGTGCTCACAATGTTTACAAAACAGGGTTACTTTTACATGTACTCACTAAATTGCAGTGAAGAAAATTTCTACAACATTCTGATGCATTTTAAAAGGGAACCATGACTTGGCCTTAATAGGGTAAAGAGTTGCATTTGATTACAATAATGATTCACATCATTTAGGTGTGACAAAGTTAGAATGAAAAAGGCAGCATTTAGCATCATTAAAGGTGCTTATAAAGTCTAATGTATTGCACATTGAGGCTGGGTGAGCTGAATATTTAAAAAAAATGCTTGCCTTTAGTCAAGCTGTTTCTGAAGTTTACTAGCCTTATCCAGTTTTTCACAGGCACTCCAACCCACTTTTTCATCAACTTTTATGTGGGAAAATGTTGCTTGCCTGTCAACTCGTGTTAAAACATGCTAGCCTGATGGGTCACTTCACTTGCCCTAGGCTATAATTTGGACAGTACTTTTGTTGTGCGTCGTAAAACCTTAGCCTTTGAATGGAGACATATTTGTGGTCGTCGCTTCTTTCCTCCAGAAAGGTAAGGGATGACCGGAATTACCTTTCCGTTTGCAGTCTAGTGAAACCTCTGATGGGTATCAAAGGAACCTTTTGACTGGTAAAGTAAGGGTGCACACGAGCCAAAGGCCCAAGTGGCCGTAGCTTATCGTGATTTCCTTAGCTCATGCCTAGGAGTATTGCTCCTCTCCCCGGGTGGGATGCTAGTCCATCGCAGGATTACCCGCCAGCTCAAGTGACTTCAATTAATCTTACCTTTGGGAATATATAGGTGTAAAAATGGCAAAATGAAAAGTCCAAGTACTTTTAAAACACATTAGTGACTTAAAGGGGTCAATGATACATGTACATTTGGCCAGGGGAAAGGCATTTAGAAAACGTTTATGATAAAATGAATGTTAGAGTCCTAAACAATCAAAATAAACTGAAAGTAAGATATCTAAACCGATGAGTACAGTGTCTGCAACTATCATAATGTCCCTCCTTTCCACTTCTAAATTAAATTGACTGCTTGCTTGCATCCAGACATTTCGAATCCTTTGGATTTTTCCAATGTCCGTGTTTTGCTCCTTTGGTTATTAAGTTATAGAGGCCAATTGGCCAAACAATAAAACCTCATATATTTGTTTTTAATGGTAAAGGACCTTTTACTGAGAATAAAATTCGGGGGGTATTCAGACACTCATTTCATAAGAACCATATCACTTCATATTTAGCTAAGGTCATACCTTGCTGCCTTGTTCAGTCTTGATTAGTTTCTTCCACTTGAGACAGTTATCAGTGGATTACGCAATAAATTGTTTAATTATTTAATCCAAAGGGGGACTTAAAGGAAATTTCGTTACGGGTGTGTCGTCCGATTCGAGGCCTTCAAACCCTGAGCCTGTTTTATATAAGAACCGTTTTAACTAATAAGCACAGCAAAATGTTTTTGTTCTAAATTCTTTGCGCTATGGTCAGGGGCGGATCTAGGGGAAGGGTACAGGGGGTGCGCACCCCCCCCCTTCTGAGATGACCTGCGGTTTTCTAACCCAACTGGTATTCTGCAAAAAAAAAAACTATCTGGTTTATTGGTGTTGAAGTAGAGCAAGAGACGAGTGCACCCCCTCCTAAAAAAAATCCTGGATCCGCCCATGATGGTTGGTTCAGTTTAACATTCGATGTCGGGGTATTATGGTCATTCAAGGTCTAGTCCATCTTGCACATCTCAAAATCACATGAAAATTGTCATCAAGTGTTGGTAAAATATGTCTATAACAACCAAACCAATTACTGGGCGTTAAAAGTTTCGAAGGAGTTCATTTTCAGTGAGTTTTTTCCTAAATTAAAAGCATCAGAATTTTTAAGTATCTCCAACCCTCTCCTACCCTACCACCACCCTTACTGGGGATGAAAACGAAGGAACTCAACTCCTTACAAACTTTTATTGTAATTTGCTCTTATTCTATTTCATTTTCACAGATAGAAGTGTGGACATGTTGGATTTGTTTAGCCAGTTAACTCTCGACGTGATCTTGTCAACCGCGTTTGGTATCAAAACTGACATTCAAACTGATCCACATAATCCAATTAAAAAAAGAGCCGCGCGGGTTTTTAGTGCGCTGTGGCTTGTTCCCTATCTTCGGATGTTTCCTTTTAACTATTTTATTCGCTCAGTGATATCGTTCTTCCGACAAGAAATGGCCTTCTTTGTAGCCGCAGCTTCAGAGATTGTTGAAGAACGCAAAAAGTCTCCCACGAAGGGAAGAAACGATCTACTTCAGCTGATACTTGCGGCTCACGATGAGCCCGCAGTTCAAGGTGTCAGCAGATTTTCCGATGATGAGATCAAAGCTCAGTTGATCACGTGGCTCTTGGCTGGTTACCAGGCCTCTAGTAACACGTTAGCCTTTACTGCATATCACCTTGCGATGGACGCTGACGTGCAGGAAAGACTACGATGCGAGGTTGAAATTGGTGTCCAAACATACCGCGACCTGGCTTTGTACGACCTGGTAAACGAAATCGAGTATCTTGATTGTGTCATAAACGAATCTATGCGGCTATGTCCTCCGCTGCACATTTTTGATCGTAAATGCGAAGAAACTTGCCAAATTAATGAAAGGCTCACTATACCCTCTGGTATGGACGTTATCGTACCTATATACGCGCTCCACCATGATCCGGAGGCCTGGCCAGACCCGGAGGTTTACGACCCCGAAAGGTTCCGGGGCCCCGCGAAAGATACTCGACACCCGTTTCAGTTTTTACCCTTTGGCGCCGGGCCCCGAAACTGTATAGGAATGAAGTATGTGATGATGGAAATGAAGGTTGCCTTGGTCAGGATATTGAGGAAGTTCAAGTTTGTTCGATCACCGGAGACTCAGGTGCCCTTAGTTCTAAGTTCAGCCGTTACTCTTGCTCCAAGAGATGGAATTTATTTGCGAGTTAAACGAGTAAAGAGTCTGGTGTAAAGACAGATGTCTAGAGTAACCGTCTGGAAAGGGCTCGATCTTATGTCCCACCCTGCACTGCAAGTTTTACTTGTCCTTTGGTTAAGGGTCCTTAAGTGATGGAAGAATCAGAGTTGAAGGGAAGGGTGGGAGAGGAGGGGTTTAGAAGGGACTAATGTCCACCCCTCTAGTTTCGCTTTCTTCTCTTCCCAAGTTTTAATTGCTTTCAAAGGTTAAGATGGTGCTTTTGCGCGTGCCTGCTTGAAAAAGAAAAAAGCTTGCTTTGCAGACAGCTGGTTACCATGTACAAGACGACGCTAATAAAAGTGTTCTTGTACACAGTGAATTTGCTTTAAACTCAAAAAGCTTAGAGCCACTTCTAGCTATCTTCGTTAGAAGAAGATAGGTGTCAGCCTTACAAAGTTACATATCGTGAAAATGAAATATCTGTGGGACCAACCATCCACTAATGACTCCCCTCCTCTTAGGTCTGCCCCTCGCAGAGGTGTCCGCCACGTAATTCACTGTCTGTGTGGTTCGACCAAGCTCCTCAGCAGAGGGAAGCTGCGACGAATTCGTCTGCGAACCCACCGGAAGCCGCCAAAGGTTAACAGTGCGACAAGCACTCATTAAGTTTTAATAATTGTTCAAATAACACAACGCTACTCTTTAATTAGATTCTGGGGCCTCAAATCCTCCTTATGTTTTAAAGCAAAATATTTTCTTCTATATGATTGACTGGTATGGGTTTGCTTTAATTACTTCAGTCACGGCCACGTGTTTGTTAAAAAACACTGAAAAAAAAATAAACAAACAGGCAATCGATTTTACTTTGATACACTGTATGCTACGCGTAACTTCATGGTTAATTAAAAAAACCCCGGCTCTACAGTTGGATTTAATTGGCATAAACTCGTTTAACAACAACCCTTGCGGTTTTCGTTTTCAAATGCTAACAATCCACCCATGAAGGAATAAAGTATAATCAGTAGCTAAAGCAGTTGAAATCGCTGCATTTCAAACTAAAACAAACTGTGCACTGCAAGTGAATATGTTCGATCTTTAGCACTGTGTTAGACGAGTGAGTGCTTCATTGAAGTTACTGTTGGAACTAAAACGTTCGAGTGAAGTATTCACGGTTAAAAAATATCACATCTTTAGTCTAATTATAACGAAGTTTCTCTAAAAAGTGCTTGCAGTCATCGAGTTGTTGTTCCAGATGTTTCACTGTCTCTTTCCCCCTTTCAATTTCTTTTTCCTTTTTCTCTTTTTCGTCTTGAAGCTCCTTGATTTCGGATTCCATTTTTCTTTGTTCCGATTCAGCCTTCTTCAGTTCGTTTCTTTCTTTTGACAAATCCTGTTCGGTTTTCTGTATGAGTTTCTCAACGCTGGCTTTGACGGCGGCTAGTTCAGTATTCCCGATGCTTTCAGTTTCGGTAGCAACGTCTGAGGTGGTCGACTGATCCCAGCTGCCGCGTTTTACAGCACGGTTAGTACTTGCTGAGGCCGGCGCTTCGGTAGGGTCTTGAAGAATACTAACTTTGGATTCACTATCATCATTCCATTGTTGCAAATGCGAGCAAACCGACTGTAAAGTCACTCCACCTCGCAAAGGATCCTCAGAAAAGGTCGAGGATTTATCGGTAATCTTTTGAATTTTGGCCGGTGGAGCCAGATCTGGAACAAATACCGCACTGCTTGTTGGTTCAAATGTGTTGTTAACTTCCGATTGTAGTTCCTTTTCGTTAGCGGCTTCGTTCTCGCCGTCACCCATACCAAGATGATCTTCATCGTCATCTCCATTTTGATCATCATCGACGTTTTCTCTCTCAGTTTGTTTTCTCTGGTTCAAAATTTCTTCCGCTTTTTGTACTGACAAATCGAACTCTTGTTTCAGTATGAGGTCGACGAGTTCCCTTGCCTCTTTTTGGGTCTTACATTTGGCTGCTACATCGATAAATGTGTCACCTTGCTCATTCTTTTGTTGCAAAATGGTTTTCAGCCAGTTAAGAGGCAGTAACTCACTGTTTTTGTTTAAAATTTCTTTCAGCTTAACCAGTGTCCTCTTCAAATACATTAGGAAGGGAGCCGTTGAGCTTTCGTCTCCTTGGGCACACAGGTGCAGGACTGTGTTACCGTTGCTACCTTCTTGAACTAAGAGGAGGTATGGATCACGTTTTAACAACAACTCGAGTATGTTGACAAAGATGTTGGATATTTTGTTCGGATCTTTGCTCTTCACTCCCTCGTGCAGACATCGCACCATAGAAAATACCACTGTTTCATTGGACATGCCATGTGTATTGCCTTTTCTTATGATAACGCGGTCTTTCAGGGTCATAAGCCACTGGACGGCCTTAACCTTTCCAAGCATAGCTACCCAATGTAGTAATGGGAGACGAAAATGAGGATTCGGATCTTTCAAGGGCTCGTCGATGTCATTGTTCAAACTGATTACATGCTCCTTCCATGCATCCAAGCTTGCTCGGTCTGATTCATTTAGGTTAATAAGCGACATTATCAAATCATCATGCTGACCCTGGAATTCACAATTGTCTTCACAGAATGGAGTACAATTTGTGGCTTGTTTGTCCTTCTTCTTCTTCTCGCCTCCTTGAGCACCATCTTCTGCTGGGGTTAACTTTGAAGATGCGTCCATTGTACGATTGTTGCTCAGTTCGGCAGCTTAAGATAAAATAAAAGAAAACAATAAGAAATCAGTAGGAAGAAAGAAATCTGTCTGTATAAAGGCAGCTTTTTAACTTTGAAGAAAGTTAGAGACAGTTTACTGAATAATCACTTAGAGGTGTGCCAGGCCGGATTCAGGCAGGAAAAATAGTTATTAGATCAATAAAAATAATATTAATTGACAATCAGTGAAAAACAAAATAGAGCACTGATAATTATGCAAATGATTCAATTTAATACCTGGTTCAAAATGATTTTCCTTCGAAACTCCCATACCCAAAACAAAGGAAAATAAAATGAAATCTAAGCATGAAATTGAACCACAAGGTACAAGTTCTTTTTAATAAAAGCAAGTTCACAGATACTGCACAGGCGGCTGTCACATCTTATTAGAAAATAATATGTAGATTGCGAAGCTCTCGAAGGATGTTTTAAGAAGTAATTAAAATATTACTATAAGCAGAAAGCAAGATGAATTCCACCTTTAAAAATTGTACCCCAGCCCGCGATCAATTGAAAACCAAAACCTGGTCTGCGGATAACTTTAAAAAATGAGTTGTATACCTGAGCCCGCGATACAGTCATGTAACACTGGTCAGCATCGGCTAACATGAAGGGGTCGACGTACGTACGGACGTACGAATGATTTTGTCAGAACCAAAGTTTCTTGGATGTATAGATCATTAAATTTTCTTACCCTTGGTGCTCCGCTTCGCGTGCGAGAGCTCCGCTATAATAATGACGAATAAATGAATGAAGATTACTTAAGTCCCTAAGTGAATGAGTACACGGTCAGTTTTAGGTGTGCGGTCACGGAGTAGATCCGAGCGGCTTCCGAGTATTTCTCGGTTCCAGACCTTACGCAAGCGGACTGCTTATTTTATAATGGCTACTGAAGAAAACACTAAAGTATTAGATAATCTTTATTTATTTATTTATTCATTGTTGTCTAAAAGCCCACATTTGATATATGACCCCGAGGCTTTAGGGACAAAATTGCAAATTTTCCACTAATTCATTGTCTCGCAATTTCCAGAGGATACTCGAGGTCAAAGGAAATCAAACCAAACATAGAAAAATAACCAGAAAGCCTCGGAGTCATGCTAGAATTTTAATGTATCGAACGTGGGCTATTCCCGTGTTAATGAATATGAGACCTTGATCATGTGACACTGTCGACGCTTCGAGTCTACTCATTTGAGAAATGATATTTGCGGCCAACAATCAAGAGTGCTGCAAACTACTGTAGATTAATGAAACTTGAGCATTTGGTCAGACAGATGGATTTTAGAAGCGAAGAAAGAAAAAACCAGATCGCGGATAAAGACAAACAGGATACGTCATCCGCGACGGGGGCACTGACCTACAGAGTATTCTCTGAAAGCGAAAGTGCCTTTCCGGGAACTGAAATGAAATTATTCAGTTTGTTTTACTAACGGTAAATTTCCCCCTCATTTTCTTTGATTCTTCATTCTAACCCACAAGCTCATGTTTTGTAAGCAGATGAATCCAAACACTCGAAGAACTTTTACTAAATTTGTCATCAACAGAATCAAGACGATATTTGCAACCGCGTTCCTTTACATGTGCATGTTTTGCATCGCTTATCACGTACACGGTACAATGATGAATGCAGTGAACACTGATCGAATGGTGCTTGCTTGCTTTGTGTCTTGGAGATTATGTATTTAGGTCTTGCAGATTGGTTTCCTACTCTCCCGGCCGCCGAAACAAGTCGATCGGTCATATACCTGAAAAGGCTTGTTTATTAAGCTCAACTGGACCTCGGATCGGGTCCGAACGAAAGTAAACTCAATATAGACACTGTAATAATTTGGATGCTAAAATTCCTCACATCTTTAATACCTACCTTTTAAATGATCCCTTTATGCCAAGCTTATCTCGGCTGCGAAACCCGACGTTTTCGAAAACCACTGCGACCCACACAGCAGCAAAACGTTTTGACGGCGCGCTTTCAATTTGCTACACCGTAGTGTAATAATAAACTAGTAAGCCACTAGCTCCAGGCTCCTCTCCATTCGAGACGGCGAAAGTCGAGCCTGGCCCATAGAAGCCGCGTATATTTGACGTAGTACTACGGTTGAGTATTCTGTTTAAGATATTCCACTGTTTACATTATGCAATAATATATGTTTTTTTCGTACCAAGTTTGTTTGCAGCCTAATTTTTTGTTACATCACCAGGAGCCCATATGGGCTCCTGACATCACCCAATTTCTCAAAAGTCAAATGGCTGGTCCGTATTGGGCTTTGTATGTATAAATTACATTTTAAACGAGTCATAAATTATATTCTGGTTTTCACTAACGTTTTTATTAGCGACAGAATCAGAATCACCCTGCAAGCAAAGCCTCATTTTTCTTCTTCTTGATTGAGAAAGAGAAAAAGAGGCTCTGCAAGAATCGCGTCAAGTCTCTGAAGTCGCCGCAACGGAGTTCTGAACTTATCAGTCAAGTTCTCTTTCGAGTGCTGGCGTCCTTTTTTTGATGAATCAACGGTCATAACAAGCATCCTCGTATACGCGTATGGTCCATTGCAGAGAGTACCCCCCTGCGTCTGCCCGGGATGGGGAAATAAGTCAGTTTCTTACAAAGTCAAAACGTTAAAGCACAAGGCGCAGCAAAGTACCATTGAAACACTTGTGAAGGCAAAACTACAACGACAAACCAGTGAGGGTCAGCCAGATCTTTGGTAGACCTTGGATCAGTACAATCTTCAATACCAAATTCATCTTGTATCTATTTATTTTGCTTTTATAGCCTCCGTTGAAGGTTTGTGTTGCATACCGAAATATCAGGCATTTATAATTCACCATCTTATTTTGCTTTTTTTATTTATTTTTCCTATCACTCTTACTGCTGTAAGGATCAGTTGACTGTTCTAATTTTAAAATTAAGTTCCCTTGAACCTGATCAACTTCGTTTCCGGGCAGTAGAGAACCCTGGGAACGAGGTTGGAACCTAATGAATCTGCACGAACTGCGGGCTCATCCTCGGTGTAAGAACCTGTTAAACTCACTGGTGACGTAAAACAGAGAAAACAAAGAAGTCAACACAATAAAACCTAGAAAAACAAAAGGTACACCGAGGTAAACCCGAACTGCGAGTCTAATTATTGAAAGGTTTAAAAACCTTTCCTCTCTAGGTCTGTTGGCTTTAAATTTATCAGATTTTCCCTTTACTTTTGCATTTTCTTGATAGCCATGAATTTTTTAAAGTTGATTGAAGAAATATTGAAAACAACAAGATACTCTTTAAAATTTATTGTTGTTTTGAACCTCAAACCATGATGAAATGCCACATATATTAGCAGCTAGGTTACCTCTAATAGATCACCTTGTTTAAAAAAGTATGTACAATAACCAGAGCCACAATCAGCTGTGGAGACATCTAAACAACTACAGACTGAAGGAAGACCCTTTTCAGTCTATCCAGGGGAGAATTGGCAGAATTTCCAGGGAGCCAACAAGCCGAAAAGGGAGCCGGCCCCCGTTTCACGAACTTCCCGGTAACTTTTCGTGCCCGGAATCAAATATTCAAATCAAAATCTAGAGAATAAAAGCGCGGGTCTTGGATAACAAACTAGTCAATTTTGTTTTGTTTACCAATAGCTTTATCATGTTATCTGCAAAACTATGGAACGTTTTCACCCACGTGGCCAGCATCTATGCTAATTCATTGGAACAAAAGAAAGTTTTTACATAACGAAACAGTTCAATTTCCACAGGGTTGTCTTGGTACACCAACATGGCCGCCGTTTCATTGTTTTGGAACACCAAGATGGCCGCTTGTGACGTCATGTGAAAACGCTCTATTGCAACGTCTACCTTAAATGGAAACAGCAACAGCTTTCCAGGCCCGTTATTTATTGGGACTTTCGAGAGCCAGAGGCAGAAGAAAAAGGTCCCTTTATCCGTTTCCGCCTTAACGTCTTTTCTTTAGGGGCCAATTTAAACCTCAGCTACACCCACATTAGTCTCCCGTAGGAGTTTAATCTTAATTTTCCAACAACTATCCCCGTCACTTTTATATGGGGGTCCCCTCGGGACCTTGGCACGGTGGTTTCTGTTTATCAGTATTATAGAAGAGCTTCTGATCAGCCAGTCTTGAAAAGAGTAAAATGGAAAAGCAAACCTTCTGCTCCTTGAATCAACGATAAAGCTGCGCAACAGATTTTAATCCTTGTATTTTGTTTAAGACTGTAGATCATGGCTCGGTGCTCATTATCGTCAATAAGCCCGTTCAGAGTTACCCCAAGCCTCTGTTTCAAAGCGAGGCTAAGTGCGAAGCTATCGATGTGAAAATGAGTTTTATTCTCATGCAAATACAAACTCATTTTCTCAAGAAAGTTTTTGCACTTAGCCTCAGTGTTTGGACCATATAGAGATAAACCCGTTTTAATCGACGAACAAGCAAGCAATTCCACCCCCTCCCTCCATCCATGGTGCAAGAAGAGTTAGGTCGGATTAGAGATTCAGTCTCCTGAAACTTTCCTTTGTTATGTTATAATAGAACGAATAAAAATTTAGTTGTAACCGCAAATTTGATGATTCATTTCGGCAAAAGCTAAAATGTTTAAATTTTACCACCCCAGCCTTCAAAACAGAATTCTGTTTATAACCTGGAAAAGTAATTTGGTACAGTCTAGTTAGGAAGCGAAAGACGTTGACAGTTGTCCTCTTAAACTACTTGGTAAATGTCATAAATGTGTTGGCCATCCTCAGTCTTTCCTTACTGAATTACATCACGGACTCTACCCTAACCAGCACACCATTTTTTGCAGTCATTGTTGCTCCATCATGTAAGACTAGAGGAACTTGCGTCTCGGGTGATTGCACAAACTTGTACTTCATTAGGATCTTTACAAGAGCAATCTTGATCTCCAGCAGGGCGAACCGCATCCCGATACAATTTCGTGGCCCGGCCCCGAACGGCAGAAACTGAAAAGGGTGATGGGTGTCTTTACTTGCACCTCGGAATCTCTCGGGGTCAAACTTCTCCGGGTCCTCCCAGGCATCGGGATCATGATGCAAGGCATAGACTGGAATTACAACCTCGGTTCCAGCAGGAATATGGATTCCGTTAAGGTTAAAATCTTCATGGCATTCACGATTTGGTTGTGGAACAGGCGGACACAATCGCTGTGACTCCTTTATCACACAATCAAGGTATTCAATGCTTTGGGCTATTTCATAGAGAGGTTTCTTATTTGCATGGGTCTCAAAGGCATCTCGGATGTCTGAACGCAGTTTGTCTTGGACCCCTGGGTTACAAGCCAAGTGGTACACGGTAAACGAAAGAGTGTTGCCTGACGTTTCAGAACCGGCCAATAAGAAGATGAAGGACTGGGCTACAACCTCGTCATCAGAATGTCTGCTGACCCCTTCAACAGTGGTTTCATCAGTGGCGGTCTTTTCGATTTGTCTGCCCCTGTTGTCGACGAATGTGTAACATTTCTCTCCCGATACGTTCAAAATAGTTTACATCATTTCCATTTAGAACAAGAAACAAACGAAGAAGTGAGTTTCCAAATGGAAGACGGGCCATTTGTCGGAGAAAGAAAGGCACGTGAAACAGTTTCTTAGCCTCTTGTAGAATTTCGCTGTTTTCCCCCATTTGTATTTTTGCATCAACTCCAAAAGCAGTGGCCAAAATGACTTCTAGTGTCATTTTACTGAACCAGTCCAACATGTCAACACTTTGATCTGTGAAAGACAACAAAGCAAAATTGTTTCTTTGCATCACCATTTACACAGATAAACTTACTTATTATATAGATACTGATGAAATACCAGGATTTTTCCTTTTACTAAAAAATCATATCTTCATCGCGAGCACCATCTTTCACCCGTGAGGATATTGGTGTGCCATGGTTACTGACATGATTAGCCAATGACAAGAGAGCCTCCCGCTCAGGCGCGCGGCCGGTTCTTTTGAAATTTCATTCTCAAAATGGCTCCGAGACTGTACAGTTACCGGTGACTTTCTCGATGAGCCAAGAATCCACAACATGATGCTCTTTTAAGAGACGCTTTTGCTGTTATAGAATTTTTCTCTCCTTCATTAGAATTTTGACTTTTTGGAACAGAAAATATAATTATTATTGTCTTTATTTCTCCTTTATAACTTTATATCCGGGTTTCATAACATTTTTTTGACAGGCATTTTGCGATAGGTGATCACTTTAATTGCACTATTTTGTTGTTTCGAAAATGAATTTTAAAAAAAGTTGTGTTTTTTTTGTAGGAATTTCATCAGTATCTACAAAATAAACAGAACATTACATGGCCGCTTGGGGATATGAATTTTATCTTCGAGTGCTGAAAGTATCTCTCACTCGTTCGCTTCGCTCACTAATGAAAGATACTTTCAGTACTCGAAGATAAAATTCGTATCCCGCGCGGCCATGTAATATCCTGTATATAAAAAGAAAGAAGTAATACTGAATATACTAAAATGAAATAGGAACGGCCTTATTTCCGCGGTTAAAATTTATGGTCATAAACATAGAAAAGGATATCTAAAACCTGTGCAAAAACTATTCCACTGACATTTAGTATTCTATATGTAAAAGTAAAGGAGATTTTCTCTCTTGTAAAATGTCTATAAATTCACGATTTACAGACATTTCATTATCTCCTTAAATTGTCCAGATTTTCAAGTGAACAAATTACGGCGTTTCAGACAGTTTTCTTTGGAATGCTTCAAAGATAAATAAGCTTTTTAAAATAAATAAGTAAATGAGTCTATGAAATTGAAAAGAAAAGAAAGTTTTTTTTCTATCCTAATAAGATTCATAGAAATCTGATTATTCCAAGAAAAATCATCAAAGAATTTTTCCCTTGCGCGTTTGTGGAAACTGCATTCGAAAGTGAGGTGCGTTTCAGCGTGTTCAAGGCATCAATTCTTGGTTTGCAACCACGTGACAAGGCGGCCATGTTGGGGGTCAATACAATAGAACTTTTGCTCGAAAGATTTACATGAAAATAGAGTTTAGTTCCCAGAGGAGAGAAATGCTTTTGTTCTTGACCACCAACATGGCGGCCGTGACGTCACGTGCAAACCAGCAATGGATGAACAAGGATTTGAGACACAACGTCTACCGGTTTCATTCTTTAATCATGGTTTTCAGATCTCAATTTCGCTCCGTATCAGATGCATTTGGTAAATTTGCATAGCGTTGACGATGTTTTGTCCTATTTTGTGTAAGGTTTGAACCAGTTGTGGAGTCGAGAAATGCGACAAACGCAGACTGCAGACTGCCAGATAAACGAAGTAAACATTGTTGTAGAATGCTCTAACAGATTCCCTATCCCTAAACTAGACTTTTGAATTACTTAAACTTTAGGGATAGGGACTCTGTTAAAGCATTCCACAACTAAGTTTTCCTCGTTTACCTGCCAGTCTGCAGGTCTGCAGTCTGCGTTTGTCGCACACTGGCTCTTTTCGCCGGCTACATCCAGTCCAGGCGTGGTTGGCTTCGTTCTACTTCGGTACAGTGCAATGCCAGATTCAAAATAAATGTCCATCCCATCCTTTACCCTTCTTAACTCGTTAACTACTCAAAATATAACTCACCCGAGTCAGCAATTTTTTCAAGTTTCTCCAAAAGTGTGTCACACAACTTCTCCATCAAAGGTACCATCAGCTTCAATTTTCCCGCACTGAACGTGGGTGTCAGCGTGTTACGGATCCGTTTCCATTTGTCGTCCCGTGAGGATCCCACGTTCTGTGCAAGAGTTTTGTTCGCTAGCTTTTGGAACTGGAAACGATTGCGGAAGTTTGGAAAATCCTTGACCATTATTTGTTTCAACAGCTCCGGATCGGCAACGACAAGCGATGGCCTGCCGCCCAAACAGATGGTGAAAACTTTGCCGTATCTTTTAAGGAAAGCAAGGTGCATCTGATAAATACCATTGTATTTCCTCAGTTCTAGAAAGTTCCCAAGGAATGGAATAGGTTTGGGTCCGGGAACATTTAGTTTCTTGAGGTCAGCGAAGCCTCTCGTCCCATACCAGTACAGAAAGAGCGCTACGAGAAGTAGCAACGACGCTATGACCGTAGGATGAGCGAGGGTCGCCATGAATAATGGCTGCTGTAGAAACGCCCCTAAAGCTTCCATCTTGTCCACATGGAGTGTAAAAAAATGAGCCTGGAGAAAAAAAGGAAGAAGGATTCAACACACGGAATCAGCTCAGCGAAGCGTAATTTAATACTGTGCTTGATTGAACGCATCAAACGCATCACTGTCACAGCTACACATATAATATGTCACGTTATGCCTGTTTATTTTACGTCATTGTCTGACATTTATTCACAGCTTACATATGTGCTAGAGTTCTAGTTACTAGCCTGCGTAGCAGTAGTCTCCTTGGCAGCCGCTCGGGTCGGGCTTGTGATTAATACAGCGAACAGTTCTGTGCAAGGACAACTCGGACAAACAGGAGCAAGGTATAGCCCGATCTTGGTGTAGCTCACGATCAGCAAAATAAAAGTAACACTTAATTAGAATTGAAGGCAAGCCTGATTGGGCAACTAAGAGTTGGTAATATAGTTATTTGCCCAACATTACGACTATACAAAACTGTAATCTTCATTAGGGTAGAAAAGCAGCTTTCCCAGCCCCTCATGAAGACTAGTTTTGTCTACTCGAAATATTGGGCAAAGATATCACCAACCCTTAGCTGTCCTATCAGCCTTACCTATATTTGTAAGTAATATGCCCATATTACTCACAAGCACCTGCTACGCAGGCTACAGAGTTACGTGATGCCGTAGCATTGTTGTTTTTCTGTCCCTGATGGAAACTAGCAGTAAAGCAGTAGAATCATCGTGAGACAGACAGATAACATCGATCTACCTAACTCCAAAAAATACAGGACTTAAAATATCGAAGTAAGCATGTACCGATGAGCGGACGAAAAAATAAGCAAAACAGAAAATGATGTTAAGGTCGCTAATTGTGATGTTGAGAACCTTGACCATTAAAGCTGACAATTGTTAGAAGGTAAGTCTTATATAACGTCTATTTCAATAATCAAGCAAAAAATCTCTTAAAAACGTTAAAGGCGCGCTATAGTGTATGCTACACCGTAGAGTAATATTAATAATCAACCACTAAGTAGGCTTGATTTTTGGTAATCTCGTCCCCAGGGTCTTCTCTTCTCGTTTCCATATTGGAAAATGAAGAAGACCCTGGGGACGCGGTAGAATTTCCGTCGCACTCTCAGGTCGTCCTTTTCGGGGACGTTTGCGAACAGTGGCTGTTAGGTAAGTGGTGTAACCATAATATAGTGGTTTCACGTTATTCGTTGTCCAATGTTTAGCTCTTCGTAGCTCTGCACATTCATAAATTGCACTACTACACAGTCATGTATAGGCCAGCATACCCCTACAAAGCCATAGCCATACATAGCAGGGTTAGGTATGGCTATGTTGAACTGTGTAGCTGCCTACTCCTCAGACGCTTCGTTCTTCGCCCAGACTCTCGACGTCTTAACAGTGTTTGGTAGATCATCCACAAACAACAGAAACAATATCGGCCCTAGTAGGGACCCTTGTGGTACCCCGGATGTAACCGGCAATTCTCGGGAAGTAAACATGTAATAAACATGTTTACTTTTTAAACAGCAGTTTAAGGCCTCACCAGAACAGTTTTATTTTTTTAATTATGCTGCTGAAGGACAACATGAACAGACTTACATAGGGTTTCAGCTTCTTCATCGATAATGATTGGTTAAAACTTTTCAATAGATTTATTACGGACGTGATCGAAAAACTCAGAGGACAAATTAAAATGCAGTTCACAGAGGAAGGCAGAATTTAGAACCTACAAAAACACCTATTAAATCACATCCACTGCCATGAATTCGGGTGAAAAGTCATAAAAACATGCGAAAAATGGTTACAAATGAGTAAGTCATTGCCTGGGAAATATGGACGAAGGGTCAAATTGAGGTCAAAAAATGTTAAACTGAACAAAGCGCGCAACTCAAACAAGGCTTTGTCATCTATCAGAAACTGTAATTATACATACTTTCATTAAAGAAATGTGACAACGGAGATGCACCAAAATGGAATTACATCCGCTTTACACTGAATTCGTGTCTGGAGATTGTATCCATTAATCATAAGTTTAAATAACCAGACCTGAACCAGACTAAAACATAAAGATCGTGAAATTACAGAACGAGAAAGATCAAAGCTACTGTTTACAGTAACTAAACAAACTTGGTACTTAAATCGTACTTTTGCATTCGAGGAAATGGCTTAAAGAACTCTTAACAAACTAGTTTCTTTAAAGAAGATGGCAAGGGAATTGAACTGGAAAACAACTATTTTCTCAAGTCAGGAGAGGATAGCGTTTCATCAGCATTATTCGGAGCGAGTTGAACATTGCAAGGAAAACGTCAAATTATTTCCAAATAACACATAAGATCTATGTCATTTTTATTTTGATATCCGAAATAAATTCCAAGCACCAAATAAAATTCTCTTAACAATTTTTTAACTCGAAATAAATATACTAGGAATATTTTTTATCGCCAGCAACTTTTATCATTTAAAAATAAGCATTAACTCAAAATAAGAAGGAAAAGGATAGATCATATTTTGACATTCTGGGGGCTTGCACTGATTCCGGCTAAAGTCTAGCCTGCGTGGCAGTAGTTAAAAGGGGAAGGGGAAGGGGGAATTTAGGCGCGTGGTCTCGCGCCCTAATTCCCTTCTCCTTCCCCTTCCCTCTCGAAGGCCTGCCACGTAGGCTAGCTAGAGTCTTTCCTTTAAAGCACATAATCGACGCCCAACTTCTCCCGTACAGGCAGTGCCGTAGCTAGGTCTTTTGTAACGAGAGGGGGGGGGGGGGGGGGGGGGGGGGCATTATTGCGAGTGCCGAAAGCAGGAGCCTTGGGAGCCTTGTAGGGGGGGTCTGGGGGTATCCTCCCCAAGAAATTTTTCAAATTAGGAGGCTCTGAAACGCTACTTTCAGCACTTGTCATGAGATATGTCTCCGAAAAATCGACCCCGAATATGAAAATGGCAAACAATTGCAAGTCACTATTAATCAAAATAACTGAGTCTAAAGAAAACAAATCAATAAACAGACTTGATTTGTCTGGCTCAACAGGTCGGAGGGGGGGGTTGCCCCCCCCCCCTTGCTCCCCCGCTAGCTACGGCCCTTACCGGCGTCGCTCGGTTATCCTGGTGAGCGACCAATAAACGCCTTCTGTCAGCAGTCGGGGTAATGCGAGTCATATATTCCAATTACTAACGCAAAACTGTGGTAAATTAAACTAAACGCTGGTAAAGTTACACTATTTAGAAAAACATAAGTTCCATGTTGTTTTGTTGGGCTTCAGATCGGTTGCCAATGACCTCAATGTGGAGGTATCCTACGTGATGATTCAGTTCCAAATTTTTTACTGCGGTTTCTGAGATCACATTGTAGAAAATCTCCAAGTGGAGCTGTAATTGGAAACACTTTTATTGCCTTAGGAAGAGTATTTCGTATTTTTATTGCTATCTATCTTAATTCCAAAGTATGCCGGAAGTAAGTTCCCGAAGAGGTCATTTAGCTTCCCAACTCGCTAAACCACGGTCCATGTGGAATTTCAGCTCACGCTATTTGTTCTAGAATTAATCAATTTAGTCATTCTCAGTCAATTAAATTCCTGCTTTCATACCTCGTATGTTAAGTGTGAAATAATCCCCTCTTTTAACGATTCACAATCAAAGACGCCTAAAGCAATCAACTGATCTTTCCTTGAACGTAATAGAAACACGTGCCGCTTAAGATATTGCGTGGGATAATAAAATCGTTAGCTACTCATCCATCCGTCTACTCTTAGAACACTGTTACAGCATCATGCAAAAATGTATTTACTTTCGCCGCAAAATATTCAAATGTGATTTATTAAAGGCATTCATTGCCTCCAGTATCAAATCAGATTCCTAAAATTTTAATAGAAGTGTTTGGCAAAGGATACTGACCGATGTTTTGATTTTCTGCGGTTTATGTCATCTTCATTCTATGTATGGATATTTGTTTTGTGTCTTATGCTGATTCAGAAGGTCAGAAATTGATAAGTTGACTAAGCTGACACGTTAGGAAGTGGAGCAAGGGAGTTAGGAGGGGGTTCGAGCTCCCCCCCCCCCTCCCCCTGTTCGGTGCACGAGGTCCAAGCTCGATTCCAGGGAACATTGTTTCAACTTCGCTCCTTTCTGTGTAACTTTAACTAGCTTTAAATACCCTTTAAACGGAGCATTAATGGAGAGAGGAGGGTAAAATGAGCGCAATTTCGTCCTCAAGTTTATCATTTGAATTAATCACGAGTTTTTTTATACTTTTAAAGCGCTCCCTGAAAACCATAGATATCTGATTTACTTTTTACTCTTTAGCGAACGAGTTTGATGCCCTTCTCTTGTTGTTTTGAGCCATTTTAAACTTCTTGAGCGGTGTGTCATTTTAATTCTAGCGCAGTTTACACGAAACGTGGAAAAACGCTCGCCATACGTCTCCTTTTAACTGGAACACCAAGGTTAAAATGGAATTGGTTGAATCAATGATTCAGTGTGCGCGAGCATCTCAGTCTCAAGAAAACTGAGTTTTTGGGAAGCTCCGCTCAATTCGCTCATCCGAATTACACGCCATACTAGAGTAGTCAGGGGCAGCCAACGAGAATATAGTTCAAAATAAACCACTTAAACATAGCATTGTTGAACGTATTTAAACAGTAGATATAGGCATATTTTTGTCCCTTAAAACTTTTTCATCTGTTCGGATTTCCTTGTTGAAAGTCTAGCGATCCGAAAATTATACGGATCAAAACGTACCTTTTCGAAAATTTCAGCCAGGAAAAAAGGCTCCCGAAACTTGTAGGTGAGCTTTCTAGGGTAAAAATCCGTTAAAAATGGGCATTTATACCATTTTTTAGATGTTCGAAAATCCTAGTAGAGGCAGGCAAGCAAGAAATTTTAAAACAAATGTTCTGAAAATTCTAGATCTCAAATCGTCTTCCGAACAGATATTTTCCGAAAATTGACGTTGGGCGCCCCTGAGTAGTATTGGAACTCAGACTGGGTTTG